AGGTAAAAAATTATATTATATATTAAAGTAATCGTTATATAAAGAAAAAGGAGATTTATATTTAGCATTATAGGGTTTATAGTAAACCTAGCTATAATGTATAAACTTATAAAAATGTTATAAAAACGTTTAACGATTTAAATTTAAATTAGTTTAAGTTAATTATACAAATAGTTATTGAAATATTTTTAAATACATATATAAAGGTTAAAAATGTAGCTAGGTTAATTAGGTAGCTAGGTTAAATAGGAAATACGTTAAATAAAAACCTACTTTAAAGGTAATAATTTATATTTAACTTTAATATATTTAATAACCTTAAATGCTTTATTCTTTTTAAAGTTTTCAATCTTTTAAATTATATTTTTTTTAAAAAGATTACTTAATAAATATTTATTAAGCTTTTTTTAACTTTTAAAAAGGAAATAGAAAAGATTATCTTTATAATATTTATATAGTTTTTTTAATATAACCTTTAATCTTTTAAGCTTAAATTACCTTATAATAGTTATAAATATTATATATACCGTTTTATACTTTTAATTACCCTTATAAATAGCTTTTAATTAATTAAAAAAATAAATATTTATAAAGTTTAACTAATTATAATCATTTAAAGGGGTAATCTTTTACTTTTTATATATTATTATTATAAAGATAATATATATTTTAATATACTTATTACCTTTAATTTAAATCTTTAAAGGCTTACCTTAAAGCCTTTTATTAACTTTTTTAAGTTTTTAAAAGCTTTTTTTACTTTATTTTAATAGATCCTTTTTTACTAGTTTAATTTTTTAACTATTATTAAGTTAATTTTAAATTATTTTACCCTTTTTAAATTAATTTTAAAACCCTTTAACTATTATATAATCTTTAATTAAATCTTTATTTAATAAACTTATAATTATTTCCTTAATATTAATTAAATATACTTTTTAATAAGGTTAATATATTTTATTACTTTTTTTAATTAAGCTTAAGGGTTATTTTAACTTTCTTTAAAGCCTTTTAACTATATTAGGTTCCTTCCCTATTACTCTTTTAATATATTAATCCAGCTTAAGTATTTTTTTAAGGGTTATAAGTTTATATAATTAATTATTATAATCCTTTAAACCTTTTTTATTTAAATTTATAGCTATCCCTACCTTTAACTTAAAATTCTATAATTAACTTCTTAATAATTCATTAATAAATATAAGAATATCCCCTTTTATTATAGTTTAATTATATAATAGCTTAAATTATATTAATAGTGCTTCCTTTTAAATATTTATATAATTTAAAAGATTTTTTAAAATCTTTTTAATTATAATTATAAATTCCGCTATTTTTTTAAAAATCTCTTTAAGCTATTTATTATATTTTTTTAAATAAAAGATCTTTTTATTAAAGTATATATCTTTTATAATAATTATTTAACCTAGCTTAAGGATTTATATATAATATATATTAAATGTTTAATATTTAATTAAATACTTTATATAAATACGTTAACTTATTTTATATACTTACCTTTTTTCTTTTATAAGTATATCCTTATTAATTAAGTATATTTAATATTTATATATATATAAGCCTTCCTAATAAAGATATAAATTAATATTTAATTATTTAATTACTTTTAATAAATATTATTTAAAATAGCTTTTAAATTAAAATAGAAGCATTTTAAATAATATATAAAAATTATAAAAACGGTTTAAGCTTATATTATAAAGTTATAAAGTAATTTAAACCACTTTTAATTAAAGCTTTTTAAGTAAATTAATACTTTTTAATATCTTTTAAGCTTTTTTTATTAGTTTTTAATTAGTTTTTTCTTTACCTTTTATAAGCTTTTTTATATATATTAAAGGGAGCTTTAAATTTATACTTAAGGAATATGCCCACTTTTAAAAATCCGTTTCCCTTTATATTATAATTATTATAATCTTATTATTATTATGTATTTTATAAATTAAGAGCTTATATTGCTTTATTACCTAGCTTTTAAACTCCTTAAAAGCTTATAAAACCTATAGCTCTATTTAATTAATAAAGTAATATATATATAATATATTATTATATTTATCCTTAATAGTAAATAGGTATAATAATCTATTATATCTTTAATTATAATAGAAAAGATTTTAATTAATTTATTAAAAAGGCCTTCCGGAATACTCTTCCAATACCTTATATAAAATAGCTTACTTTAATTAAACCTTTATATAAATTTTACATTTAATATTAGTAGTTCTTTTAATCCTTATACCCTTTATATTATAAATTAAGGCTTTTAGGTTTTCTAATTTTAAATGCTTTAATTATAGGTATTATAATTTTTTAAAGTTAACTTTATCTTTTAAGGGATTAATTATATACCTTTTTAAATAAACTTAAAGAAGCATTATAACTATTTCCGTTAAGCTTAATAAAACTTTATAATTTATATAAATAATATTTATAAAAGCCCTATTTAAATAATTAATTATTAGTTTATATTTTAAAAATATTAAGTTTATCTTTTTAATAAATCTTTTTAATAAGGTATTAAATTTAATATTTTTATAATGTAAGAAATAGTTTAGATTATAATATTAAATCTTAATTTCTTTTAAATAAATTTTTAAAACTATATTTATATAGAAGTCCTTTATTAAAGCTATATTTTTAAATGTTAAAAACTCTATATTTTTACTATTAGCGTTTATAAGGATGTTTTTAATGATCTGCCTACCTGTTCTTAAGATTAGGAAGCTTATAATGCTTATATCTACACTTTCTCCATTCTTAATAGGTTTAAATAAGCTTAGTTTAAAAAGATCTATACTATTAATTAAATATAATACATTATAATTATTAAAGATTATACTTAAATAAAACGGGTAAAAATTATTACTTAATGTTATATAAACCCTAAAGTTATTAAGGCTCTTTTTAACTATTAATAAGTTAATTATAAAATATATTAAATTATATTTAAGCTATTTACCTTTAACACTATTTAAATATAATCCTTTTATTTATATTAATATATTTTACCCCTTTTTAACGATTTAATTATATAGGTCTTTCCAATTTATTAAACCTTATTATATTTTAATATTATAAATCTTTTTATTATTTATTTCTTTAATTAAATAATTGGAGAAGCTTATAATTACCTTTTATAAATACTTATAGGTTTTTAACCTTTAATAATAAATTCTTTAATAGTTTATTAAGTATAGATATTTAAACCTTAAATAGGGTGATTCTTTATATCTATAAGGCCTGCTATTTTTATATAATTATAGCTTTATTTAATTGTTTAATTTTCCTTTAATAGTTATAAAAATTTTTATACCTCCTTATTTACCGTTTATAATTTTATTATTAACTATTATAAAAAACATCTTATTATATTAAGTAAAACTTATTAGTTCCTTATTTAACTACTTAATTAAAGCAATATTTATAAGTTATTAATATATTTAATCTAGTGTTATATATGCTTTAACAGCGTTTAAGAAGTTCTTTATTATAAGTATTCTATTAATATTTAACATCATTAAGCTTAATATATTTAAGTAAACCTTATACCAACTTTTATATTAAACCTTTAACTTAATCCTATTTAAATAAGCCTTTTAAAGCATTTATTAATATTACTATTAAGTTATACTCTTTATAATAAATTCCGTAAGGGAAATAAGCCCTTTAATAGTTTTTATTAATACCTTTAAACTATATTTCCTATTATAGGAGAATTAAGAAAAGGCTATATTTAAAATTAAGGGATTTATTATAATATATACCTAATTTTTAAAAGCTATATAACGGTTAAATTTAACGATTTAATTTAAACCTTTTATTTAATAGGTATAGAGTATACTATTTAACATTTAAATAATTGTAGTTTTTTTAAAAGTTAATGCTATTAAACCTAAATGTATATAAAGGTATTTTATAATTACGTTATCCTTTATAAGGGGCTTCCGCGCTTTAATAGGTAAATAAGCGTTTTTTTTACCCTTTAAGTTAACGATATCTTAAAGCCCTTTATTAAGTATAAGGAGCTTAAAACAGTTAATTTAATAATCCTAATCTTATTAATTATAAAGCTTAATATTTTATTATATACGTTTATTTATTTTATAATTAAATATAATAATTTTAATAATAAATGTTTAAATAATCGTTTAAAATAATATAAATAAGGTTTAGTTAATCGAATTAAAGGATAAGCTTAAAAAGTACTTTTTAATTAATCCCTTTAAAGTTTATATAATAGTTTTAAATAAACCGGACTTATAACTTTTAAATGTAGGTAAGCTATAAAGCCTTTATAATATATTTAAAGGATTAGTTTAAAGTAGTATTAAGTACTTTAATTAGTTAAATTTTATTTAAAAGGTAATTAAGCGGTATATTAAATATATATATAATCTTAAAACCCTTATTAACCCACTCCTTAACTCCATTAATGTTTAATATACATAGAGTTAAAAAGTGCTATATTGTTATAGGTTGTAAGTAATTATACCTGGCCATAAGGGCAAATGCAATCTAACATGATAGCTAAGAGCTTGATTTCAATAATTAATTATATGCTTAAATTGTTAAATAAAGTAAAGACTAGCTAAATACTTAAGAGATTCATTATTATTATATAGGCGTTCCTTCCTTTACTTAATCCCTTAAATAGCTGTATCCATCCGCTATCCATTAATCTTATTATAGTTGAATCTCACTGAGATCCATTTATCTGTTATAACCTGCTAAGGCCCTCTTATGCCATTGGGCGTCTTCCCCACCTATGACCATTTGACTGGTCACGTTAATGTAAGATAGCAACAGTTGTTTCTTTTAGCAAAAAAGTAATGAAGAGTTATGCTCTTCATTAAATTTCTTACAAATATATAACTTATTACTAAACCTTTAATTATCTCTTTATAATATAATATTATAAAGTATAACAATTTAAAAATTAAAGACTTATATTATAGCAGCTTTATTTATCAATAGCTGGATCAGCTACCATGGACAATTCCCGTGTAAAAGACATAATTATAGGATAAATCATAGTTGAAAGAGAAGGCTATTGCGCCATCATCGTCAAGTGATAAACACTCCCACTCATCGCCATGTTCATGGGTATCATCACTTCCTACTTTGACCTGTACCCTACGATCGAAGTTCTGAAAACATAGGATACGTGGTTCCAAGACCATCATGCTGCGATCTACACCAAGGCGGCATTGACCGATAGTACGAGAGCCGCGGTTGTCATATTGAAAAACAATACCTGCGCACAACTGGGTGTGGGTATGATAAAATACGTTAGCTGATTTTATGCCGCCAAGAGGTGCCCACGAGAAATAGTTTCGCGGTTCTTTTTTCTCAGGAACCTGCAGAGATAACGCCGCGAGGTCATAGGGAGATGGTATATATGCCCCAAACATAGTAATCGGCTCATTTTCCCGAGGCTCGTCATATAACAGTGCAGTTGGAATTCCAGACCCCAGGCGAACAAATTTGTCGTTTGATAAGCCAACGACAACTTTTCCTGCATATTCCATTTGCATCTGACCCTGTTAGTTAATAGTTTATAAATCACAGAAAAAAAAACTTACCAAAAGATCGAATTGTTTGGATTCTGCTCCGGGACAATATCCCAAAGAAATGAGTTTGTCTTTCTGCGCAATAGGCACATAAACCCAGACCATACATTTCTGATCATAATCCGAAATCGATATTTGCTTATAGGCATCTGCCGCGCATGAATCTTCTGTTTGATGGTTGTACACACCGAACAGTTTGCCGTTGGAAATAAAGAAAGTAATCCCGCGGCAACGTTGCAGGTCATTGATACACAACCGCGAGAAGGCGCCTGAATTTAGAACCGCGGATTTGATGAGATAGCAAAAACAAAGTAGGGGAGGACTGCTTGTATTCCAGATAGGTAGTGCCGTTTTTCTGTGTGGCTGGCACAGACGTGCAAAGCAATCACCCTTTTGGCCGTTAGAAACATGGGATTAAGAAATGGGATAATTTAACTACATAATTACCTTAAATTCCACAGTTATATCGGACAAGTTTGTCGTGTGTTCCACAATAAACCCCAAACTCTTGCGAGTGTGGCCGTCATATTCTGGCTGCTTGTGTAGACGTTGAATGCTTTGAATTCCATGAACATTGATCGTAAGCCTAACTAGAGGTGGTAATGGGGTAGATGGACCAGGCTTCGGGGACTCTCCTCGTTTCCATGTGAAAATTTCGCCCAATGGTTTTTTCTGAAGCGGGGATTGAGGCAACTTGATGGATGGCGAGAGAGATATGACGAGTTGAAATCGCCAGAAGGCCACATGCGGTTGTTCCTTGCGAATCATGTCTAGAAGCTCCATTGGAAGCTTCTGCAGGTGGGGGAGTTGAAACTTTTCCGATACTTTAATCAGCTCCGCCTGATTGATGCCAGGGTCGAGATACATGGGTTCTGCTCCTGTCCAGGGGTTCCTCCACGAAGCTATCATGAATAGTAGATCGTGACCTTTGGATTCCGACAGTTCAGCGCAGCTTCTATAGAGATGATAGTAGTCGGTATGGATGGCAATCCATTCGGGCCCCTTGGCTCTGGCACAGATACGGCAATTGAGGTTACGACACACTAATTGGCCGTCGACAAGTAATAGCTTTCTCATGCTTGCCGGGGGGAAAGGAAATGGGTTTGTATGACCTGCGCAAGCAGTTGAATCATCGTTCCCGGATACTATGTGGCTAGTCAGCATCACCAAGTTACCAACTAAGAGTAGGAGGCAGGCCAGTACATGCGACAACATCCTCGTCTTCCAGGATAAGATCTGCGCAAGCGCCGCATCTTGCCTTCGGTGGCATATGCTTAGGCGTGTTTTTTTTTGCAGTAGGCCGTATAGGAGGGATAAAAGTAATGTGGTCTAGGAAATTGGCGGCCTCGGTATCGGAGAGGTAAAAACACGCAAACTCAGCTTGAAGATGCTCCGGTGTTTTTCAGAGTACCGTAGCAGTCGCAGATAGCTTAATTAATTAATTAATTGATTGATTGATTCCTACTCAGTTGCAGCCGCTCTTTCATGCGCAGCTATGACCGGGTAACCATGTCACAGGAGGACAGGTACACCTGAGATTATAGAAACAACGCGCCGTTGAGAAAATCGCAGCCTTTCCCTAATTGAGCCAGAATTTATTGGGGAAATGGTCTTTTATTTGGTACTAAGGCTGAGAATAGTGGAAGTAGTTCCTTATTAGGAAGCGCCACCTCGATTTTCTCAACGGCGCGTTGTTTCTATAATCTCAGGTAATACGGTATTAGTTATACGGTGACGAAGTAAAGTTAGCTTACAGTACATAACCCCCCACGCAACTGTCTCTCAAATGTCGCCGCAGCTAATATGTAAATAGTATCTAGGGCATGGTACTGAAGAAGGTCCTCATTTTCGCGCTTACTTGTTAATGCTGCTGAATCATTTGAAGGGCTCTAGGCCGACTAGGAAACTTTCTCTACATAGAACCCGGGTTAGGATGCTTAAAGGGCATCGTTAGATCACTGTATGTCGCCTGACCACCAAAACATCGAGAACGCGGCCGGTACCTCTATCTACAACCGCCTCCTTTTAACTGGCAATCTCCATTCGCTTAAACAAGTAGAAGGAATACGTGTAGACGCTAAACTCTTTATTTCCGAAACTTCGAAGACAATGCATCGAAACTCTCTCATAACTCCCCTAGCACCGCATGTTTGGCTACGCAGAAGACATAAAAGGGTTGTTTTTTGAATCAGGGGAGAATCATGGATCATATCATTAATTTCTAGTTACTGACTCCTTGATAAGCGCTCCTTAATAGGGTACGGCCATTACTAGTCCAACGATAATTAGTTAATGTAACAAGAATGGAGATTGCCCAGAAAAGCCACTGTCCAGAACCTGCGTCACGAATGTCGGCCGTATTAGTCCCAAGGCAACTAGCTATAAATGAAAGTAGAAGGAAAATAACAGTAACAATTGTGAAAACTATAATTGCTTTAGTCCTACTATCTTGCTTTAGCTTGACTTGCAGTGAAAGCTATTAATACATATATGGCTCTCGTTAGTCGGGTGCTAACTATTCTAAGACTAATATTTCGATATATAGAGCTATCTATATACACTATACTGAAGACTGCCCCCCTTCTGCCGCTCCCAGCCATGCTTCTATTGCGGCCAGGTACGTTGTTTCCGCCCACCCCCGAATCGCAGTCAGAATCGTATATGCTTTGTACATGTCGATGTACGTCAATGTTCCCCCGATAGGAATTGGGCCGACGATATTGAGCAGCCCACGATCACCATCACATGCGAAGTAAAGATACCATGTTTCCCCTACCATTTCGATCAAGGGTATCGACGGAACATTGCGGGTGTCGTTGAGATTTTGGCGAAGATGGAGCATTTTCTTACGCCGTGCTACTGCCCAACAGGTCAACAGGACGAGAGGATCAGACCGCTGTATAGTAGGCCTCGTTTCTATCATTACTGCAATGGGGCTATACCGAATCCCATAGTCCTCCGTAGCATTGAAATCTCGTAATCTCCGGGTTTCGGTAGCTTGTATAATAGTATCATACAGAGTTGACGATTTTGGGAGTTCCACAGCTACAACCCAATCGATCTTCTTATCGAGGAGGTCTTTGTCCTCTTCTTTACACACCCTGAGCTTGGGTATATACTCTTCTTCGAGCGGGGTTCCTGAGATTGAAACGATCCGCGAGCATACCGGGGGAACCGCCTTGCCGGGTTCCTCAAACACCAGGGTTAGAAATGGCGCAAAGACAAATATATGCCGCATACCCTCGAAGGATTCGCTCCGACCATATGACGATGCCGTTAACCTTAGATCTTTCATTTTTTCCCAAATCTTTTTGGAAGCGGCAAGGTTCGTTTCATCCACAGGTCGGAAATAATGTTCCCCAAGTCCAGGTTCTGCGTCGATAATATCCGCCTGAATCTCGCCCGGCAGAATACCCCCTCCTATCGATGCAGTATGGATCTGCTCGTATAGTGATCGAACGTCATCAGGTAAAAACTGTAGAGTGGTCTTGTAATCGTGGGGGTTGTATAGTTCCACGCTGGGTATCAATAATTCGAGAATATCTATGTTATCTCGCCAAGAGATAGATGATTTTGACCGTTTAAAGCTGGAAGCGGAGGTTGAATCCTCTCGGCTGTGCTTCCGGCCATGTACTCTCGCGGTATCATGTGTCAAGGCCGGGCCTGCTTGATTGGGAATATTCAAATAGTCGGAGGAGAGTTCGGCAGGATGTCCCGACGACTGCCTTTGTTCGTGTTGGGCATATATGCGCGATTGGGATTGCGTAATCCTACGCGTAGGCCCGGAATTGGGCTCTTCTGACGCGTTATGTTGTTCTCTAGGAGTCGACATGGTGTGCGTTGCTGTATGTGACGATGAAATAGCACACACACGAGAAATATGAAGACGACGCCTTGTGGGAAGAGTTTGAAGCCAATCCACAATGTCATATTGGGGACAATCCGAAATTGTCGTAGAACACGACGAGGAAGACATTGTTCACCAGAGGCGTGACGGAACCCCTGCCCAGCGATAGAACAATACACGCAGGGGGGGCGGACAGGGAAAAATATTATCATATATAATAAAGGTGTTGGAAAGGAACCCAAGCACAGACATTAAGTGTACAGCGATCTCATCGCGCTGACATTCGTTCTTTTCTGTTAGAATTTGTTTTCATTCATGGGTATGTATATGGCTGGGAAGTGGTCCTGGCGAATAGGCCTGCCTACGTCAGCACCACGTTTCATACGTGGCGCATACCTTATTGACTTGCTTTATGTGTGAACCAGCTGATATAAGGTGTTACTAGTACAGATAGATGCCTTGGTATAAAGTTCAATGCAGAATTGAATATAAAGGCGGCCGCAGAATCCAAACAGGGAATGTTCAAGTAATAAATTCCGTAGAAACTTTAGAAGGTCGTCGAATCGCGGGGTATTTGAAACCTTAAAAGTCATCTTGTTTTTCTGTACAAGCTCGTCCGCGCCGCAGGACTCTTCCCCAGATCATCAACTCAAAGTACGAGCCACCTTCAGAGTAGCAACACTCATACAACTTGCAAGTTCAAAGCACAATGGTTCGCCCTAGTCAGCTCAGAGCGGCTGCGGCCGAGGCAAATCTGAACAGCGCTGACGACGACGAGGCAACCAAACAGATGGACTCGGAGGCCGCTGGGAAGAGATCTGGCGACCGCTTTAGCACATACTGGCCCCCCGGCTGGAACTATGAGCGTTTCAGAAAATCCACCAGCCTGGAGCTTATCCAAGGGCTTTCCGAGGGAGAATATGCCAAGCTGCAACTAGGGATACGAGAGGCCCGTAGTGAACGAGAGAAGGGGGTATCATCGGGGCTCGTGCCTCTGGTGGCACAAACGAGTTCCGTGGCGCCAGATTGGCTTCGCCAGTGCACGCGTCGCCACCGCCACCAGACCTGGGGCTTTGTCGCTGTGAGGACGGCGAGCTATGACGACGCGGAACGATGGAATGAGTTCAAAGCCAGGATCCGCAGCATTATGGAGGTTCCTTTCGAGCGCGATATCAAGAGTATCTCCACCTCCGCCGTTACGGAAGACGCCTCGGCGGCCAAGGCAAAACTAGAGCTCCGCTGGATTGAAGACCCCGCACTGGACGGGCAAACCGACCCCGACATCCTTCGGGACCGGTACAGTCAGATACGACCCTCGCTACCCCCAGGTCAATCCCAGCACGTCTTTCTCGTGGCATCCAAAGATGCAATTGCCTCGGTCCTGGACGATACCAATGATCAGAAGACTGATGAAGCGGCTCCGTTTGGGTACCCGCCACGTTGGCGGCCCAATGCGCCGTACATCCTTGCCGTCTCAGCAGATGCAGATCCAGGACTGGAAGAGGGCCACGAGGAACGAGAATGGTTCAAACCCGTTTTCAGAGTAGCAGCTGAGGTGCTAGTCGATGAGTTCTGGCATCTTCTAGACTCGGATATCATGCCTTTGAGAAGAATCACAAGATGCGTCAGAGGAACGGACTTGGATGGTCGGGTACTGGCTCCTGGAGATGATGACTATGATCTGGAAGATCTATGGTGGTCTATGGCTCCTTCGCCTTGGCGGCTGAGGAAGAGAGCACGTGGGTCAAATCTCCACGCACGCGCGACGTATATAGATCAGTCTCGTTAGTTCAGGGCATAGCGGGACGAGCCTCTTTGTATAGGTCCGCGGCAGTCAATCGGCCTCAGGGTATATTGATCAGAAGTCCAGTCATACTACTATTCTACGATTAGCCCTCTTGTCCCAAGGATATACCTGCGCTGCTTCAATAGGTGTCACACGCCCCTATGGCCTTCATGAGTCGTGGCGAAGCAGCCCCAGGCGAGTCGACCACTTTATATTCCCTAATAACGTATAAACTGTATTTATCTTATTAGGTTGAGATGCCTTAAGCTACCTTTCACTTATATTTGCTTCAACCCTTAAGTTAATTATTCTTATTTTTTTCTTTTCTTTCTAAATAATTGCTGATTGCTACATAACACCCTCATTCCCTATGTTGGATCTCGATTTGCACCTGATCTTTAAGCGGTTTGGTGACAACCATGAGGTACTTCAACGTATTCCAATCACACCTGTCGGCGCGTATCACGACGCTGGCCACCGGCGACGACGAAGGTTCCGCCACCGACGTCGACGATGACGTGCGAAGTCCGAACTCACCGCTACCACCGCCCTGGGTGATATTACTTCCGGCGAAGAGGTCGATACTCGGTTCGGAGAGCGCGTCGATCTCTTCGAGAGATGGGAGCCGGCTCGGCAGACTCGCGCTCGCGTCTCTGTTGATTAGTTCTGGTGAGCGACTCTCACCCATTAGTTTCATCCATTCCTGTTCATCAGGTCCGCTTGCCGAGCTGTAGATCGTCGGCTGGCCTTCATAGGCCATGTTGGGCCCCTGAAACGGGTCGTTTGGGCCTGACGTGGCCAAGATGTCTGTTAGAAATGAGTCGTCAAGGTAGAAATTTGTGGAGACTTGATCCAATGCCGGGTCTATGGGTTGGTCTGATAGCTGTTTGCTCCATTGTTGCTGCATACTTCTAGGGGCTTCGAGAGCTGCTTCGGCGTCGAAGATATCCTCCATGTCCTCCATGTCTATATCTGAGGCTTCGGAGTCTTCATCGTCGGTGTTGTTGCTAGTCATGGCTGATGAACTCGCTTGGGAATTCGGCGAGATAGCGGCCCCTGAATGTGAGTGCGATGAAGGGACTATAGGGTTTTCAACCCTTCGCATTAGAATGGTGTACCTACGCGTCGATCAGCATTCATGGGTTTGAGTTGTAATGATGATAATGCGTAGTCAGCTCTACTTACCTGTTTTTCAGATCGTTTCTCGACCTTTTGGCAAAATGGGCTGCCTGTATTCTCTTCCATTCTCTCCCGTACTCATTGACATACACCAACAACTTCTCATCCTAAACCACGATTAGTATGTGTCTTGGCTGGCAAGCTGACACATGAATTACCTCTTCTGATGTCCAATTTCCCCTCTCTAACTCTGGGTCAAGATTGTGCTGCCAGCGCTTGGCACATTCTATGATTCGTAAGCTTTCAAAGTCTACTCCCCGGGGACGGGGCACATTACGGTCTGCCGATCGTGAGCCCACCTCACTGGCGATGAGAGTCCATCTAGCAACGGATTAATTAGTCAGTCTATTCGATATTCCTCGTCCCGTCGAATATGGTCGGACATACTTTTGCCCATGAGTCAACATGGCATCGCGCAAGCGCGCGTCTTCGTCAGCTGTCCAAGCACCCTTGCGAAGTCCCCCGCATACTTGGTTAATCCAGCGTTTCCGACAGTCTTTATTGGTGCGCCCGGGGAGTTGATTAGCAATTCGACTCCAGTCCTTGACTTCCCCGGTTCCATCTGTTATAAACGGATCAGTCCGCACCCACACCCGTAACACACCATAGTCACGCCAGATTTCACGTAGCACGGCCACTTACAGCGTTTCACAACCTGCTCGTGGAGAATCGAGTCTTCTTGCTTAGTCCACCGTTTGGGGCATTTTCGGCTGGAGGAGGATCCCATTCTTCTGAGATGGAGGTACAAATGGAGCCAGGAATAGAAGCGTAAGACTTATTTTTAAGAGCTACAAACCTCTCTATAAAAGTCCATGCATCATGGTGGTGGTGGCGGTGGCAGGTCGGTACACAAAGTGAAAGCGGAAATGCCTGCTATACTTTCCTTGTTTGACCTGCGAGGCTGGCTATGTAGCCGGGGGGGGGGTCAAGAAACGTCAGCTTATGTATATTGAGATGCATGACTACTTTAGATACACAGAATACGACAGGAGGCAACGCCTCTGATTTCACACCGGCACACCTTTTTTGGAAGGAGGGAAGCAATACACGGATTCCGTGGACTAACAATCCAACGCAGGAATGACAGAGCGGGTCTTTTGCTTCACCTTGAGTTATTGAAAAGTCAGCACTCGCCAGGTCATCTCCCGATTAGAGTTGGCGTTCTATCTTTTGATCAGAAGGTCTCTGGTGGTATTAACAAATCAGCGGATTACGCATACAACTTTAATTCTATTCTTGGCATGCCAGTGGTGGTGCGTGTTACATAGACGTCTGGGGTCAGAGCCGCACTTGGAGAGGCGAGAAGCTGGTCTAATAGGTCCACTCCGCAAAATGCTTCTATTTGTCGATGAGGGTACTGTGTTTCGTACCGTGTATCACAGGCGGAAAGATGACAGTGGTATCATAGCGTAACGTCCTGTCGTGTCACCATCGATGCAGAGCTTATATCTTACGCCGTTCAGGAGTGGTACTCCGGTCCTTTTGATATGACGTCGGTTTGAATCTATCGCCACAAATACTTAAGCAATAAAATGTTTATCAAATACGATTATCCAAGACCTATCATGTCATGCTGTGATCGAGATCCTTCGCGCCAAAATGTACCTTACAAGCGAGTGGTTAGCATATGAACAGCAACTTGGAGGTCGCCCTAAGATTTCCGGGACCTGGCAAGAGATCAGGACAGCGTATAATGGACTTTGCGAAGTGATAGGGGCGAAACTTCCGCCATCTGATCTTTCACTGTTGTCTCGTACGTATCTTTGAACTATCCAACCTCGATAAGCTTCCTAACTTGAACACGATTTCAAAGAGGACATCAAGATATCGGGTCATGTATCTGTCCGAATATATACACCGACGCAAACCTACCCTGGGAAGCCTCTTCCGCTGGGCGTTTAGTAAGTGCGCTGTCATCTCGCTTTGCGAATCTCCATTCTGATACATACATCCCAAGTTGCCACGGGGGTGGTTTCATAGCTGGAAGCGTCAATGCAAGTTTCGAAGATTGTAAATGACCTTCAAGGGCTAGTGTTTGACCGCCTCCTGACATTGTATATTTCGTATTCAGATACCTGCCGTTACATTTCACTCAATACTCCCTGTATCTTGGTATCCGTGGATTTCCGACTTGCGCCAGAGCATCCTGTTCCGGCGCAAATTCAAGACGTCTTCGAAGGATTTCAATGGGTACGTAGCATATGATCAGCAGTGATTAAATCCTCCAACTCCTCCGCCATTTCTCCAAGGACTAAGCACGTCGGCAGTTTCTAACGAGTGTATCAGGCCTACGAAAACTGCGAAGGACTCGGTGGCGACAAGTCTAAGTGTTTTCTCATCGGTGCCTCCGTGGGCGGCGGTCTTGCTCTTGCGGCCGCTCACCGCCTCATCGAGAGCGGCATGCGGTCATCGCTTGTCGGCGTTGTTGCTCTCGCCCCGATCACCCTCCACCCAGAGCATGTACCGGATGATTTCAAAGACGACTTCACCGCGTACTCTGAGAATGCAGATGGGCCGCTAATTGATAAAGCTGCTATGTACAACTTCAATGGTGCGATAGCGATCACCTAAGACCCTGGAGTAAGTAGTGAAGACCATTCGCTGACCGGAAACGTATAGCCCAAAATGGCTGCGACGAGATGAAGGACGATCCCTATGTGTTTCCCGCATTACATCCTGGGAAGGCACAATTACCTCCAGTGTACATTTCGACCTGTGGTGCCGATCCGCTTCGAGACGACGGGAAGGTGGTCTACTTAGAACTTCAGAAAATTGGGTCAGTGTTCGAACTTGGCACCACCAGTCTCAGCAGGAATACTGATTAAGAGCTTCACACTCAGTATTAAGAGCAGTTTGAGAAACTACCATGGCCTGCCGCATTTCTTCTGGATATTTCCTGAAATCAAGGAGGGTGATAATTTCAGAGCTGACACAGTGAATGGTATTCACTTCGTTCTCGGCTAAAAACAGCCGTGATAGTGGCGGCGTTAAACGGGATGAATTCGGTTAGTTCCCTGTTAGGTGTTTTATTTTTATTTTTATTTTCCCCTATTGCCCTATCGGAATCTTAGCAGCGCATCCTTCATAGGGTCGTAACACAGCTATAACACGGCCACGGTTCCGAAGCCTTGAAGTGGAGGAATAGTCTTGGGTGGGCGGAATATCTTTGGCCAGCCTGGCCTAAAAAGAGCAGGGTTAATCATGCAGTTGCAGGGCGCAACGTACATCACTAGAATAAGTATGTGATGCAATGTAACACCTATGATGCTCAATGATCTTCGTTTAGTTCGTACCTGTCAGCATATCTCTCATGTAGGGGGTCTGTCAGTGTAAGTAATAGATGAATACGGTATCTGTACGGTACTTCCGCCTTTTGACAGGATCTGTTATTTGCACATCATAATGGCAACATTGTATTACATGGTGTTACACCGCAGCTCAGTGTGGTTCAAGAATAACCGGGTACGGGTGCGAAATACCCTAGACGCTTACACAGGTCGGCAAATACATGGCTACCTAAGCGCGCTGAATATTCCCGGACGGCAGTATGGGTTGCAGTGTGACTGTAGTGTTGTAAGATTTACGGATCTTCCCTTAACAAATGTAACAGAAACAAGGCCGAAAGGGGCTAAGCTAGCCAATCGCAACTTGTCAGGACTTTCTCGTACAACTACTCCGTACGCGGATCGCTAGTAAACTCGCCTTGTACGGGCAATGACTGCTACTGTTCCTCTGGTCTTTCTGTCATCCCAACATCGCGATCGAAGTCCGTCTCAAGGCCAACTGCGCTCGTATCAAGGTGAAGGCGTTGGAGATGGCGGTGTTGAAGGTTGGTGGAGTGGAGATTGAGTTGAAGATACCTACATGAAGGCGGGGCGGAGTGGGGGTAGGGTTTAATGGAGCGGCATATAGATAGTGGGTTAGGTTCGATTCCTTTCGGCAGTACATAGTGATTCCTGTTCGGCTCATCCGTTAGTTGAAGATGAAGGATTCAGGATGCGGGAAGGCGGACAGATGCGGGTAGAATCTACCCGGTAGAGTCAATAGGCACATGTTGGAAGGACACAACCGGTTGTGAATATATCATATAAGGTTTGGTGGTCACATATTGTATAGAAACTGTCAAGTCATATGATACCCAGCCGCCGCATCCCAATGACTGCATATTCGGAGTGAGATTTCTGCATGTTTTAATCTCGCTCTTTGGAAAAGACTTCCAGTCCCCTATGCATAGTGGCTTGCCGTCTCATTCCGTGTGACGTTGTTCTCACAGTTATGGTTATTGATCCTAGGGGATGTCATCCTTGCATTAGAAGATGACAATTCACATATAGGTACATAAGCTTAGTCTGTTGTCTTTCTTTTACATGGGAAGAAAGTACGGAAAAGAGTATGTGAGTCGTGCATTTACAGTTGCTACGTCTCCCCCAGCTTGATCAATGCCTCCAGCTCTAGAACAACTGGACCTTGCCCGTCCCGACATCGGCCACCGAATCATTTGCCCAGTAGCGCCCGCTAATGTTGTTGATATCACCAAAGGCGAGGTGGAGAGGAATCATGGCGCCTTGCTCTAGTTGTAACAGAAAGTTAGTGCTTGCGCAGGAATAGGGAAGGGAGTCTTAGTCAGTGACATGCCTGGTGTTTTGGGCGGGCGGCCAGCCTGCCCTCCAAGTTCAGTGTCGACCCAGCCAGGGCAGCAGCAGTTGATCAGAAGATCGGGGTTATCACGGGCGAAGATTCTGGTGGCGGCATTCAAAGCTGCCTTGCTCGGGAAGTAGGCCATACTAGGCCATCCACGGCGCACGGCCTGTCCTGCGACAACATGGCGCTGAGAGATGTCATAGTAAGCTTTGGTTGGCCAGGAATTTTTGATGAAACGGGATGGTCTTACCTCGTAGGTAGACAGGAGCTCTCCTATCTGATCCAGGGTGGCATTAGGTTCCAAAAAGAGCTTTCGAAGGTGGGGTGCCATGTATAACAGCTGCCCAGACTGTGAAGATAGGTTGACAATTCGACCCCCCTTTCGCATCAAGGGAATCATTCCTTGACAGACCTAACTAGGCAAAAGCAGGCCCTAAGTCAATAAATGATCCGGTGTTATCATCAGAGCCTCGGATTAGAAACGTACTCTCACAGTTCCGTGGAAGTTGGTGTCGTACATTTCCTGGCGTTGGTCTTTCGAAGCGTGTTCAGTATAGTGGTATACGCCGGCATTGTTTATGAGTACATCACAGCCACCCTGTTCAGCGCGTATTCTCGCGACAAAGGCATCGACGGAGCCTTGTTCGGTAATTGTAAGCGACACGGGAATCACCTCAACTGCCGGAGAGGTAGGGGCATGACCCAAGTCCGGCAGCTTACCCGCCCGAGAGGCTGCATACAACACCAGCGGCCCAGTGCGGCCTGTGGCCAACTGTTGGCAGATACTGCGTCCGATTCCTCGGCTCTGTCGATGCAGAGTCAGCAGGAGGAACCAAGGCCGGCGGGAAGACAGCTTACAACACCAGTGACCACGGCCACTCTCGCGTTCGGCGGCATCCTTCGTCGGCAATTGTTGCTGGGCGAGTGACGTATGAGGCGATTGTGCGAGTAGGGAAACCGAGCTACCTTGGTCCAGAGCGTAGACTGAGAGTCAACAAAGCGTACCGTGCCAGCGATGGGATGCGGCACACAGAAGGCGGGAAGACACGGCGATAAGCCCACGGTGCCGAGACGTTCCTTTATGCAGTCAGGCCTACGTGGTACAGGTCATCAAGATGACCTATATTTCGTAAGCGTTGACGCGGCGCTAGAATTGAAGATGGCAAGAGTTCTGCTTATCGGCAAGGCTGTCACAGAATTGAATATCAGGCAGACCAGGTAAAGAATACAATTGATGGTTTATCAGTGTCGATGCCGTTTCGCCACTCGCAACCCCTGATTCAGCACGTATATCCACAGGAAATAGAGTCTCGCAGTGCCAAGGTGGGAGGATTACGATCCTGGTGGCCTGTATGTGAATATGCCATGCAGGTTTGACGGAGAGAGGGGAGGGGAGGAGAGGAGAGGAGCGAAGTAATACTTCACACTTCGTACTTCGTAGGTAACTGCGAGCTGTCGTGTCACCTGACCCGACCACAGCCTACAGCTCAGACCGGAGTATGAAGGCAGGCTCTGGCACTTCCTTATATACATGCGTACTGTGTATATGTAGCCGATGGGCATTTGTAAGCTGTATCCATGGATGTATGATATCTATTGGATGTATAATAGGTAGTTAGTAAGTTGGGCCCCGCGTATAGGATCAAGATTCAGCCACTCAGCCTCCATCACACGCTAACGTAGAAACAAGCTCCCGACTGTGCATTAGGTACTTACTTACATTGCCGGCATTTATAGTAAGTACACTGCATGTACATGTACCTATCTATCTATGTGGTTCAATCAGGTGCCACGTTACTATCTTTGCTGCTACGTCGGTATATTTCGACAGGACAAGGCATGGATTGATCCGCAGCTTCAAATAAATGAATTATCACGACCATACCTATGGCCCAGTATCCGCCTGTACACAGCAACATCACTTGAAAGCCAGCATACTAACCTAACCCCGGCTCGGTAGCTACCAATCTTACTAACTAAGGCCGCCCGTCTCCGCCATGCCAACCCCGCCCCCACCTCTCAACCCCAGCACTACCTAGGTACTTCTTTGACCACCATAAACCGACAACCGACAAACCGACAACCTAGATACGGTAGACCCTCCCTACCATAGCTCTGTGTACTTGGTCGTGTTGTCCGGCGTCTCGATCCAAGGGACCTTGCGCTTGACGTAGTACTCAGCTTTCGGTGCCCAGTCCGCCGTGCTCGGATCGATGTCCATAGATCCTACGGGAACGATGTACGCGCCAGGGAACTTCTCGCGGTTCTCCGAGATCATGGTCGAGCCACACGACGTGCAGAACCCGCGCTCGATGCACCCCCCCGAGTCGCATGAGCGGTCAAAGTAGATCTTGAGCGAGTCTTCTCCTTGGAGCAGCTTGAAGTTCTACGCGCCGTTCTGGTCAGCGCTGTCCGAGGGATGCAATGAACGAACGAACGAATGAACGCAGCCGCTGTGTCATTCTCACCTCTTTCATACACCATGTGTTGGCCATGGCCACAGAGCCCGTCACCTTCCGACAGCTGATGCACCAGCACATGTTGTTGTTGTCTAGCTTTCCCGTGATCTCGTACTGGATCTTGCCGCAAAGACAAGACCCTCGCGTGATCGTCTCTGATGCCATGGTAGTCGTCGCTTCCTATCAGGAATATGAGTAAAGAAAGCTAGGTCACAGTTCGGTAGCACCTAGAGAGTAGGTATGTCGAATATAGAATGTAAAAGAGTTTAATGATATTGATTCCTGGCTATCCTCCTTAAGCATGTTGAGGAGACATCCGTCTTTTATATGCTTAACTCCTAAGCTATCTCCGGTCCTACGGGGCAACTTCTTCCCTACCTAGCTAGTACTGTCATCCCCTGACGTTCCTCGCCAAGGTCAAACAAGGATGGAAGTCTTGCAACCACCAAGTCTGCAATCGACCATTACTGAGTTGAATACGCGACTCTTTTCTTTTTTCTTTTTTTTTCAATTGAGGTTGCACTGATGATAGCCTAACCGCTTGACTAAATTCTTTGCACCGCGTCCAGGAGCGCATGGATTCCATCCCTGTCGTTTTCATACCAATTATGAAGTCGTTCGTGAGACCGGAGTACACGCCAGTCCGTCCTACGTAACCAGAGGCAGGGCCGACAATACTATGACACACATGTGCAGCCTTAGATAATTTATATAATTGCTGAATTGACCATCGTACTACTGTAATGTCTGTGATGCTCTCTACTCATCACATCTCATCCATCTCGATAGTCATCTATCTACTTGCACACTTCTGATCAGTTCTACCTTATCCCATCAAAGCCCCAATTGAAACCATGCCTTCATTCCCTGACCGCAAGTACATCGCCGACGTGTTCGCCAACTTCTACGACCCGCCCGAGGGAACCAAGAAGTTCTTCGAGTATGTCGATGACAACGTGCATTGGCAAGTGACGGGCCAGCACCGCTTCAGCGGCACCTGGACGACCAAGGAAGACTACTACAACGCGACGTGGGCCAACATCAACAAGCTCCTCAAGCCGCCCGGATACAAGCTGGAGAGCCCGAACATCATCGTCGACGCGGAGACGGGCTGGTCCGTCATCGAGATGAAGACGGTCGACGTCAAGACCAACGTGGGGGTGCCCTACGTGCAGCACTACTCTTGGCACTGCCGCTGGAACACGGACGGCAAGATTGTGGAGGCCAAGGCTTTCCTCGATGCGGACCACCTTGAGAAGGTCCTTGGCGGGGAGCAGAAGCGTCTTGGTCTCGTTGCTGAGTAAGGATTTCTTGGAGACCTTCACGTGCGTGTGTGCGTGTGTTTGTATGTGTGTGTGTTATGAAGTCAAAAGATCTGCTGTTGAAAAGTTGGAATGAGGGCGGCTTTTGAGGACTTTCAACAATTGGTACACGATTCGGACAAATGTTAGCCCTCATAGCAATCTGACATTCGCTCAAACCGCCGTGGCGTCACGTTACGTACGAGACATGGTACAATTAGAAATGTTGAGTAGACAATGATGATCGGTCTTGAGGCTTGGCTTTGTTTCTCACCGAGATAATTGCATAATCGTAGAGGGGACTGGAGGTTTGTTTCGCCTGGTCTGAAAGTACCTAATCTGCTGGTGATTGTTAATAGGTAGGGAGTCGCTTACCTTTTGGGGGGATTATTGCGGCGTAAAAATGCATGTTAGGCTTCTCCGCATATGATTCCCTGAAGCCCCCCTTCGCGGTTGAGTGCTCTACGTGGCCTCCCGTGTCTTTGAGTCTCATACTGTTAGAGTAGTATCCGGAGCGTAGAAATACCGATCAGGATTCTGTTCACATCGTCCCCCCACCCATGTACCCAGCTTGCCAAAGTCGTAGCTGTTCAAGTGAGTGAGTGTCCCTTCTAAGCGCGCGCGCGTGTAAGAGGGCGAGAAATAAATCGCTAAATACGGTAGTAAGTTAATCCATAGCTACGAATCGGCTTCTTGCCATGTGCTAGACATTGAAATGTGCTGTCTTAGGCGGACCGCAGTAAGAACAAAGGCCGTAAAAGCTGTGTGTAACCATCCAAGTGCAAATACCTAGGTACGTGGAGGTGCTTAAGCGACAGCCACATTGCGGTCGGTCTCAATTTACCCCTACAAGCAAAACAGCTTGGTAATCCTCCCCAGCAGTGCAGGGGAAACTTTGACCCCGGCATTAATCAGAGCAGAGGAAAGCAGAGCCTCACCAACACAGCAAACAAACGATTGGCTGGATGGGGAAGATGGCCCGTCATGATACAATTAAATATGCACTTCCTTCGCCTTATTTATTCTTCTAGCTACTCGCTGTTGCATTTTCTCAACTTCTCAATTGTTATCTCATACAATCATCGCGCTGTAGGATAGTGCCCGTCTTGGGCTACATTCCATCCCGTAATTACGCGACCCAGCTACTCATATCGACACTCTTCCCTCTTGCATTCACTTGAATATGGACTCTGAATCGAGCAGAAGCAAGGAGCATGAAGCCCCGGCCCCTCTTACAGAACCTGACCTTCAGAAGGGAGATGTGGCGGCTCTAGGCGGCAAGGATGAGGTTGAAGAGAAGCGAAAGATCACCGGCCTCCGCGTAAGTCCTTGCTGACATACAAGGCTTCACCTCGGCCTTTGTAGACACTAATACGCGCATGCTAGTGGTTCTTCTTCGTGATCAGCACTCTGGCTAGTATCTTCCTCTACTCGCTCGATAATACCATTGTCGCAAACATCGTTCCCGTGAGTCTCCTCTTAGCAAACGCCTAATTACTCACTCATGTGAAGCATACCCCTTTCTAACGCCATTCTTGGTAACAGACTATTGTGAACGACTTGCAAGGTGTCAGCCAGCTCGCATGGCTCTCTGTTGGGTGCGCATGTCCCTGATCTTATCTTACTTCTCTCTACACTGCCTCATCTGACATGGCAACAGTTTCACCATCGGAGGCATGACCACCGTGCTTCCCTTCGGCAAACTCTACAACATCTACGATGCCAAATGGGTTTACATCGCGTCGACCATCGTGTTCTTGGCTTCCTCGGCCTTGTGCGGCGCGGCGCCAAACATGAACGCCGAGATCGTCGGCCGTGTCTTCGCTGGTGCTGGCGGCAATGGCATGTATTTCGGTCTTATCGCTCTCTTGTCCATCCACACCACGCCCAAGGAAAGACCCCAGTATCTCAGTTTCACGTAAGTTATACCGGAGGCACGGCATCTCGTGGGTGAGGATAGGTTTAACAGCTCGTGCAGTGGTCTTTGCTGGGGTCTCGGGACTGTCCTTGGACCTGCAGTCGGCGGTGGCTTCGCACTCTGGACATGGCGCTGGGGGTTCTACATCAACATTGTCATTCTCGGCCTTGTGCTACCCTTGGCCCTCTTCAGTATCCCTTCAGCCCCTCCGATGGCCGACAAGACGCAACTAGAAAAGCTGAAACTCATTGACTGGTTGGGTTGGGGGCTCTCGCTCGCCGGTATGGTTCTTTTGGTCATCGCCATCAACTTCGGCGGCGTCAAGTTCGACTGGAATAGCGGTGCCATCATTGCTCTGTTCGTTTTGGGGATCGCTCTCCTCATCGTCTTCGCTCTCCAGCAGCACTTTTGCTTCCTGACCACCCGAGAGCAGCGCCTTCTCCCCATACACTTGTTCACCTGGCGGATGCCGTTCCTCTTGTTCTGGACCTGCAGTGCCATCGGTGGTGTCGCCTACACCTCGGTCTACTACATTCCCCTATACTTCCAATTCACGCGCGGCGACTCCGCCATTTATACTGCAGTGCGCCTCTTACCTTACATCATTCCGCTCATCGTGGTGATGCCGTCAAGCGGGGCTCTTCTCAGCCGTTGGGGATACTATAAACCGATCTATGTTATTGGTTCCATCGCTACTACAATCACCTCTATTCTCTTTGGTTAGTTATAACGATATTTTTGAAATTGGACTAGGAGATATCTAACTTAGCGCAGCCCATTATGTCAAGCTGGATACCCCTGTCGGCGCAGTATACGCGATCGAAGTGTTCCTCGGCGCAGGCACCGGCGCCTATACGCAATCGTCATTTGCCGTCTCTCAATCGGTTGTGCCAACCTCTGAGGCGCCGAACGCACTAGCCCTCATGATGATCGGTAATCAATGACCCCCATCCTACGCCATAGTCCAGTCAGACTCTAGCTAACCTTCTCATAGCCCAGCTCAGCGGTCTGACGTTCTCACTGGCCATTGCTGGCGCCGTGTTCGTCAACACCGCTCAGCAGGGCTTGTTTCAACTCCTCCCGGACGTGCCCCGATCCCAGGTCCAGGACCTCGTTGCCGGCGCTACCAGTAACTTGATACATACGCTGCCCGACGACGTACGAACGGATGCGCTCAAGATCATAGTCTCCTCGTTAAACAAGACCTTTATAGTCGTCTATGTCGGGGCAATCATCACGCTGCTGTGTTCGGCCGTGTTTACGGTATGTTTGACTGCCTCTGTAATACATGCAAAGATAGTTTACTAACTACAGTGTGCTTATAGAATGGAAAAGCGAACGCGAATCAAGATGCGCCGAAGGTCGAGGAAAAGGTGGCACCGTCAGCCTAGTCTTGTGTGCCTAGAATTACCTCAGCTTGACGTTTAAGAGCCGTGTATTGGAGGATGATGGGGAAAATGCATTTACATCTAATAGTTGCGAAGGAGTAAGGGAGTAAATCAAGAGGAAATGGTCCTCTAATATCGTTCCGGGATGTATTAGTATACATATTGCAAGACTTGGCATATATCGACCTTTTTCTACATTTAGGAGAAGCAGTTCCTGACTACGTTAATTAGCGTGTCTGTGTTCAACTCGGTGTATATGCTCCGCTCTACATTGGGTGATAAGTAATTGAGAACCGCGGCACGCTTCGAAATCTGTGGTATTTCATTGTTGGGTGCTGTGGCCGGACGGAGGTGGTTCTTCACGATTCCATCAGAAATGGGAAGAAAGTCAAAAATGCAATATTGATTTTAATAAAGACATTATTGCTTCTATAATTAAAGCAAGCCTACTTTGACCAGAGAATCTGAAAGTAATACCTCGATCAATCCCACCTGCTCCCTACACTCCCAAATATAATTCAACCCCAGTCCTACACGCTTCGCTATATTCGTCAACTCTATAGGTTTTTGCACGATATCGTGGATGATCGACATCAAGACCAAGTCTCGCTAGCCAGAGTAATGCGTTTGTAAAATCGCTACCTGTCAAGCTCATGTCCGAAGATGACTAGCTACGCACTCTGGGAGTCATTCTTACCGTTAATTACGGACATAGTGTAGTTTCAGTCTTCTCCCCCAACTACTTCTTCAAGTGCCAGCCGCATCTTGCAACTCTCAACATCGTCAGAGTGCCCCTTTAGTGGGTCCGCGGGAGGTGATGAAATCTACTACTTATACAAGTCGAGCACGCTATACTACGCTATTAGAGGCTCATAAGCTGGAGATTACCTAGATAGTTGGGACAATGGAAACTACACAACAGTTAGATCATGTGAGCGCGAGAATTCGTGTTCAAGTTGAGCTTTAGAGATTGCGTTGTTTGGAACCTATATCTTCGTGTACGTTTTGGAATACATGGATCAAAGCATGATTAGTTAATGCAGAAGATGGGCTATGAAATATTATACCTACGTTAGCAATCCACAGAGTACATCTGAGGTGACCTGGGTGTACATCTATTTATATCTGGGGCGCTGTTATTGTTCGTCTTGGTCTGAAGACAGGTTTTCATGTTCGTTTTCTTTTGTTAGGGTTGCTATTTAATAATGCGGGCGTGTACTTCTTTAGTAAGGGAAAGTTATAAGGAGATACTATCCTTAGACAGTGTCCTGGACGTTGTATCATAGGAATACTGTTTCGCGATAATCTATCGATGTTGGCCGAGGACGGCGTTTCTGGACAGGGATTTAGAAGATAAAATATTGTTCCGACTATTAGACGCAGTCTTACATTATACATCACGAGGGTTATTGAGAAGAACTCGATCATTGTTCACTGCGAGCCCGGAAATAAAGGTCTTACTTATCGAAAGGAGGACGGGAAATATGAACTTTTAATAGGTCGGTTTCTTAAGCCGCGCAAGCATACATTGAAGATATTCCGCAGCAAGAGATCAACAGATTCTTCTTGATGCTAAACAATACCAATAACCTGGGTTCTCACAGCAACAGGTGTCCTGGACATGCGTGATGAACTCGAAACGGACTTGAAGACAAGCACGGCTAACGAGCTCGAGAGCGTTCTTGAAGTGGGAATGGTTTGCACTCGCATTAAGGAAGTTATCAATCATTTGTCAATATTTTACTTAAAACATCAATAAAACAGCAACAAAGATATCGGTGGTGCTGCAGAAACCCGTGATTATATGCGAACTCGTGCCACAGGCTGTGCCTTATGGTCCGTTGAAATTGGCTAAGCGGATATATTATTGAGGCATAAATAATTGGGTCGATATCCGCCTCGATAAGATGCCATTGTCCATCTCTCCGTCTAGTGTAAAAACAACGGAGTTAAGCGCGTAGAAACTTTACGCCTGGTCGGATATTACGAAAACGGAAAGGTGCATAGTTGCGACGTATTAAGAGAAAAAGCGCACCTAGAAGCCTCATCTATAGAGGCTTCGATGATGCTTACAATAGAAGAGGCGATATATTTCTATATAGCCACCTACATTTAGTAGATAAGAGGCAATAGAAAAATGAAGTAAGATACATGGACGTCGAGATACAAGTACCTACCTCTTGGCGTAACGATCATGGAATTAGTGGGGGCTGAGAGGTGCGGGGCATATTTTAACCCCTCTGTTCCCCTCTATGCTTCATGTGTTAGGTAGGGAGGTTGGGAGGGGAGCGCAGAGATGAAAGCGCTTGTAGAATCCTCAGGGGTTACAAAATAAAACTGTGTCTTCAATTGGTCTTGTGAGCCTCGATCAAGTACGATTGATGTCGCTATAAGGTCAAGACTTGACGTTGGATAACAATCGCATTCGTTATCTGGAACCAATACCTATGGAGGGGCAGAATAATAAAAAAATTGGACTGCCCCTCACCCCGTGTTGTGCATTAGGCTGTAACGGGGGTGTCCCCACTTGCAACTCGCCCAGGTCTGCGATTGCGGTTTGCTGGTTCTGTTACAGCGAAACGAAACGCGAAAATTCAGGTATCTGCAGGTACCTAGCTACCTGTAACCTAACGTAAGGGCCTAAGGCCTAAGGGAATGATTTCGAGACGGGCAGCAGAAGCCAGCCAGCCAGTCAAGTGACTCACGTACCGCTCCAATGCGACTACCAGCCCTGCAATCGCCCACGACACTGACATTGACACTGTCGTCGAGCCTTTGCTGCTGGCCTCGCCGCCCTATCGTCTCGAGCCCTTGCATATTCTCCCAAAGAACCTTCACGAGCCCCGTCGCTACGAGTCATCCGAGATTCTACCAACTGCCGCGAGTATCTGTACAAACCCGGCCCCGGACTCGGAACCAGACACCCCTCATCAGGAGTAGCATCGTACAAAATTTCTCTAGCAGCAGCAACAGCAGCAGCAGCAGTAGTGGTGCATCTGCAATAGCAGGCAACAACATGGAGAAGGAGAAGACAGATAAATCAGCCGTCAAGGTGCCCAAGGGTACACGGGACTGGGTTGGTCTAGATATCAAGATTCGAGACCGTATCTTCAAAGCCGCTGAGGACGCCTTCACTCGTCACGGAGGTGTCGCACTAGATACTCCCGTCTTTGAATTAAAGAGCATATTGTCTGGAAAGTATGGAGTGAGTTCACCAAAGTCCTCTCTCCGCACGGCTCATTGTCGCGTGGCAGTCGCGCGACTAAGCTAACATGGCATTTCAGGAAGACTCAAAGTTGATATACGAGCTAGCAGATCAAGGAGGCGTACGTTTCGCCCCGACTCCATATCGCCATCACACCTTCGAACTAGTATTGACTGCAAATAGGAGGATCTCGCGCTTCGATATGATTTGACAGTAAGCCTTCCCATGATCTGGTTGAGCCATGATTGCATCTACGCCGTTGGCTGACTATTTGTTGCGTATAGGTCCCCTTCGCGAGATGGCTTGCCATGAACAACACGCAACAGATCAAGCGCTACCACATCGCTAAAGTCTACCGGAGAGATCAACCCGTCCGTTAAGCCACTTTCTCTTACATCCCACCATCATTGGCATTCCTACGTATTCCAAGTCGGTCCAAATAATTCCGGGTGCAAAATACTATGGTGTGGCTAGTAGAATGCTTTTCTACAGCGCATATCGTCAAATGGCGTAGGAAGTGGGCCGACTTGGTGTAATGAGGAATATCATGTGATACACGATCGACGATGAACGCCGTTACTGACATATTCCCTTACACAGGCTATTGCAAGAGGTCGTATGCGCGAGTTTTATCAATGCGACTTTGATATCGCTGGTGAATATGACTCTATGATACCCGATGCTGAAATTCTTCGAATCGTGTATGAAGTGTTCTCATCGCTTGGTTTGGCCAAGGACGTCACGGTCAAGATCAACCATCGCAAAATCCTCGACGTATGTTGACTATCTCACCAATATCCCCTTTTATTCCCCACCATATGCTGATTACGGAAACAGGGTCTGTTTGCGGTTGCTGGTGTGCCTGACGATAAAATCAGGTCGATAAGTTCCGCGGTTGATAAGCTAGACAAAATGAGCCCCGAGGAAGTGAAGAAAGAAATGATAGAAAAGGGCCTTGAGGGCAATGTTGCCGACGAGATTCTCGAGTGGACCAAATACAGCGGCGACATACCAAAGATCATAGATCTTCTATCAAAGAACGAGAAAATGGTTGCCAATGAGAAGATGAAGAAGGGAATAGAAGAGATGAGGCTGCTCCATAGTTATCTGGACGCCTATGGAATTGCGGATCAAGTATCATTCGACCTAGCGCTAGCTCGCGGTCTCGACTATTATACAGGTATGGAAACACAGTCGACTTAGCGAATAGTCACGTCTCCGTTGCTAACAATTCACCAGGGTTGATTTATGAAGCCGTTATAGAACTTAGCGCTAAGGATCGCTCGGCCGAGACGAGGGTGGGCAGTATCGCGGCTGGTGGACGCTACGATAACCTGGTCGGCATGTACGGCCGGAAACAGATTCCCTGCATCGGCATTTCATTTGGAGTCGACCGTATTTTCACAATACTCAAATCACGCTACGAAAAGGAAAAGCAAAAAGTGCGCGGCAGCGATGTCTACGTTATGGTATTCGGCGGCAAAAACGGCCTGCTTGCAGAGCGCATGGGTATCGCGCGCTTGCTCTGGGACGCCGGTCTCAGCGCCGAGTTCTCGCCGAAGGTGAAGCCGCGTCTACCACAGCAGTTCAAGGCCGCCGAGACGGGCGGAATACCTCTCGCCGTCATCGTTGGCGAAGACGAGTTAAAAGCCGGCAAGGTCAAGGTCAAGGTCATGGGCCTGCCCGACGGCCACCCGGATAAAGAGGGCAAGCTGGTCGAGAAGACGGACCTCGCTGTCGAGTGCAAAAGGTTGCTGGCTGAGGGTGCGCAGCAGACGAACGGCGAGCCGGATGTAGGATCGTTGAATATTTCTTGATAGATCATAGAATTTGAAAATATACTTTTCTCACTCTCGATTCTTATGCTTTGGATCATGACGACCATGAATTGCAGCTAGGTATATAAGGTGGGGGGGGGGGGGGGGGGTAAATAGAACTAAAATATATTAGACAGGGGAACATGATACCTTGTGTCTAGATCGCAATGTGATGGGTAGATTAATAGAGTAACTTAAGCTAGCTCATGACGGAGATATAATAAGATTTATTGCGATTTATCTAAGTAGACTGACACTCTCTCAATGATCTATAATAGAATCTCACGTTATATTAAATGATTCCATTTCGGTAAATACGTGATCTTGCTCACCAAGGTCTTTCTTTACAAGAATCTGCTTTATCTACACATATAAACATGAACATGTTTAATCCAATCTCTGTTTATTTATCTGGAGAGGAGAGGACAAGAGAGGCAAGTAGATAGGAAAGGCTGGTTTGGTACCAAGTTACTAGAACTATCTGGTGAAACTCGCGTTATCACGTTTTCTCTTTCCGCATTACCTTTTCCCACTATCTCTTCCCTCCTCCCCTTTTCTTCTTTTCTTCCCTTCTAGGTAGGTAAGTAGCGCTACACAACCTCCCACCGAGCCAACCACCCGACGCCCACCCCCGAATCCCTAACAACGCACAATCTCGCCGCGCCCTTCTCGCTCTTATGATCCTTCTTCGCCCTCTTGTTCTCGTCCGATAATGCGCGCAGCGCGTGTGCGGCGGTGATGCTCCCGATGGCTTCGGCGCGGCCGTCGCGCAGATTATACGCGCCCGTGGTGACGAAGCCGATGAGATCGGCTGCGTCGGGACAGAGCGGGTGTCCGTTTATCGAGGTTGCGTTGGCGGTGATGGTAGTGGGGAAAGGAGACGTGTTGATAGTGTTGTCTGCGGAAAGGAAGGAGGCCGGAGGTGTGCCAATGAGGGATTGCGCGAGGGCTTGGCGTCGAGCTTCTGGGGTGAGGGTTGCGTCTTCTTTCTTTGCGGATTTGTTCCTGGTGGAATTGTTGGATGTGAATGGGCGTTGAGAAAGCCATTGTGCGCGGAGATCGGGGGGTAATTCGAGTTGGCTTTGCGGAGGCGGCTGGGTTGCTGGGACTTCGGCTTGGGAGGATGTTTTTGCGGCTGAGGGGGGAGTGGTGCGTGGTAGACGGTATATCCGTGCGCATGATGTTACGACGCCTCGCCCGAGGAGCTTTATGTTCACTGTCACGGTGGAATTAGGTGCTAGTGTGGCTGGAGGTTGATTCGAGGATAGAAAGGTGGTGAAGATGTTTTTGGGGATGTGCGTGATAGTATTGTCTGTAAGGGTCTCGATTTCAGCCTTGTCGTCAAGTTTATTTGACGTCGGCTTTTCCTTTTCTGACTTGGGGACTTCTGGCGCATCTGCCATTTCGTGATCTTTATCATTGGGCGTCTTCTCCTCCCCCGTTGAAGAATCCCCCATACTGAAAAGGGTTTTGAAATCGCAGCTCCAACCCACGCCGACTTCACCTTTACGCCCGGCGCCGAGATCGACAGTCTCCCATTTCACCCGCTTTCCTTTGGGCTTGCGATCCCAAGTTCTCCACCTAGCCTGTCGTTCTCGTGTCTCCCAGCTATTGCCAGCGCTCGTCCCGGGTACGTCCCCTGGGAACCAGGGCTGGCCACGCTCAAATGACAGCTGTCTGATTTCGTCGAGTCCACCGAAGGCCGGATTGCCACCGGTAGATAGTGGGTAGTGCATTAAGCTGTACCATACAGCCCGCACGCATTTCCAGGGAAGTAGGAGCGTCCAAGTCCCTGGTACTCCCGCGCCGTTCGCATTTCGCGTGGCAAGTAACATGATGGGGATTGGGGGATCAACATCACTTGGCTCGAGAGGAGTGCCCGGTCCACTTTTTCCTCGACGACGGTTTAGAGATCGCTGAGACGGAAGTTTCGAGGCTTTGAATCGGACGTCTCGGTCAAACAGTTGATGTGGTCCATGAGTTTCGTCATTGCGAAATGTGAAGAGGGATTCGAGGAGACGTGTCTGCGATTGCTTGTCTGTGGCTGGTGGAGGCTGAACCTTTTGCGGCGGGTATTTGAGACGTGGATCAATGATAGAAAATGCCAGCAAGGCTCCTAGGGGCAATGACGCAGGGTCTCTCAGACCTAACAAGGACTCAAACTTCGAGGCGTGTACTTGCTTTGAACTAGAGACGGAGGCTTTGAGTACACCAAGTAAAGCCTCAGTTGCGTCCGGTCCCGTGATATCGATGCTTCCAATTTCGTGTCGTAGATCTTGTATGTATGGCTGCGGCTTGTATGCTCTGATAAGTTGTAACAGCTCATTAAATACCTGATGGAAAGCAGATGGGTGAATGCGGATGAATAGTTGTCTGGACACACTGTCTGCTTCCGTGTCAACAGATGCTTTCGGAGGGTCCCAGATGATAGTCGCAGGGCCAATGACACAGACGGCGTTCTTGACTTTTCTGCTCAGATTGCCAGTCCAATGTACGGCTCCTGATCTCCAACGCGATCCTCTTTCATTCCATAATGACTCCTGCGTAAGACCGATGTCCTTAAGAATATTCTGGACAATGTTCTCTTTTCCAAATAGGCTAACTGTGCTCATATAGCTCATATCCCAAGCTATAGCGCCCTTCTGCCACTGAACCCGATGAGTTGGTCGATAATTCTTCTGTGTAGGGGTTAGGGGTATGGAAAATCCCCATAAAGGCTCTGAAGGGAGTGTCATTCTAGCCCTTTTGGCGTGCCACAGGTGAGTAGGCAACCAAGTCTTGTTCGACTGTCGTTTCCTATATCTAGGCGCAGTGATGGGGAGATCGTTTAGCTCATTTCTCTTGATCTTTGGTCTAGCAGCGCGTGTCGCTATAGCATCACTGTCGGGTCCAAGATGTTTCTTAATCTTGAGCAACCGCTTCCGCTTGGCAAGGATGCCCAACCTACGTGCCGTCTCAGCACGTAATCGCGCCCTGGATGACTTAGGCTTTCTTGTCCTTGAGTTCACTGTCGGAGTATTGTCCTCGGCCATCTCTCGCTTAGCGCGTTTGTGTAGACGTTTTGGTATCCTTTTGTAATTATGAGCAGCAGTTCTTCGTCTCATGGTGAAAGGCACGCGCTGGAAGGCGCGGCTTGTCGCCGAGGCGCGGGTTCGACGCATGCTCTCGTCCAGGGCATTGATCTCAAATGCCATGGAGTTGACAAAGGACTGCACGTTGAGCTCGCCATCTTGCAGTGCAGCATGCTGGTTTTGAACGGCTATACTTCGTGAGTCGAAGAATTTGTTCCTCTTGGCGGCCCTTGGGTTCGATTGTGAGTTGGTGTCTTGCGGTCCATTTTTTCTCTTGTTGAACTGGCCCGAGCCTGTGGTTTGGGCTGAAGAAGGGGCTGAGGGCTTCCCATTCTTACCCCGTGATGCTTGCTGGGGGGGCATCTCAGCTCAAACTTCACCCACGGTAGGGGTTACATACGCAATAAGATAGATTCCAGCCGCCGGCACAGGAACATGGGCTTCTTTTATATGCTAGAGCTCCATGTAATGAGGAAGAGAGCCCTAGATATCTCTCATTTCCCTGGTCCTGATCATGCTAATCTCGTTGTCGCTGAATGATGCGTTTGCGTGTCGAACTTAGCCGAGAGTGCTCTACCGGGTTTTGCCAAGTGACCAAGTCTTCAGCAGTAGCAGTTCTTCAATATCTTATATCTTTGGGCGGTGACTGAACTCAAAATAGATTCCGTATTTGAAGATCAGCTCGTGCTCAGCATGAATGTCCTGCTGTGTGTCATGATGTCCAACTTGTACATGAGGAAAATGGCTGCTAATTGGTCGACGAGCGTGGAATTTTACCCATTTCAGCACTAACCCGATTCAGGGTCGAGTTTCACTAAATTGGTATGGGGACCCTGTACAAACCTGTGTACTGCCTGTGCTACCTACCTAGGTAATACTAAGTACCTATGTAAGTACCTACTGTCGGGGGTTCGTGGAAAATCCGCCGAGTCCCCTTATTCTGCCCAGATCTGCCCTATGAACCTGCCTTATTCTACCCTACTAGGTAAGGGCTGTTACTTTTTCACAGCTGAGAACACTTCACCAACTAATGACGTCTTGCCTTAACCCGACCTGAGATAGTGTCGTGAGATAGTGCCGGCATCCACGCGAGATGTGCAGTCTGTGCTCGAACAATGTCCAGTCCCGTATTCTGCCCGTATTTGCCAGAGTCTGCAGACTTGGGCCCCCCCAGTCTCGACGGCTTGTCTCGACGGCTCGGGAGTCCAGGCTGTCCAGACTTGGTTGGCCCTGCCAAGTAGTGCTGACAACCTGACCATCGCTCAGCCCATTCAGAGCCCATTCTCGATCTTCTCGATGCCCTCTTCACTTTCATCATTGCTCCTTTCGCTTTAATCATACTAGTACAGTATCCCTGGCGTCTTGATACCCGGGTTATAGTTACTTTACTTGCTTATAGTCGTTCTTATCGACCTATTTGTTGCCACAGTGTCGGCGCCAGTGCTTCAGGTACCTAACCTACTCCTACCTACTTCCCTGTCGAGCCTGTCTCGTACCTACACCAACTGCGGGCTAGATCCAAATCACCCACCTCCCATTCAGATCTCGCTCTCTCGCTCACTCGCTCTGTCGCTCTGCTTCCACACACACCCCCCCTCTTCCTCCCGCATATTCCGGCCCCTTGCGATTACGAATCCATCAGGCCGTGTCGACTTATCAGTCCCGAACCAAACCGGCATCAGCTATGACTGCATATCGCCGCGATCCTGTCCGCATCGGCTAGCTGCCAGCTGTGCCCCTACTACTGCAGTCGCAGACTCTGCCTTGGTCTGGTCCGTCCAGTCCGTTGAATGCGACTTTAGCCGTTAGGATCGACAATAGTAATCCTGTCCTACCATGGCCTCGTTGTGTATGTAAACCCCCAACGGCTCCTTGACTCGATCCCCCTCCCTAGCCATGAACTCCCTCTCCTTCCCTGAGTCGCATTTCAAAGAGCCTTTTTTCTTGTTACTCGGGATACCCGGGATTGATTACCTCATTGGCTAGCCGCATATACGCTTTGCACGACTCTGCATTGTCTGAGCATCGTCGCTTTATACACTTCCCTAGAAACCTTCCTTGTCACTGTCGCAAATTATAGCTGTCCACTTCTGTTGTCCCATGAGGCGTTTACATCTTTGTCGTGACCATCATGCCATCCTCTTCCTACTCTACCCTACTATGCACCACACTGTCGCCAGCGCAATTCTAAGCTGACATGCGTGTCTTCCCAATAGTAAATAAGGCTAGAAAGGTAATCTACTAGCACACCGTTGCTCTTGCTACTCTGCTATGTATCGTCACTAATCGCTCATCCGCATATAGCCGAAATTCGAATTACATCTCTGGATATACGACTTGAACAATGTGCCATTAGTCGCCGGCAAATCCTACGTAAAATGGCATCTACCCAACAGTATACACGGCGAACACCGTGGCCGTACGGCAAAGTGCTCCGTCGACAAGATCCATCATCGCGCCACATATAATTACTCGAAGACGGTACCCTTGCGAATCTCTATCGATCGCGCGAACAACCTGACCGAGTGCCCCATTGAGTTTGAGATTTTGCAAGAGTTTGCGACCGGACTCGCCGGACGGGACGAAAGGATATCACTGGGCAACATACGATTAAACCTGAGCGAATATGTCGAGGAAAGCGAAAATCATACTCGCCGGAGCACGGCGTCTCGAATTGCAGGGGGTCTAGACCATGCGCGAGACAAGATCAGCCAGCACGTACCACAGAGGAAGCTAAGCGTGGGTAGATCAGCTAGCGAGGGCGAACGACCAGGCGTATCTTTGTCGACAAGCGCATCCGCGCAACACCCGGAAGAAAATGACGTCGTAGACGAAGAAGCCGAGGAGGGCATTGTACGACGATACCTGATGCAGGATAGCAAGATTAATAGTACCCTTAAGATTGGTATTCTCATGGTCCAGGCGGATGGGGAGCGCAATTATGTGGCGCCGCCGTTAAAATCGGCCACCATGTTCATGGGTGGTATCTCAAGCATCATTGCGGGCGCCAATGAGCAAGTTGATGGGGAAGAAAGCAGCGACCCCGGCGGCGCCTTACCGAGCATGATTAAGTCTCGTGAAGCTGCCGAGGCCCAAGACATATACCGTCGTGCGCTTGCCGCAAGCTGGGATTCCCAACCCGGTGAATTACACGCCGACGAGTGCATAGAGGATATCTTTGCCGGTGGCAGTGGTTGGCGTGATGGCACGGGCGGCAAGTCGGCGAGGTCACACGCGGAATCGCCAAACCCCGGGAGGACAAGCAGCAGCAGCAGTAGCCGAACGCCAAGCACGAGTAGCGACGATCCACACGGCGGCACGCTTCGTCCAACTGATATCCGGCGCATTCAGCACATGCGCGACAACAGTAACGTGAGCGACAAATCCAACGCTACTATCACAGGCCTCAGCAACAACGATTACGGCGTACAGTCTTCGAACCTACCGCCATCAAGACCTAGCCCACAATCGCATCATACGCAGCGGTTCAGCAGACATGGTGGGCGCAGCTCACCATACACAACCCACAGAGAAGACAGCGGCGCGTCCCTCTTCGACGAGAGCCCGTCCCCCGGTCTCCACAGTCGCAACGAGAGCATGACAAGTCTCGTCCCGACGCTCGGCAGCACGGGAAGTGGTAGCGAGCGGGGCGGCGGGCACAAATCAAATGGGTTCCGCCGCCCGAGGGAAATCGACGAATACGAGCTGCGAGACGATCTCGTCGCGTGGAGTATATCAGAGACGACGGCATAATTTACATTCGCAATTGCATACCAGGAAACAGCATACGGGTGTTACGGCGTTACGTTTTATGGGGGAAAGGGGTCACGGTACCTAAGCTAGATATCATATGGCTCAAGCAAAGCATACATACAGGGGGCTGGTGTTCATGGCGATATATAATGCTGATTTTTTTTTTCTTTTTCTATTTATGTATGAAGTGTATAACAAGCGAAGGAGAAATACATCAAAAGTGCGGAGAATATCTTCGGATTTTATAATTATAAGTCACATCCAACTAACTACATACTCGTGCATTATTTTTTATCACAATCGGCACGAACGTGCGACATTGTGGTTATCCCGTATGTAACACAATTCCTTCTGTATTGATTCACGATTATATTAATCGGTGAGTTTACGGGTAACTAGCTTTCTTTATTTCATAGAGAAGCGTTATAACCTTTCGTTTTCGAAATGGATAATGTAATCTATATGATCTACGCGTACCTTGTTAACCTACTACATTCCAAAAGACCTTTCCCATTCTCCTCCCCCAAACACCCCTTTAACATTATCGTAATAAGTCAAGTGAAACCAAAGCGTAGATTCCACCGCCGAGTAGACGCAACAAATTCATGACACGAAGAAAACAAGTTAGATAAAGGCAGGCAGCCATAGTAGTCATAGTACGTAATGAATCATTGGCTCTTTTTAATATTCCTCTATGTAAACCTCCCTGCCTGCCTTACCCTCAAGGTTGTATTTCCTCTATCATGTAAAAAATGCAACCCCCCAACCACCCAATGAAGTAAGTACCTACGGATTCCCTTACTTATTACTAATATCTCAGACTTGTAATCCCCGTTGTATACGGATAGATCAATAAGCCGATGCAAACTAGTCTTCAGTCCCGACAGATGCGTGCGCATGGCGAAATCCATTACCTCGTTTTCTCGTCCTTGAGATCTCTTCAAGGAGCCTTCAGAGTTCCCCTGACACCGCCCTTGCCACCGACTTCCCTTGCTGTTATGATGACACTTAGGTCGTTACCAACGGTGATGGTAACCTCGACTTTGCCGCCCTTCTTGACGCCCTTGACGGCGGCCTCGGCGAGGGGGCTGCCGATCTTCCAGACCTTTTCTCTGTGCTCCTCCTCCTCTTCTTCGGAGTCGAAGTCACTGTCCTCCTCGTCATCGCCATCTTTGGCACCGTTCTCCTTTGCCTTGGGTTCAGGCTTGGTGACCTTGATGTGGGTGCCACCCTCGACAACCTTGACAAGAACGTCGCCGCCATCCTTGGCCTCTACGTGGATAGCACGACGGGCAGGAATAGCTGTCTCGGGGGCAATTACGGGTGTGAATGTTTCCTCGCCATCGTCGGATATCGTGAGGACTCCAATGGCATTTGAGATGTGGTTGACAGTGGTAACGGCTGGGTGAGTGGACTGCTCAATATCGTCGGACTCGTATTCTTGAATCAACGAAGCTTGTAGGGCAGCACCACGGGCTTGCAGTTCTGAAGGGTTCAAAGCGGTGGCGTTTGTTGAAGGGGCTAGGACTGTGGTGGTGGCAGGAAAGATGGAGCGCAAGTTAGAGGCAATTCTAGGGGTGTGCGAGCTGCCACCAGACAGTATAACCTCGTCAATATCAAGGACATCTAAACCGGCCTTCTTGACAACACCCTCAACCAGTCTGTTGAAACCCTCGAAAACCTTGCGTGCGATGGTCTCGTACCGTAATCTGTTAATGGTCATCTGGAAGTCAATACCCTCAGCCAAACTCTCAACACTAAAGTTGGCGTTTGTGCCTATGCTGAGCGCCTTCTTGGTGGCTTCGGATTCAGCCTTCAGCTTTGCCAAGCTTCTGGCGTTCTCGCGGGGATCAACATTGGCGTGCTTCTTCATGAATTCCTTAGCAAAGTGGTCCATAAGGACCTTATCCAACTGAGCGCCGGCGAATTCGTAGTCGTGGGCAGTCGCAAGAAGGGTGTAAAGACCCCCTCTTGAGGCAACCACAGCAACATCTGAGCGTGTACCACCGAGGTCAGCCACTACGACGATCTTGTCCTCCACCTTCGCCTCGGGTCTCGCATCGTAAGCGAGGACTGAGGCAATTGGTTCGTTGACCAACTGTAGAATTTCCAGGTCGGCAGCCTGCGCAGCCTTGATCAAAGCTTCTCTCTGCTTCTCACCAAAGTTTGTAGGTACGGTGACGACAGCCGATGTGACCTTCTTTCCAATGTAATCTGAAGCAGACTGTACAAGTCGTCGCAAATACCGGGTGGAAATTTCAGAGACAGAGAGGACAGAGGGTTCGCCTTCCGCCTTATCCTGGATCGTGAAGGAAATTGTTCCATTCTTATCTTCGGGGTGAGCAGCGGCGTGGCAGTGTGTGGGGTCAATCGACTTGAAACTATTCTCAGGTAAGCAGGCTGCCAAGATAGTTGTGTAGAGGCTAACATACTCTTGTCCGAGGAAGTCCTTGAAGGCAACAGTTGTGTTCTTGGGGTTGCGAACTAGGAGAGCCTTGGCTTGGTTTCCGGTATATTCTTCACCGTCTACATAGGAGAGGGTAGTGGGAATCTGGCGATCTAGGAAGCCGGCGTGGTTAGTGGCACGATAGGGAATGTTAGGGTTCATGGAAGGGGAAAGAGAACGGGGAAGAGAACGGGGAAAGGCATAGGAGATACTCTAGTGACTTACCTCCATCCTCATTCGCGATCACAACAGGGCTGTCGTCGATAGTGCAGGCAATAGAGCTGTACGAGTTACCAAAGGAAATACCAATGGCGCAGCGATCACCTGGCGCAGCGCCAGGAGCGGCCCCGTTCTCTGCCATGCTTCGAAAAGACCGTGATAAATTTGGTCGGTTTTGTGTGCGTGTCGACAAGCACGGGGAGGGTGTTGGCAGCGTCGAGATCTGATTAGCGGAGCAGGCCGTCAGAAGTGCGGACGTATGGCAGCTTGTCTTCGTAAATTTTGGCGGCCAGAAAAAAAAGTTACCCAAGATCAGTGATGGAAGACTGCGACGCTGCCCCAGCCACAAATGCCCCTCCAACCCGATGTCGTGGCCAGCCACACATGCCTCTCTGTCTTATCTCCATCTTATCTCTTATCTTTGCTTATCAGCTCTGAGCTTCCTATCGAAATTCGGCTAGCCGAAGCTACCCTGCGTGGCCTGGCTGAGATGAGAATACGCAGCTTGCTTCACTCTCACATACTCATCCAAGGGATTGCTGGAAAATGGCAGCTCATGCTGATCGCGTATTTGTTTTGCCGGGAGACGAGATCCCCGCATCCCTCGTACCATCACATCCCAAGAAGGCTTTGAAGCTTGGCCCCGGTCTGCGACATGTGCCGCCGAGTGAGTTGATACCAACCGTGGCTGGCCAGCTTGTCACGGACCACAGGAAGAACTCGGTTTGGGTCGAATATAACGGTGGAAGAGTGAGCCCGAGCCCATAGACATCCCCGTCCCCGCACAATCAGGCCTCACTAACCCCAGTCTCAAGTATATCCCGGCTGTTGGTGATTTGGTGATCTGCACTGTCCAGCGTTCTGGTCCGGACTACTACTACGTCACCATCACCGACTACACTCCCAACGCCATTCTCCCTCAGTTGGCCTTTGAGATGGCCACTAAGAAGACTAGGCCGCAGCTCAACCACGGTGCTTTGGTATATGCCAGGGTGTGTCTGGCCAACCGTCATATGGACCCTGAGTTGGAATGTGTCTCGCCTACTACCGGCAAGGCAGATGGGCTTGGTCCCCTGGTTGGAGGAATGCTTTACGACATATCTCTCGGAATGTCTCGGCGGCTCCTAATGAGGAAGTCGGTTGAAGAGGGGAAAGTAGCGGTGCTGGAAGAACTAGGGTCTGCCGGCCTTGCCTTTGAAACGGCTGTTGGCAGAAACGGCAAGCTATGGGTCAACAGCGAGAGTGTCAAGACCGTTTTGGTAGTCGGACGGGCCGTAAAGGAGACGGACGATAACAATCTTAGCGTCGAACAGCAGAAGAAACTCGTCCGAAAACTCGTCAAGGAGATGAGCTAAGTGAATAGATCGGGCTTATGTTGGTAATCGCTCGGTGCAGAATCCCCAGCGCAAATGGCAAGCCAGAGCCAGACTCTCAGTATCCCAACCACTTTGTACGGTGTCATCTCGCCTGACGCAACATCGCCAAATGTCCGAGTTCTGTTGACGATCCATGAATTAATTGAGCACGAAGATGTCGCCCTGCTACACCGCCTTGCTGCACCTCCAGCATCGCTTCCGCCTCATGGGCATATCGACATCACGTAAGTTTCAATGATTTGGAATTTTTTTTATTACTTGCGCATGCGTAACATTTTAAAAGCGAGTTCTAACCAATTGATTCATAGCACAAAGTCCATTTTTAGATCATGAAATCCAGTGTTTGAATGGTTCCTTTATATTGAATGCTATGCCGGTTGCTGACCGCGCGCCGCAATCAGTTCCTCCGGTCTTGACCGGGAAGGCCATAATGCGCCTCACAGTCCTGAGACTTCATGGCTAAAGTCGTACAGAAGGCGGCGTCCGGATAGAATAGCGGGACAACTCACAGGAGAAGATATCCATGTACCAACAGGTACATTTGCAGCCATCCAATTTGGCTAAATACATCCATCATCACCACCACCACCTCGAGCCACTTTAACCAGCTCGCTATTGATGTGTACTCTTATCTCTGTTCTCGATCTATCGCAAAGACCGACGAAATCCAGACCCCCAAATAATGAACATGGGAATATATTGCCCAATGATATTGTAATGATTACCAACTTCCATCCAGCGATTAGATTGCAAAGTGGTTATTCTACACACGACGATGGTACCTTTTCTCCGTAGGAGTTCGCGTGTTGCTGGGATATCCGAATAACGACATGAAAATATAAGACTCTCGTCTCGGATATAAATTCGCGATGGCAGAACGCGAATCTAAAGTTGCTTTACTAATGCCTACGCGTGGTCGCTTGTCTCTTCCTGTCCTCACGTTCAAGCGCGTTCTTGTTAAGTCAGATTTTAAAACTCAAGATGCAGTTCCTTAGCCTTCTCGCGTTTATAGCGGCCTGTGCTGCCAGCCCCATTACATCCCAGGCTGCTCTCAAACCATATGTCAAGCCTAAGAGCTCTGACTCAAGAGGCCCCTGCCCGTTGTTGAACACTCTGGCTAACCACGGCTACCTGTTGGTCTTCCCAATCTATTATTCATAATAGAGCTCCGCTAACAGATTTCCACTTCAGTCCACATGATGGTCGCAACATCACAGTCCAGGACATCGGTAATGCCATTTTTGACTCCACGAACTGGCATTCCGACTTCGGTACTTTACCCGCAAAATTTGCATTTCAAGGCCTCGGGCTGTCGAGCATCAAGCTCTCTGACCTCAACAACCCAAAAGGGGGCGAGCACCCTGCGTCCCTGACGCGCAAGGACGCCAGTTCCGGCGACAGTAACACCATCGACACCACCCGCGTAGCTCAATTTCTCGCAGACAGTAAACCCAACTTTTTGACAGTTGAATCACTGGCAAAAACCCGCAACCGTCTTGATACTACCTCTAACCCACTTCCGACAACCCAGGAGATAAGCGTAGGGCAGGGGGAGGGGGCGCTCCTGTTGTTACTTATGCGCGACACCTACGTGCGAACGGACAACATAAGCACAATTCGCGCGCCAAAAGACCGCACTAGAGTTTGGCTGCTGGAAGAGAGATTCCCTACAGCTCAGGGGTGGCAACCTGCTAAAGAGACTGTCCTGCTTTCAGATACGGCTCCAATCAGCGCCGCCATTGTTGACTCGCAGGCGGTGCAAAGGGGAAGTTCTTAGAAATCAAGCATAAGATGCAATGACAGTTTCCAACGTCAAGTTGCGTTTAATAAAAGGCTTATTTGCTAGATTGCCCAAGTTTTGGGGCATTACAAACGGTACTTGAGCATTACCATGCAGTCATCTGCCGCATGGCTAGTGACTAATACTTGTAAGAGATCGCTGACAAAACTTGTCCACTGTGTTACAACAAACTCAGCTCACTGTGACTGACGTATGTACTGTAAGACTGCTTGCATACTCAACATCCTCCGCAGTCTGGCTTATAGACCTTCCTCTCGTCACGTCACTCGAAGAACCTCCGGTCTAGGACTCCCGCCATCAAGCCACCAAGTCGTATTGCATCACCCTTCTACATTCAGCAAGCGCCGGTAGATTCGGTGTGTTAGAATCATTCTCCATCATCACCTCGGCTCAATCCCTAGTCACTATCAATCAATCGTCGGGTTAAAGCGTCGTCCTTGCACCACGGACCTTTGTCAGCAATGTTGTTAATGATGCACTGGGCATTATCTTCACTTACGAGTAATACGGCCTCCACACAAACCTGTTTCAATTGTCATCGATGGCCGAGGTCGGGCGTCCCTTTTCCCACCTCACCACCTCCTCCGATGTCTGTCTAATTGAGGGGGAAACAATGCCAAGGCAAAATTCCGAGTAGCGATGTCGTCCTCCCCGCCATACTGCTCTCTATGAGCCGGGTGTAGTGTTCTAAGGTGTGATTATTATACCAAAGGTATATCAATATTCGCTAAGTCAAACCAAGTTGCTCCTCACGTCCGCATAACCAGTTCGCCATTCAACTGTAACTCCCATGATACCCATTTATGTTTCGTAGACCGCTTGCCGGAGCTCTTGGATGACGAGGATTTCTTTCCGTCCTTCGATTCGCTCTGACTGCTGCAGGAGACACAGAGATCTTTATTATGTGAGCCTGGGGTACCATCACTCCCCGCGATTGCCATGCGGAAGGCTAATGGGGGTGGTAGGGCATCACATCCATTGCAAGGCATTGTCGAGCCTTCGGTCAGAGATACTGTGAGCAGGTGGGTATATCCTCCCCACGCGATGGGACTTGTCGGGTTCCGTGCACGACGAAATCGGCTGGCGTATGTTTAGATGTTTCTTGCTGTTGACCACCAGCGACAGCTTGTCAATTAGACGACTCTGAGCTCTGTCTAATGCACTAGATTGTCGAGGCTGTGTGTATATATGACGAAAAGGATTCAGAACAACTCGACAAGAGCAGACCATCGTTGGAAGTCCTAAGGCCTATAATATAGAAACACGTCTCTATAGCTTAACCGTTGAGCGGAAAGGCGCCGGTCATGGCTCCGTCACCCTTTCGGATACGTCCGCATACGCCATTTCGCGCTTGCCGTTGCTTAACGCTTGTTTCTGGCTGCCGAATGACTCTGACAATTCTTGGCAGCTTCCCCAAAGGTGCAGCAGTTCGTCTCATGAGAAACTAGAGGCGTCGACAATGGGGAGAGTGAGATAATATTAGGTTCATGGGACTAGCTTCAGCTCCGTTGCAAAATGTAACCCACACCTACTCCTCCTTTCCCGCGACAACGGCTTGGTGCGTATCTCTATTCCCTGGCTACCACGTTGCGGCGAGGTGCATTGGGTGGGATGGATCGCGAGGTCCTTGTTCCTTAAACTCTACATCCCCGTCCTATCAGGATTCAGGAATTTCTCTGAACCATGTCTACTCGGTGACGATAAAGGTAGAGTGCCAAATGTTAGTGTACAGCTACGTATCAGACTTCGGTAGAAATCCGTAGTAATAGATGACCTAATTACGCCCTCATGTCTCAGTCGACGTCTTGGCGTTATCAACTACCCTGGCCTATACCGTCATGTTTGTTCGTAAGGCTACTAAGCTGGCTGGTTATTGCCAGGGCGCAGATGCAGGTTTCATCCCATAGATGATGCTTGATATGCGGTAGTCGGAGCGGCTGAACATTAAGTTCCACGTTTGTGAATCCGTCGAGTCAAACCCATGTCATCACGATTTCATCCCTACATTAAACCACCAATCTCGATGCTGTATGAAGATTACATTCTCTACATCACTAGACTACGCTAATAATAACTCTATACAGTGTACCTACCCACCATCGTAGTAGGTAGACAAATTACTTACTTAGTACATAGTGGTCATCCAATCACTATCTCCCATCGAGTGAATATAGCACGAAAACGATGTTAGCGTCGCCTCGGTGGCAGGTCACTTGCCTCCTTTCCTCAAGCCCAGGTTCCCGGAACAGCAGGCCGCAAACTCGCCAAGGCGACCCAACTTCCATACCCTGGTCTGCCGTCCCATGGCGTATCTTATCCTTCGAGACGGTAGGATCTGAAGGATGAATAATAATTCTGAACTACAATGCAATCTGATCCCGTGTCGAGGAACACCCCGCCCGGTTCCGCCCACGCTTGAGCCGCAGCCGAAGCTAAAGCGAGGCATGATGTAACCCGGATAGTTATCTACATGTAGGTATTTGTCTTTCGGTTCCAGAAGACAGGGTCTCGTGTCACACATATTTTCCCCTCTCGTGACCTTGGCAGACATCTTTCTCCGCGGCTCAGACACCAAGTACCTATCAAATCCAACAACTGCCCAATCACATCTGTCAAGGAAAGGCGCAGTGCGTAAAACTGCAATACCTACACTAAAATAGCTGCCTATCTACATACATGTACTGTAAGCAGGCCCAATACCGACGAGGAGGTACACTAAAGCAGCCATGAAACGCCTCATTTATCTTCGTAGCTCGGCAAATAACGATTCTCAAATTCATGTCCTCCGTCACGGGGGGTTGACGAACAAGCTTTTTTTGAACCCTTCGCATTAATTTGCCCAGATGTTCCAGCTTTATGCCCGTGGACACATGTTGTATCACGCACCGCAGGTCTGACCGCCCATTGCATGGCAAGCTGCGGTGCCGACTGGCCGGTACATTGGTGTTGTGACGGTGAAGGGTAGGTTGCCTACATGCTGCAGTCATACGTACATGACACATACGTAACAGACGTACCATGCATGCCATCATACAGTAGTGGCAAGCCCACACATCATGACATCGAGTCGATTTGCCTGCCGGGACCACATAGAGAGTAGGCAGAAGCTCTACACGTACCTAGGGATGTAAGTACGGTAGTGTATGTTGCATCCCTCCACGTCGAACCCCTGATCTCTAAAGTCAACCCGAGGGGGGGCCAAACCCCTCGTCCCGGGCCGGAGGTGGGAAGCTAAAATATCTCACGAAGTCTATACCATACCATATCAAGTATTCACTCAAGTAAGCTAAGAAAGATCTAACGCCGGGGCTTTTGCATGAACTCCGTAGATTAACCGACTGCTGGGCAAGTTCAACAGGGCAGCGAAATCTCCCGCAAAGCCGCAACTCCAAATATAGTATAGATAGAAGCATGATGATGGTGATGGTATCTCGAAACTTCTTTAGCTTGTGTCTTGGAATAGACACACTAGACACTGTAAGAGCATCCCACGACGCGTATTATTTAGACTATATGGGCTAATCTGCCGATCGCGATGAGACCTAGAGTCGAATAAGAAAGACGAATCTGGACTGATGATCGATTATGATTCATCCCTTGTATCCTCCCACTTCCCGCAATCCATTTCTCAGCGCAGTATGACCCCAAGATCCTTCACTGTACTCTATACGGACACGGCACGTTGTGGCGCTCCCGGCGCTCATGCAAGAGAGATGAGGTTATTCCGCTTACAAGGGAAAAGAAAAGTTCTAGAAATATACCGTTAGCCAGGAGCTTATCTCGCCGCCACATCCTTGTTGCTCGACGTCAATCAACTCTAGCTTTGCTCCAGAGCGTCTTTATCAGATGCATGACTCGCGTGGACGTTTCCTCAATGACCTAGGGTCCTTGGAACTAATATAGCAAGGATTACTTACTTCCCAAGATGACCAGACCACGGGGACAAGTTCCGGGCTGCCTAGCTTTGATTAGGTTTATCGCATCGTAGTACATGTGACTCAAAATGCTTACCTATTCAATCCAGCTTAGAAATCTTCCAACAACGAATGCACCAGTTTTAGTTAGCAAGATGAAAACATCACACTGCCGACTGTGACCAATTCTACCCAGATAGGTAGTGAACAAGTTCAAGAGAACCAGGGGCACAGCTAAATGTCGCGTCTTAGATTCTCACCATCGTATATCGTGTTCATGGTAAGTGGAGATCCCCACCACGCCGCCCTAGGAGAATATTCACATGTTACCGTCCCATCTCCACCACGGCGGGACCAATGAAGTCGCGTAAGCAGAACTTGTTTAGTTCCTATGTATGTCAGAATAGAAATAACTAATTAACTAAGTAATTAGAGAGTTACTGCCGTCTTAATAGTCCCGCTCCTACGGGTACAGGGCCGAGACTTCATTACCCCAACATCCATCAACTATCAAACATCATCTACCTACATATATGTAAGCGCCATAAACCATATTCAAGACAAATGCCAGGGATATTGACCAACGCGAAGAGAACTACTCTCAGAAGGGGCTGTCGAATTTGAGAAGAAGCTGTAACACAAGACAAGAATTGCCTCTCTCTCTAGATATAGCAGAAATATAGTCCATCAAGGCCTCTGGGGGCCGTTACGTAACAATAGGCAGTATCACTTATTAGAACACAAGATCCATGTGGAAAGGTGGTATGTGGAGATATATCAGAACCTATTTTTGTCAACTATGAAATTGCGTTATTCATATGTGACACTTATAATTTTCCTTTACAGGAACCAGCGCAGTAAAACATACTATACGATGGGAAAGGCACAGTGTTAGCAGAAATTTGAACTCGGACCATGGGTAATACAACTTTGCATTTAACTTTCGTTAACAGAGCATGACATTAGTAGAGATTACTTACAGACACATTGCCTGAACGCCTACTCACAATAGCAGTGATCTGGTTCTATGGATTATATAGCTATGGGCAACGCTAGCTAAGGCACACCTTTGACTTAAGGGCCTGTTCGACGAGATCATCAACCTCAAGAGCTGCCCAACAGAAGAATAGGGATTGCTAAATCATCAACTGGACACCAAGGGAGATCCCGCCATTTTCCTCATGCAACCTTAGATGACGTATATACGCCACGTAGCAAAGAAATTTCGTCATGTATGCGAAAGCCCTGCTACTAATTAGTATTCAGGTCTTCAAACCAGAGTAAAACTCTTTTCTCACCTGGTTAGCCAGAAAATAGAAATCTCAGGACCCTTCCATCAGTAGATGCAAATATCAAAGCAAAGCGCAACTTCTTGTTGCTAGATAGCGTTACACTCTCGTATCTTTGTTTTCTTGGTTTAGTAGAGCACACGATGTGACAAGTATCGGGGTCACGGCGTCAGCTTTCCTCTATAGCTTATCCGCTCAGTGCCGTGTTCAATCCATTTTGTTAGCCCACTCCAGAGCTAATATCTAGAGAGCAAAAGGTCTGGCTTTCGAATTTGCCCTTGAACCATTTTCAAGCTTGTGTATATAATTGAAGGGTCGTCAATCTGGAGTTCTTTGACTTTGCATCAGGGCCATTGGACGTATGATGGGCGTATTATACAGACCTACGCAGGTTCACCTGTGTACGCCTGCTTCTGCCAATACAGAGGCACCTTGCCATTCTCAATGGCCAGCTGACGCCTGTCCGGATCTGCAATCATCTCTGGGCGAATGTAACGACACGTCAGCCCAAACCGACGAATTCCGGCAGCGACAACTTGATGCTGCGAAGCGTATTAGTCGCGTATATAGTTCGTAGTGCTTGGAAACATACCTCGAAGTACTGGTGGATCCTAGTGCCATGCATAATCACAGCATCGCCGTGCTCAACAATGAATGATAACAAGGCAGGACTTGCCTTGTCCTCGGTCCCGAATCCAGTCTTTTTCTTACCACGGAAACTCATGATGGAAGGAGAGCCAAGGGATAATGTTGCGACCGTTGGCCCCAGTTCTTTCTCTCCATCATCATGATACTGGCAACTAATCAGTCGAAATCTTTTGAATCAACGAAATGGACTTACGCTTATCTTTGACTCCTCGAAGTAGCCAAGGATGAGTTCCTCGTTGAAGTCAATGAATTTATTGGGCATTGAAGTCGAATCAACAGAAAGACGGCTTTTAGAAGCGCAGCTCGAAACCAACTCAACTGCTTTTGCGCCACACCATGTTAGACGACTCACAGCCTTCATAATCGGAGGAGGCGCTGTTTCAAAGCTATTAGATGTTTTCACAACCACGCCAAACTTATAATCAGCTCCCTATGCCACAGGTCAGCAAGTTTACTGCAATGTACTCCTTTATATTCATACCATATTGCACGCAAAGTGCGAAGTGAGTTCTTCCATATGGGAGCCTGCAGTGATCTGTTAGAACTGTAAAAAGCTAATGGGTCATTTGGGTTTCTCACCTGGGCAGAACGCAGGGCGACGTTGCAACTTAACATCTCCCACTCGTGTTGCTTTCTGTATTTCCTGGAATAGGCTATCTAAACCTTCCTGACGCTCTAATGCAGATTTGGATGGCCGAAACACCGAAACTGAGCCGATGAATCTCGCCTCGCCATGGTTCTTGGGATCGTTTGGAAGATAGAAGCTGGTTACTTCGTAGCCCGGAACCGTATGCTGTCTGCGAAGAATTCTGGTGTCAACCGAATAGAACTTATTCTTGTGTATCCCAAAAGCCCGGTTGGTTTCTTCATGTACCTTCAACATCTCAACGTCTTTGGGAATCATTAATAGTTGAAAACCGCACTTGTCACATGTCCAACCATCCCAAGACTTTCGCTGGGTTGCAGACTTGCAGTCAGGACACACAATGCCATTTTTGAATTCCTTTTCCGATCCGTAACATTCTGGCTTAAGTACTGGAAGCTCCGGAATTAGAGGTCCAACTTCGACTGTTGGGTCTCTTGTTGCTCTTTCATTCAAGAAGTTGTCATTATACTGGAGAGCATCGGCGTCAACGCCAGGATGCTGAAAGCGAAAGAAGTTGGGGCAATTCATGGTTCGACAGCACCACCCTTCTTGGAAGATTTCCTTGCTCTCTGTGTTACATGATTCGCATGTGGAGGTACGGCAATGGAATTGGCCAACAGCAAACATGCCGTTCCTTTCTTGACCCTGTGGCATCCACCACGATATGGAACTCAGATCAATCTTCTGCAGTCGTATCATATAATGGATGAAGCTTGTTCCATCCGACTGAGTAGGCTGGGGCTCAGGCCATATCTCTGTGACAAAGAACCAGTCTAGAACATTGAAATGGTGTTCTAGTTCTATTGATACAAGGTTATTGGCATAACGCTCTGTGCTGGTCAGCAGATGCAAATGTATACCATGGTGGCATGGTTTCTCAGATCACATACTTTTCCCTTGAGCTTGCTTTCCAATGACAACCCCAACTGGCTGGCCCTTGTTCATTGCATTTTCGAGGTATGTGTAATTCTTAGAGGTAGCCGACTGATTCTTAGTTCGGACGTATCGGCCATCCTTATCATTACTGAAGCCTCCTCCACTATTATCCAACCGTGTTAGTAGGGTTTCTGTTGTTAAAATAAGGAATACTTAAGCTCGTACATTGTAGTAACGATTACCTGGCTTTGGAGAACGTCACGAGGTGTCGTCTTTCCATTGAGAAGTACACCAGTTGCAGTACAAGCTTTCTGTTTTGAATGGACACCTGATTGGTGCGACTTGTAAAATACGAGGCTGTCACAAATCGCAGCACGGGAATTTGAATAAGCCGGCGTTTCGCCAGCTGGACGGGCGAGGGGTTCGGCTTGCAGAGATTTGTTATCAAGTTTCAATGCCTTCTTTGTCTTAGGCAGGGCCCGGGAACGGCTAGAAACCTTCTGCTTCTTCTGCACTGGTTCATTCAAATCTCGGATATCGGATGCCTTGCGCTTTTGACCGCCTTGGTTGGCGTCTTTGGAGTGAACGCGAACGGAGCGAAGGCCTGCGGACTCCATTATACCAGAGTGACGATAACGTGAAACTCAACAAGTTCCTTCTTGGAAGACGAACAAATTATACGCAATTCTCTCTATCAACCTGGGTATATAGACTGAAGATAGTTAGTGACAAACCAGTAACATGAAGAGATAAATGATATAGTATATTGTGAGACACGCTGACAAAAAATAACACTAGGACATGTGTCTAGTGGTAGACTAATAGCGGTGAAATAAAATTAACCAGGATTTACGCAGTAGTGTAGGGATAGATAATCGGGAATGCATCTGATAGGGGAAATAAGTTATAGTTCAGCACTATGGGTAGTCAAGAGGGCAAAACATTATATATAGTCCCATAATAGCTGATGAATGAGGATGCCGAAGTTTGTATCTTTGAACGTGATAGTTTTTAAGACGTACCGAAATGCTTCCTTTAATATATGTCTTCTCACAGCACAAACTGTTGGGTTATCACCCCTACAAGTTAGCAACTCCTGAAAATCTAATAATTGTGTGACTGTTGTGCACTAGGAAAAATACAGTTTGTTGAAAGGTTCACACATTTGTGAACCAATGTTAACAGGTAAAGCAAAGGTTTGCCTGTTGACGATGTTCAAGGGGGTGAATCAAACCACTTACAAGGAAAATACACGCCAGCAATGGCAATTGGAAGTAGATTGGCACTTGATGCACACCGCTATGTTCAAACTTGTGGCTTCACACAATTGTCAGAATCTAGAAAACAGCAAATGTCAGCATAGGCACAGCGAAGGCACAATGGCCTGAAGATGAGTTAACATATCATTGCACCAACAGCGGACAGCACCAAGACCAACTATCTCAATGAACAGCAGAAGGTGATGAGCCAGAAGAAAATTCCCCAGATATTCAGCACTTACCGAATGGTCCCTGGTTTTCTGGGAAAGGCTCAAAATGCCACGAGCAGGGAAAACTAGATGTGGTAGAAAGGACAAAGATGTGAGTATGAAATGGCTCATGCAGAGTTCAGTGTCTCAATTCTGTGCAATATAGGACATCTGCAGTTGACTATATAATAGACGGTGCAGGCGGGGAGGACTGAACAGAATGAATAAGCTGATGCTCGCTCTGAACTTTAGCTGCACACCAAAGGGCTCACTATGTAGAAAGAAAACGGGGAAGCCGACAACCGGAGCGCGGATGGATGATGATGTCTCTTGCTGAAATTACTGTAGGCTGGGGGGTTGTGAGTGCTGGAGTAGACAAGGCTAAGTAAGAAGATGAAGAGGCTGAATAGGTGTGGATGCCGACCGTGATACCTCTGCTTGCACAGGTAGTAAGTGTGGCGCTGTGCTTGACTTTGTGATTGCGTCTGAAGGCTGAAGGCGTCCTTAACGCGTCACGTCGGTCTGGATAACACCTGAATTTTGGTCAAGACAATGCAGGGTCAAGGAAGTAGAGAAGTAGAATGAGGCAGAAGGGCGAAGAGGGAGAAAGGGGAGGAGAGAAGGAAACAAGAAGCCAGGCTCAGTCCGGGGTTAAGTTCTTCCTGAAAGATTGGCCACAAGGACAAGGTGTGTCTGTGTTGAGGAAAGTACGATGGTGGAATTGGATGAAGTGTGGGCGTGGTTGCCCGAAGACAAGCCGAGGGTTTTCTCTGTGGTAAGTTTGGACAAATCAAGTCAAACCGCTGCTTCCTTCGGAAAAGATTGAGTGTCTCCAGGATTTGGAAGGAAGGGTGAATAAATGGATTGTGGGACAGTTCGTTCTTGCCTCCAGTACAGGATAGAGTGGCAGGTAGCTGGGAGAAAAAAAGTAGAATGAGGAAGATGCTTTGATCTACTCACCTGAATTGAGCAGGACAAATCACTACTAGCTGGTCTGACTGACTGCACAGCTATGATAAGTCTTGACTAGTACTGAGAGTGGTGTGTAAAGAGGCTGAAGAATATCAGGACTTGGTGTTGAAAGGAGTAGTGAAAGGCCGGAGCAGGTAGAAGATGAAGTGTGTGAATAATATCTAGAGGAGAAACAGTAAAGTAGAGAATAGATAATAAATAGAGAAAGATTTCTTGACTGTTACTGAGCTTGTAGTGCACTTTAGGCGCCTGGGAAAATAACTAGTTGTCCTGAAGCCGCCTGTGAGGGTGAAAGGGGGGAGGCGAAGTAGTCAAGTATATATGTACTCCAACGCAGAAAGGAGGTTGACATATGCTCTCACTTGACCATTCAGCTACCATCTAGCTGGAAGATTCAAAATTAATCATTGGGTCCCAAGTGAATGTTATTCTATGATTTAGGTGATATGAAGCGAGAAATCCTCCGTATATGGCAGGACTTGCGCTTTGCTCAATGAGCTGCAGCAGCGTTACTAGCACCAGGTACCGATCCAAGTTCCAGGTAGTTGGGACACGAATGCTGAATGTGTTACATTGATCACTAATGTTCTCTGTCCCTCTCCGCATTAACTGCGCCCAACATGGACAGAGATATATGAGCACACATGTCGAGTATTGATTGACCATTGGGTTGAAGCTGGCTACCAGAAATGGTTGTATACCCTCAAACTGCTATTTATAGGCACATCTCTGGCGCCTACCTCATGACATCTATGTAGACTACCTAATCAAACACGGTGGGCTCAATAGCAGACTGGGTATCAGGAGCCTATTATTGTACTGAATGTGCATTGAAGTGGAGGAGCGTAAATTGCAATACCCGACCTATCCACAGCTCAATAGAGGCTGGTATCTAGATGATTTCTCTACTTCATTAGACAATAGACTAACTTCTGTCATTGAGGAACGTGGCGATTGGGGATCAAATGAACCACATTCAATATATTTAGTAATTAGCTTAAAACATAAATATCGCCTATGTGCCCCTTTTCTGATACTTCACAGGCTCACCATGGGTCAATATCTCGAAAATCTGAGCATCGCTGAGCATTGGACTAATTGATGTAGATACAGAAAAGCCATCGGCATCTCTCGTCGGAGCGAGTGCTACACAGACCCATAGAATCGCCGAGCCACGACCCGACGATAGGGAATTGCGCCGGCCTTTCACCTTGTGTATCCCGAGGATATACTGGGTGAAGCCCATTCCGACAAGCCACGGCTAGCAATAACAGACAGAGCAGAGGAGCTACGCTACTGGTATCTGTAGAGGCCTAGAAGGGTAAGTACTTGTAGGTACTATGATGAAACTTCCACCGTTGCTTGTTCGCGGTACCTCAGGTAGAGTCCTGGAGATCTCAGATGTCTGCTAGCTCGTTGTGGCGGTGCGACGGCCTAATGGGTTCTGGCCACTCAGATCGCAGCTCGTACTCTGTTATCCAATCGGAGCGGCCTTTTCGAGATCGCTTGCTCTATTAGTCTAGAACGAGTTGATGAGCAAATGAGTAGGTAAGTCCTCCATATACAAAAGACGTAAATTTCAAAGCATTTTTTCCAGATTCATCTTTGTTTTTTATTTTAGTCTGTTGAACACTGACGAACTTTGCGTCGCTGATTGAATAGCTGTCGAAATGTCGTCTTCACCAACGCTGGTTTTCGTCCACGGGTCTTGGCATCAGCCCTCCTGCTACAACAAGATCACTGAGATTCTCCAGGGGCGACATGGTCTGAAATGTGTCTCACCCGCTCTGCCTTCTACAGCAGGAAACCCAGACGCGACCTTCAAAGATGATATCGACGTCATTCGTAGAGCTATACTCCGTGAGGTCAATGCCGGCACAGACGTAGTCGTCATCGCCCATTCGTACGGCGGCATGGTCGGCAACAGCGCCATCAAGGGTTTCGCTCGGTCGCGAGAAGAGCCGGCTTCAGCCACCGGTCATGTTGTCGGTCTCATACTCATCGCTTCCGGCTTCACGTTTACAGGGCTCGCCTTCATGGACCCCTTCCTCGGCCGACCGCCGCCATCGTGGCGCGTCAACCGCGAGACGGGCTACGCCGAGATCGTCATGTCGCCGCGCGAGATGTTCTACCACGATCTACCGGCCGACGAGGCCGACTACTGGGTCTCGCAGCTCACGACGCAGAGCCTCAAGTCGCTGTTTGAAGGTGGCGAGTTCGCGTACGCCGGATGGATGGATGTGCCCTCGTTCTACATCGGCACGATCGAGGACCGCGGCTTGCCCGTCGCTATGCAGCGGATGTCGGTTGGGATGGCGCGCGGCGTGGGCGCCAGCGTCGAGCACAGGGAACTACAGACGAGCCACTCACCGTTTTTGAGCCGTCCTGAGGAGACAGCTGAGATCATATGGGAGGCCGTTCAGGCGTTCACGGGTCGTCCAGTTGAGCGAGCGCGGACGAATATAGAGGAAAACCATGAAATATTGATACCAAGGGTCCGGCTTCTCCAGCCGCTTACCTGGTATAGGTTTGGGCTGCCGCTAGCCTTTGGTCATTTTCTAGGTCGTTGCTATACAATATTCAGAGGCGCGAGGAGGTTGTTCGGATTCAGGTGATGTTATTCTGCTATTGAAAATCTGTAACATAGCGGTCTTGGCTCCTCTCCCTCCTTTCATTGTCATATAGTACACATACCCCTTAAAAACTGAAGAGACTCCTTATATATAATAAATATCACCATAATAACTTCAATCAAGTCTGCTGGAAGCTTCTGTACTTAGCACTTCAGCATTTCGGTGCAAAACTTGGTTGGAAACTATTCAGCCGCAGTGCTTGATCGGAACTAGATGGGTGTTCGCTGTTTGATTAGATGAGCCACTTCATGGTATCACATGCTTAGACAATTGGAAAAGTCAAGATGGTTACCAACATGCTCGCATCACCTGTCACACTTGAGTGGATTCATGGATCAGCCAAATTATGGGGGAAAATCGTGTATATAAAGAGCAAATAGCCCAATAAACGATCGTACATGAAGTTAACTCCCTAGAGCAAATCGAGTCATCGCTCTGGCTGTTGTCGTATGAGCATTCAATGAAAATCGCAACCAGATTGCCATTTGCGACACAAGGTGCCGTCTCCTTCCAGATGTTTATGTTTCGGGGAGACAGAGACATAGGTCATCGCTCTGACTGTTGTCATACGAACATTCGATAAAAATTGTGACCAGATCCATCCGCAATGCAATGTGCCGCCTCCTTCCAGCTAACTATGTTTCTGGGGGATAAGGATATGGAATCCAGCTCAACATCTCCAAACACCAAGATCTCTCGGCCGGTGGTGTATCCACGAATAAAATATGCACTTGAATCATAGACTGAGATTGTTTCCTTGTCTGGGCCTCCGCCAGACCCCCTAAACAAGGACGGTGGTCCAGACGCTGCTGTGCTGCCTGGCGCACCCACCTCCAGGCCTTGTCGCCTACCAAATTGCAAAATCCTCGCTGTACAATGATCCTCCAAAGATAATAATGCTGGGGATCTATATAGGCTAACTAATACTAATCTAATATAAAAATATAATAGGGGAACTAACATACATTTCCAACTGCCTCGATGGCAGAGGATAAATGGCGCAAGGCGTAAATGCTGTCGGCATAACGAGCACGACCGTGGCGGTTCGGAGGTGAGAAGGCGAATCTGGAGGCAGCGGAGACGGGCTGTCAAGAGGTTAGCTGCGAAAACGGGCAAGCAATAAGCGGTTTAGCTACCATAACGAGCACCGTCGGATGTAATAGCCGATAGATGAAGTATGAAGTACTGGAAGGTGGTGACGGGCTATCAAGAGGTTAGCTGCGAAAACAGGTAGGCAATAAGCGGTCTAGCTACCATAGTAAGTACCGTCCCATGTTATGGCTGATAGATGAATTATGAAGTACTGGAAGGTGGTGATGGTTTACCACGGTGGCACGACCGGAGATATCCTCCGGCCATGCTGGTGTTGGAGGATGGTTGAGGTTCGAGGCAAGGCCAGTGAAGACACAAACACGGTAACGCCCGTGGGAGTCCTGTTTTACCTGTTAGGTATAGCCTTTAACACCACGAACAAAAGCGAGCAAATGCGTGAGGGTCAGGTGGGCTGGGCTGGTAGGACATCTTGCTGGGTGGAAATCGGGGGGTAGGAGAAAGAAGCACTACCTTCTAAGGATTGAGTTGGCTAGATGCCGTCTAGTTGGTGTTTCTGTTTGCCTTTGCTTGTCTGAAGCCGCCCGGAGGTTCCAGGGATAGCTGGCCATCATCGGAACCGTCCCCAATATCTGAGGCACGGTGATGAATTTATGGTTATAATTGCTTTTGGTTTTCTGGAACCATCCGGGGGCTCAAGGTCCTGAAGTGCCCCTTCCAATAAAATTTGGTCGTCATCTTCAAAGCGAAGATACCAACAATCATGACGTGAAACGAGGTTGAGGTGGCGGATGCCACCGCCCCTTGTCGTTGAGGTCCACATAGTTGAAGCCAGATGCAGTGTCTGTGAGGATGCAAAAGATATATAAATCTATATATAAATATAGATAGATATATGAAAGTCGAATAATTAAAGCATAATTTGCTTAATTATCATGACGAGTAAGCGATGAGCTGGCGAAGTTGAAAAGTGAGGACGGGGGCGGTGGCGGTGGCGGTGGTGATGTCGGCGAATCTGAGGGCAAGGGCATCACCTGCGATGACGCAAATGATAGTGCCAGAATCATCAAGATGGTCTGTATGTTCGTCATTGTGTAAGCGACTGTGACCATCAGATTAAGGACAGTTCACTTACAAAATAATAAAGTGATTGTATGGTAGCGGCTACTTCGTTGGTACATTTGTTGGACTTGGTTGCTGGTTTACTCCTCGGAGAGCCACTCACCAGCATTTCTGGCACGCTGCAAAACAATTTGCCTTCTTGCTTCATAAATGGCGAACTTGACTGGCTCTCCGAGAGTGTGTGAACAGGACTGTGTCGATGTGGCACGGCATGGGACCGGTCTGTCTTCAGCGGCTATCATGTTAGAACAAAAATGTTGCTAAGATCACGAAGTGAGAGAGCAAAGGTCTCTTGTAACATACTTGTACTTGGTATGGGGGTAAGCGATGGAGAAGAGGAATAAGTTGCGACGACGGTGGAAGATTGCCACGGTCGAAGTTAGCGTAGTTGCTGATGATGAGGCCATCTTCAAATCCTCTTCTCCATCGCCTACCTTGTCCAAATCAATCTATCTTGAGATGCCGATTCGAAGTTTGAGAAGGAGAGAGGTAGATCAACTATATGCTAAGATAGTCAGTCAGTGCTAATTCCCCTCGAAGGGCAAAGGGATGAAATTACTATGATCTTAAATCGATGAGTAAATAAAGAAATAAATAAGGATGGATTAATAATTAGATGAGAATATCTAATAATCCTTGAAAACCGAGATAGCTCAATAGCTTCAAGGGTAAGGGGAGGCCCGAAAATATCTGTCGTGCCGCTTCCTCCCATTCGAGACGTTCGCGCGCGTTGCGCGAACGCTCGATGGTTTCTTCTGGAGGGAGGGTTCGAAGGAAATCTGACGACAGGCCGCATTTATGGGCGGCTTTGTGCCATAGATCATCACAAAATCGAAAATTTCGTATAAGTGATGTAAGTACTAGATGTCCTCGGTGTCCCCCATGGGGAGTTGGATTGGGCTTCAGACTATTAGTGACTGTCTCTCCAATACATCCCATCATGCTCTCATAGTCAATGGAAGAGTTGATGAGACTTACTAATCTTCTCGAATCCCATGAATAGATACCGACAAGATGATGTTCTTCTAGGATCTTGGTGATGGCTACTGAAAACCAATGTTAGTCTGTTCTGGACTTGGTTAACTTGCCTTAGTAATGGTATCTAGTGTTGCTATATGCTATTGAGGACGCGAAGGTCTTCAGAAGACGTGCACGCTGCAAGTCATGGAGGATGATAACTCACTGTTTTTATGACCTTAAAGATGATGATGAATACCTGGAATGGAAAGATGCAAGCATATGGCATGGTCTGGAGACATAATAATGGTTGTTTGATAGGTAAACCCATTTTGGGCTATTTATGATGTTAAGGCATGGAGAATAATAAACGAAGTATATTTAGATACTCGTAATGAATAATCAGCTTGTCTGAGTAGCAATAATGCTTTAATTTAGAGTGTTAATGAAGAGTTGATGATGGATGAGAGGCCTGTTAGAGTAAACAATGAGGATGCCAGAGGAAGATGTGAGAGATGGAGAGAAGAGAAAACAGAAATGGGAGAAGACGCGTCGAGGTGGGATTTATGCAAACACAACACAGGACAACAAACTTAACAATGACGTTGCTTCCAAGTTTCCCAGTCTAAGTGCAGGGGCACATAGGAAGTATCGATTACCTTCTAAGCCAAATTCAGATACAACTTTTGGGAGTGGTCATCATGATCTGGTTATTACTGCGACTGCACCTTAACTGAGTGGAAGAGAAGTAAGTCCTCCCTTGTCATGCTTAGCTATGTAATAGGAAACCGGAAGTGCAGCTTACGTGCTTGATGGTCTCTTTTGAAGACATCACGATGGTAGTAATAATGAGATCATCCACAAAGAAGGAATAGGGAGGGGGCTGACAATGGTATGGTGCTAAACTTCCTAAATCAAAGCTCTACTAAACGCAGCCTAGGAGAATATTCAATGAAACGGCTTATTGAACGCGAGGAATCTATATTGAAACTAGGTTGTGATCTTATATCTGTCAATCTAAGAGAAGTTTTGGATATGCTCAGCTCTGAGGTCGGTCAGTCCGTTTCAAATTGGGGAGGCTGACTTCAACTCAACAGGGAGTGTCCACCATCAATCATGGGAGACTGCATACATAAGGTGTATATGTGGCAACAGCATACTTTGCATAGGAGCACCGACTTCCCAAGACTCAAGTTGTATCTCAAGAATGGGTTCAAGGAGGCAACACCCAAGGCTATGAGCATAGGGTTGCAAGTGGAGGTTGGCCAGAAGGAATGGATGACGTACGATACATGCTAGGTTTGGAGGATGAGCAATTTATCATGGGCTGTCGGCTTCCTCCCTATCAGTGATCCACGTTATAACACTCTGGGTCCGAAGAGTGTCACTTGCCTCGGAGCAAAGTTTCATATCACTCACAGCTCAAGTGGGTGTCAGCTTCCAGAGAATACACATTAAGCTTTGTCAATGGCTCCCACTGGAGGTAGCTAGGATATCGGCAGAATAATGGTACCTACAGTGTCGTGATTTTGCTCATAAGCCGCTCGGCTATGGACTGCTATAATAATTTTACGAGCTGACTACGAAGATTGGCTTTAAATACCTAGTCTTTGGGTGGTCATATCTCCCACTGGGGTCTAATTATCGGTTTCTTCTGGGGGTGGCTCAGCTCTCGGTTGAGAGGCTTCGATGCTTGATAGAATGAAGTGCTTAGGGGAGTAACTGATTGTAGGCACCGGCACCTCAGTGGCCTCCTGCTGCTAACCCAATTAAAGCCTAAAAGAATGGAAATAATATTGAGCAGCTGAGGTGGCAGGTGGCTTTGGAGATGGTGAAGAAATGCAATAGGAAAGCGGCGATTGACGGACTCGAAGGTTGGAATTACTTTACAGGGGGTCGGTCACAGTTGATACAGGAACTAGTTGGTATTGAAGCTCCTATGAAAATACACAATAAGAGGATGTTGCAGAACTGGGTAAGAGTGACTGTTACGGCACTCGTATGAACAGGACAGTGTATGTGTAATTAGTCCTTAGGTATGTAGCTTACTGGTAAAAGTTCCAATGACGATGAGGATGATGTATAGCATTAATTTGATGTGTGTGCCAGAGATTTTACGAGTACAGTGATAATACGGCGTCATGTTAAGCCACATATGTTGCCGATACCCTTCCACCGAGCCCTCCATCCACCCCCTATCAACTTCCAACTTCCCCCACACTGCATTAAACGAACTAATGGATACTACAGCATGCTGAGATAGGAGCTTCCATATATGTAAGCCTTGCTGCAGTGGCATTTATCTTAAACTGTTAGCTCTCCTCGCCACCCCTTGTGCTTGTACGCGCCGCCGTGCCTCGCCTCTCTTTCTAGCCACACCAAAATTTTATTCTTATCTTATGTCACACCCTAAGTCCAATCAACTTCTAAATCTATCAACCAGCGTAAGCCGCAAGCATGGTACCCCTCATGTGTATACACAAACCATTTCTACAGCACCACGAATGCTGGACTGGGCGGGAGATGCATTAGGATCCTGAAGACGACGCCTATCTTACCGAATTCCATGTAGCCTCGACTGTACGACCATCACGGCCAACACGATACCAACTCTGACCTAGAATCCGTTGGTGGAAGTGTCGACATCATCTCTACTATCAGCTCCCAGATCTCAACTATCTTCAGCCAGAATCAATCAGTCGTTGTGGAATCAGCTTCCTCTGCGCCATCATCAAAGCAACACATTGATGATGGAAAGGAAACGATTGCTATCCAAATCTTTGGCAGCTCGGGCATCGATGATCTCGAAGAAACCTCGGACACACCTAAACACCTCGCCGCAAACCTCTAGGTCATCGACATCGGCCCAAGAGAGCATGAAGCCAACCCTACTGGCAACCCATCAATATCTTCGTCGCTACAACAAGCATGAAGTCATGTCCGAGTCGGGTGGGAGTCTCCGAAGCCGCTCCAGATTCTTCAGGCGACCAGGGCCCTACATAGGCTCCTGTTTCCATCCAAGAAGGAATCGATTGTTTCATGGCTGGCTTGGGCTCTGACGGTATGTTATCCACTTCCAGCGCGAGCTTCGGCAATAGTTTGGTGCGCGTTTATGCTACCGTTGTCGCCGCTATTGGCACAATGGTCTGGGATGGAAGATGGCTCAAGGGAGCGACCGTATAAAGGAGAGCTGGTTCGGGCGGGCTGGGCTTGCGCATAACGCGCCAAACGTAAGAGGATTTGAACTCAAAGAGCTTGGGAAATGTGTCTGCCTTCCGCTAACAGTGCCCATTTTCAGTACATTCGACTACTTTCGAGCCCCTATTATCACGACGACGTCCGAAAACGATACCTGCTTATGACGATGTAATCGAGTGCCTGTTCAAAAATGATGACTCAACTACTTGCTTGAGCCGGTCGGAATATTATGTACGGCGGCCGATACAACCACTCTCCAATTCAGCTTAGACAAAACTATTCCTTCACCAACTTAAAGGGGATAAGCCTACTGCGTTGATCTTCTACGACAAACCCCTATTGTCCTGAGAACCCGCTGCCGAAGACGTGTTAAGTTATCCCTCAACGGCGCTGGCCTATGGGTTGTGGCGAACCTGACTTCCACACATGTCCACAGGAAAAGGACTACCTACTTCCTGATCGCACAATCTCTTTCACCTAAGGACCTAGCATTCACGCAGAATATAAAGTACAAAGAGCTGTGATATTGGTGGTCAATTACTAGAGCTGTGAAAAGAATCACGATACAGTCGAACCAGCAACTATTCTACCCTTTTGCGAGCCTACACTAGCAGAGACTGTCTTATCCAAAGCAGACACATCAAATAGCGTACGGGATTCCTGCTCCATCGTACATGACACAAGAAACAGTGCGTGCGACGACGGTTTCACTATTCGCCGACACGAGCTTCCTCAATGTAAACCACCAAAATAATAGCACTGAGCGTAGCAATAAGGTTCTCTGTGGGCTCCTCGTTGAATCTTGCCTTCATTATCCGTCCAATTTGGTAGCTGGTGCAGCCATCAGGAATCTTCATGAGTTCCTCTGTCAGGATACAATGTTCGTTGCCCCCGATTCCAGTGCCATAGATAGACTCAGCAAGCAGACGCAGCTGAATGTCCATGAATGGCTCCCCATACTGCCTTTGGATATCATCAGGGAGCACTGTGTAAGCTAGCGAACCCCCTCGTTGCGCTTCACACTCTGCCTGCTTCTTGTCACTCCACCAGGGTGGGAGCATGCGTGGGATCTCCTTGGCTTTGTTGAGGAATCTGCGAAACCTTTCAACTTCGAAGTCTAATTGGCTGCCGTCGGTGGAATTGCCATTATAGGCTCTGTTGTCTGCCTCTCGAAGGAGGTATGCGTGGGTGAGAAGACGGTAGACGTCTGTGTCAGGGCGGCCCTGGAGGTAGTCGCCTCGTTTGAAGCGATGAAAGGGGTTACTGATATGCTTCGTCAAGGGTTTGGGAGGCGGCGAATGACTCTCATCGGGCTCTATCTGTTGGGACTCAGATCCGTTCTGCTTCGTCTGTTCGGATTCAGGATTATGCTTAGGACAGGAGAGTTTATGAGCTCGAAAGTTGGCACGCTCGCATTTTCGGTTACAGTAGTAGGTTCCCTCACAACATCTGCGCATCTGGTCTTCGGCGTCTTTGCTCTTCTTGCACCAAGTACAGGAAGGCATCTTCACTATGATGGAGTGCTGAAGGGAGGTGGGCTCTCTGACCTTGTTCGATGGCTGTCTGGTTGATGTCGTCAAGGAGTGAAGTGGGCATGTGTCAAAGGATGAAGATATGAACTTCGAAGTTGTGGCATTGAGCATGTATTTAAGTAAACCAGAACACAGAGACGATAAGAGTGTTCCTGAGGCGCTGTAGCTCAGCACCACTAAGAAGCACAGAAACTCACAGGCGGGCGTCGGTTGCGCAGGAACGGCAGACTTCTGGTGTCAAAGGAACATGAAGAGTACCTTTCATGCCACCTTTGAGTCATTAAGTCATGGAACCTAGTGGGTATGAGGAATTATACAAGCACTCTCTAGCAACAACTAAGGAGACAGAGAATGAGACAGCCATGCAATGTATCTTCTTTCTTCTATGAGTCAGTACGTAGGTAAGGCACATTCTAGAGACGACACACAAATGGCTATTATCATAGCATTTGATTCTATGAGGTATCGAAGTAAGTTCTATCTTGTACTTTTTCCATGGCACTCTAGATATCTAATTACGAGTCCTTTCCGTTCATCTATCTCAATGTATCCTCTCCAAAAGTTGGTCCCAGACTTTCAGCTCCAACTTCAAGTTCTTCAATTCCTGTGCAACCTGGCTTTTGACGTCATCAGGCAAGTAGAAGGACGCAATGTAAGGAAGACCGTTCCGGCAGACTGTCCATCCCACAACAGCCAAGTTTTGAGACTCAGGCTCATACCGTTTTGCGAGCTGCCACGTTAGGCAATCGACAGCTGCAACATCTGCCCTCCCCTCTGCAACGGCGATAATGGAATTGCGGTGTCCGCCAGTTTCTATGCAGCTCGAGAAAATGCTTCTGTCTTCATGGTGTCGGGCTAGGTCCAGCCCTAGACCAATATTTCCAGACATTGAGTCTTTGGCGTTGTATGCAAGGCGCTTCCCTCGCAAGAATTCAATAGGCAAGTTCATGTCTCCATCTGAGGGAGCTGGCACATCTTCAGCGGTCCGCCTTGCCACCAGGGCACTGGAGTAGAGCTGGCCCACGCCGCCTTCGACTCCGGAATAGTCCTGCTGGCCGAGGGTCTGCGCATACTGAGCAAGCCCTTTTACCATAGGGCCCCAGCAGGTTTGTGCGAACAGCAAAGCGGGGTGCCGCCATAATGTGTGCAGATCTAATTCATCTGGAGGAAGTGTCGCGGGATCCGGCGCGATCATCTCTCCTTCAGAGTCGCGAATACCTCCTGGGACAGAAGGCATATCTGCATTCCGCCGGACAAGTCGGTCTGGAGCCTCTATCCCCGCAGCGCGTAAACGCTCCCGTAACGCCACCCATTGTTCGTCAACTTCAGCTCGGCACTCTGGCCAATCGTACATCGGCAATGCCGCGATATAACCAGTCATTCTACCCACGGCACGTTTCGCTAACAGCTCTCTGAGATTGCATGGATAGTACGAAAAAGAGCGACATTGGAGCAAAGATGTGCCAAGATTACATCATCATACCAAACCGAAAATAATCCAGTGTTTAAGGATTCGACCTTACTAAGGTAGGACACGAACTACTTACCTTACTAACCTTATCCATACAGCAATAGTTACCCCAGCTTACCCCAGGATTGCGTGCCTGAGCTACCAGGTTAGTTGCATTTTACCCCTGACCAATCTGTGGTAGGGAGTTCATGCGGAGATAACATATTACATATTACCCAACTCCAACAGCCGGCTTCGCACCTCGGTAGAGAGATGTGGTTCCTAGTTAAGCAGAAGCATGGGTTTGGATTACATTGGCGCAGGACCTGGCGTTTAGCGGTCAACCACCTTGATCGTTCCGGCGATCGATCGGAATACCATAAACAGGTGGCTGAGTCTGCAACGGTCTTTCTGGAGACAACCTTCATTTCCACAATCAACTGCTCGACGTAGGTTTTCACTTTGGGACGTCGATCTCTGTAGACAAGGCCCGCGCCAACAGAGTAAGATGGTTTTCACCCCGCCGGTGTGGGTTCCCCAGTTACCTTTCGGTACGATTCACTCCTGCTAGCCCATCTGATGATAGGAATCGATTTCAGGACATAGCCACTCACCAATTTTCATAGATCCGCCGGATTCAATATCCATACATGAATTTGTCGAAAATGAAAGATGTGGCCGGCAGCCGTTCAATAGGTCTCAGAATCCATTCACATGTGGGCTGACGGGGAAGACATTTACTCACGCCGAGTTTCATGAGCGGCAAGAGCTCCTGGCAAGATCACTATCAAAACGCATGGGATGGCGGCCAAACGAAGACACACCCTGGGACAAAGTCATAGGGCTATACTCTCTCAATACGGTAATCTCGACACTACATTTCAATACTGCTTGCTTGTAAACCCCAATGAGCTGACGTTGGCAAAGATCGACTACCTCATGTTTACATACGCGGTGCACCGTCTTTCCGGTATCGTGACCCCAGCTAACGCCATGTACTCTGCCGGCGAGTTAGAGCACCAGCTGAAGTCCTCGGGGGCCAAGGCTTTATTTACGTGCCCCTCGCTGCTGGATAACGCGCTGAAGGCCGCACGGGCGAGCAACATCCCTGATGATAGAGTATTCTTGCTAGAGGTCCCAGGACAGAACCGCGACCGGCGATTCAAGACAATCGACGATCTAATCGCTGAGGGCCGCTCGATACCCGAGCTCGAGCCCCTCAAATGGACGAAAGGGCAAGGCGCACGGCAAGCTGCATATCTCTGCTACTCTAGCGGGACTTCCGGCTTACCTGTAAGTAAAATACACGTGCTTGGGGAACTTGTGAGAGACCATACTAAAACCAGGATGATACCGCACAGAAAGCCGTCATGATATCCCATCGTAACATCATCGCGAATATGATGCAGATCCGCTGGCACGAAGACACAGGTCGGCGCCAGAAGGGCGTCGAGACACAGACGTGCATCGGCCTTTTGCCCATGTCGCATATCTATGCACTGGTCGTGGTCGCTAACACTGGTGTATACCGTGGTGATGGCGTGATAGTATTGCCGCGCTTCGAGCTCAGGACTTTGCTTGAGTCTATCCAAAAGTTCAAGATAGAATTCATGCACCTTGTAAGCCTTCCTCTTTCACGCAAATCGATGTCTGAGCCTACAGTACATGCATGCATTACAAGAACACAGATAGCCCCAAGGCACGCACAAAACTCACAATCCTTCCTAGGTCCCACCGATCATCATCCAGCTCCTTCGAAACCCAGAGCTGTGCGCCAAATATGACCTAAGCAGCGTGCGCTTCATCTTCACCGGCGCAGCCCCGCTAGGCGCCGAGACGCACGAAGACATGCGAAAAGCGTTCCCATCGATCACAGTCGGCCAAGGCTACGGGCTGACGGAGACGAGCACGGTGGTCTTCGGCACAGGCGAGAACGACGTCATGGTCGGGACATCGGGGTCCCTCGTCCCCGCGACGCGCGCAAAGCTCCTCGACGAAGAAGGCCGCGAGATCACGGAGTACTACAAGCGCGGCGAGCTCTTGTTACAATCGCCCTCCGTCACCCTGGGCTATCTGCATAATGAGCGCGCCACGGCCGAGGCCTTCGTCTGGGACGAAGACGGGCGGTGGATGCGCACGGGGGATGTCGCGGAGGTGTGGGTGTCGGAGGCCGGGAACGAACATTTCGCTGTTGTGGACCGGCTGAAAGAGCTGATCAAGACGAAGGTATCGATGCTTTCCCCCTCCTAGTTAGTTACACTTTACAGCTTTGCTTACGCAGAACACAGGGCCACCAAGTCGCGCCAGCAGAGCTAGAGGCCCATCTCCTGACCCACCCCGCCGTGAACGACTGCACCGTCATCCCCGTGCCAGATGACAGCGCGGGCGAAGTGCCCAAGGCCTTCGTGGTGAAATCGGCGTCGGCGACAGGACGGTCCGACGAGGAAGTCGCGCGCGAGATCTGCAAACATGTTGAAGATCATAAGGCGCGGTATAAGTGGCTTCAGGGCGGCGTCGAGTTCGTCGACGTCATCCCCAAGAGTCCGAGCGGAAAGATCTTGCGGCGCATCTTGAAGGATAAAGAGAAGGAGGCGAGAAGAGCGAAGGGCGCGAAGTTGTGATCTTGTGATGCGGGCTTTCTCATATCCAGGTACTCAGTGGGACCCGTACTTTCGTAGGCGACGAGGGATGAGTTGGCTAGATTTCATATAGCGTGTCGGAGGGATTCTGCGTTTGTAGATAGCGATACTGCGAGGGACATGTCACATCATCACATATTTCATAGCGTTGGTCCAAGACTTATTTGTTTTACTCATTTATTAAGAGCTATTAATACAAGATCTCTGACGGATCAATCATCGCTCGTGATCATTATAGATGTAGATTGGTGGTTGATATATCTGGCTTACGCCTTGCCCTTCCTCCGGAGCTCCTCCTCTTCCTCGGCCTGCAACTGAGCGTCGACCTTGGCGCCCTTCGAAGGCTCGTTTCCGTGCATCTTGGCCTGGGAGATAAGGTTAGCAACTATTCGAGTACTCCGAAGTAAGGAGGGTATAGTCGGGGCTTGGCAGCGATGCTTACAGGTAGAGTAGGGTCCTTCTTGGACATGGCGGTCTCAGGGTCATCTTGTTCTTTGCGGTTCAACTTTCGCTGGAAATACCTATTAGCATATCATTCAACATGTGTGTCGTGGCTGTAGATCGTACCTCCTCGTTAGCCAAACGGTTGGCGATGGATCTCTCGTCCTCTGGCATGTGTGTTAGTATCGACAACAATAACAATGGACTTAACACGCTATAGTGGGAAGAACATACTGGAGTCATTAGGTTGATGCGAGTGCTCCTTTCCCTCCTCATATCGTGTGGGTTGAGGGGCCTCGGAAGCCTTGTAGTTTCTCTGGTCACCGGCCTCGTAGACAGCGCTAGTACCAACTTTTGAGTATCCAGACATTTTGGCTGTTTTTGGTGGTTTCTCGAATGGATCAAAGAGATATATGGTCTGTAGAAGTAGAATTTGTGTATTTAATGGGTATATCGTATTGAGTATGAAGAGAAGATCTAGAGTGCACGATACAGAGTCATAGTATCGACATATATATATTTCTATTTGGAGAGAAGACACTCCTTTACGTCATAAGGCACGATGACAACCGTTCGTACATACAATGCCCCTCAGTCGCTTCACCGTCGAGCAAAACCTGGCCCAAAGCGACTCATAGTCAGGCAGAATACATCAATCTTACACTTGGTCTTCGGTGAAATCATATACAAACGTCATCGATCCACGGCCTATGTGGATTTCTCGCGGAAAATAGACTGCCTAACCGGCCCTGGCGCCACGTTCCTGCGGGTACGGCTCTGTAGCGCGACTCTTGGCGCGGTGCAACCCTCCTAGCGGATGCGCGTCAGTGGGGCTCTTGATGAAACAAAGTGCATGTCGACTAGCTATCACTTCGGAGAGTATAACGGCAGCTGGTAGATTGATGGATGGAACATTGGTTAGCTAGGTTGGTTCTGAGTCTTGAAAGACGCAGGCAGTACTCGCAGGTTTTACTACGACTGCGGCCGGCTACTTGTGAGTACCAGGCAGGCTTGGAATGTCTATCGGGACCCTTTCCGCGAGGATTACTTCTCTAACTTTAAAGACCCCTCTTCGTGATATCTTGCTCTTCCACAGTGCAACTGATAATATTGTTGTATATGATATTTTTATTTCGCCTGCTCTTTGAGCACCTTCTTTACGATTTTTTGTTCCTCTATTAAAAATGCCCGGACGACGCGATCTCGTACGCAATTGCTGCATCGGGAACCTCCATAAGCCCTTGAGACAGTTTTCCGAGGCTTCGAAAGAGTAGCATATTGGCGCGGCCGGAGGGATGGAATCTGAAGGTAGGAAGAGATTAGTTTAACGACACCTGGGAGGGATCGGGATCCGGCAACATACTCCTGACAAAGCATTACCACAGTCGCCGCACTTGACGCGACTAGCCTTTTTGGCGATGTGAAGAACTCGTAGTTCACCGCCCGGAGTCCGGATTACACGAGTGTTTTGACTCTTGGTGTTGTATCTGCTGTTCGTTAGTCGAGTGCTGGGACCAGACACGTGAGACATACGGATTGCGGCGACGGAACACTACACGGTTGTCCGACATGATTGCGGTTTCTACGTTTGATTGATACCGTAGGAGTCAGAATAATCGCTGGTTCTGTTGCCGGTGTTGGCCTGGATTTGAACTTGGATATAGATTCAGACACGATGTAGAATTCACAGCTGTGGAGTGGGGCTTATCAGAAGAGCTTATCTAGGTATTTACCTACACTACGGCCTTCTATGGCTATTGCTATTGTTGGGATATACTGCCACACTGATCTTTTCGAGACAGTTTACATGATAACCCAGATAAATTGATGAGCGCCTCCATTTTGCGCAAGAACTTCCAGTACTGGAGGCTTTTATTTAGAATTATAATGCGACCAGCAATACTTATGCAAAGCTGAGCTTTACAAGGTTTAAGTTAAAGTAGCCCAGCGAATTTCCACTTTGGACTAGGTGCCAGAAAATGGTGGGGCAAAGATAAGATAAGGTACTTAGGGGGAGGTACCGCTACAGGTCTGATTTACCACTTCAAAGCTGCAAGTTGCGTGTAACGAAGCCATCGTCAACGACAACCCCCTCATTGCTGCAAAGATGTCGATGTTCCGGGCGAAGAAGCTCGACATTGGATGCTTTGTCAACATCAAGACCATCCGCGACCACACCAAGCGGAAGGTCTTTGCCGAGAATGAGCCTGAGAGGTGCGCTTCCCGCGAGCACTCCAAATCTCCCCATTACCAGCGCAAACGCCATTGAAGATGACTCTGACACTTCTTCGCCTTGTATAGACAAGCTCTCCGATACATAATACGGAACACCACTCTCCCCCCTCGAACTCGAGCCGAAGCTCAGCTCCAGTTGACCCAGATGCACTGCTATACACGGCCGACACAGATCCGAGGACGATGTCTGCTGGGTGGCAAATCGAGAGGTATATTCAGGGATTTCAAAATGACAAGAGTGAGTATACACTCTAGGCTCCATACTTCGTTCAGTCCTCTAACAGCAGCTATAGTTTAACTTCAGGCTGCAAGCATTGGAGGGCAATCTGCCAGGTGTGCAGAAGGCCAGTTGGTAGAATACCCGTGGATGCCAAGGGCTTGTAGTGTACAATATATCCCATTTGCATGGCTGTGCGCGTCTAGATTTCATGCAATTTCTATGTACAATACCACCCACTACGCATGTTTACAATAAACTGTATAACGACAAACCTATGCCTTTATATGGAGTGAGGAAACAGCCTCCTTGGCTCTAATCTCTATTTCATGCTTCCTGTTCGTTGACGGAAGACTATTTCCATGTGCCTATATTTTTTGAAATGTCTGCTCATGATCATGGCAGGACAAATGTTCGAACTACGGGACACGTGGACGGAACAGAATCATGGATGCTTGAGAACAGATGACGTCCTTGTGTCACTCCTGCAGCTCTTCTACACCAGCACTTTTTCACCGTCTATGCGCTATACTCGGACCAAACAAGAGGTGTCTGTTTGTTCTTTCAATTCTTTGCTTGTCCGATGCGTAGGGAAATGCTGCTACACACTGAGTCCAGACATTGAATGTTGGCTCTAACAGGCGTTGCTTGGACCTTTCTTTCCTCCTGATTCACTGATATCCACCTCCGGCATCATTCTCTGCACTTCTCAAACGCTGACACCACATTGCACAGACTGCAGGGCGACGTGATAAAGCCAGGCAGCCACCTGATTCTGGAGACCCCGTCTGCACAACGTCACATCTATAAATATATGCCTCGGCAACCTTGGGAAAGACCAATCAGCACCTTCCTACCTAAGTGCCTACTAGGGCAACTACACATAGCTTTACCTTCCACCCAGATCCGGTTCCCATATGACTTCCCTTTACTCAAAATCCCCCTTAGCTGCGATTGTCCTAACATTGCCATACCTCGGATTTCACACTGCTGCTTACATCTCCGTCCCCAAATCCAGCTCCATTTGCCTTCTCCACGATGTTCTTACGCAAGTGGTCCTCTCTGCCCGAAGACGCTGAATTCAAGAGTAACTTGAAGGATCTCGGGTACGTCCTTACTCTCCACGCTTCTCTTGGGCTTCTTCCAACACAACTTCTAACCAACTCTCCATGTTATAGGTATTTCGTCAACAAAGATGACGAGGTGCGCTCCATCGAAAACGAAGACGACTACTTCAAGTTCTTCCTCAGCCGCAACCCGCGGATAAACGATCGTCAGCGCTTTGCCATGAACCGTAAGTCGGCATACCTCTGAGCAAGCATCTATCTTTCTCATGCCAAGTCCCCCGTTTGTATATTGTGGAACCCGAGACGTTGTGTGTCTCATGCCACTGTCTAGAACGTCTCTCACCTAGTTGCACACAAGAAGACGAAAATAAACTAACAGTGAATTTTCTAAAGAAGCCATCCAAGATGTGATTCTCGAGCGTCTAGATGGCCTCGGTCTCAAAACTCTAACCCTTCCCCTCGAGGCAGACCCATCATCCACCCCTCATGTCCCGATCCTAGTAACCCCCGACCTGTTGGACAAATCGCGTGTGGTGGTCATATTCGGCGAGACGCACCAAGACCTCGGCGCCCTCGCGCACCGCGTACTTGGTGGTCCGGGTGGCATCAATAAGGGCTCCCTAATCTCGGCCGTCAAGGTCCTTCTGCAGAAACGATCCTCGCCCACCGACCCCTCGCCGCCGGGTATTATCCTCGCCAACATGGGCGAGTTGATCTGGTGGCCTGAGGGCCGTCGCACTCTCAGCAGGTTCGCATTCGATGGGACCCCGATGCGTAGCGCCGCCCATCTTGGCAACTATGTCGACCCTAAGACGAATACCGTCCGTGATAATGAGGATCCTTTGGCTCACGTCAAGTATATCTTCGAGAAGGTCTTGCCCGCTCATGTGAATCCTGACGCTGGACTCGATGTCATTGGACTTGGCGACGGTGCTGATATTGTTGAATCCTATTGGAACTGTGATGAGACATGGAAGCTCGTGGGCAACCGAATCAACTGCTTTGCGTCTGTCGGCGGTCAATTCCCGGATTGGGAGATCAAATGTGATGGTCTACGAGAGTTTCTAAAAGATGTGAGTATCAATCAAGTACCCCCTTTCGTTATCCCTTATAGGCCTTGCGGATACTTGCATGTATCCTTCACAAATATCGTATCGTAAAAGGACCCTAATATCTTCATTGATACCATATGCCAGTAGCTCTTTGATACGAGACCTAAATATGAAGTAGTAAACTGATCAAAAGTCAGCGTGCTCGTGCTTATGTCCCCTCTTCAGAGCCTCTGGGTCTACTCCTGTCCGGCCCACTCGGAAACCCAGAGACCACGACCTTCACATCGTTGGGCTGTCCCGTCTTTAGCGCCGGTGTGCCCTGTCACGTCGAGACACTATTCATCGCTTCACAATCTCTTGTACTGGATTGGCTCCAGGAAGTCGCAGATACCCCTCCCGAGGAGAAACCCTACCTGAACCCCACCTTCACAGTCGTTTATTCTGAACCTTCTGAAACGAATAGCACTTGGGCTGGTGAAGACAGGGTAGAGTCTACCGAAAAGCCTGCCATCGAAGCCTCACCTATGGAGACCGCTGAAGAGAAACAGAAAGGCCATTTATCTGAGGCAGCGAAAATCGTCGAAGGGCGGGCGAAGTGGACTAGGGAGGGAGTCAACGAGTACTGGTCAAAGGCCCTCGAGGAATCCTATGGAAAAGATTCTCATCAGTACCAACAATATCTGGACTTTATTGAAAAGCAACAAGGAAAAGAGCTGAAGGGCGTGAGGCCCATAGGAGAGGATACACAGGAGAACAGCAGTGCAGACACCGCTGTGGTTGAAGGGGAGGCAGACTCTACGAGCAATGTGACAGTAACCGGCAAGCGAGATGAGCATGAGAGCGCTCAGAAGAAGGAAACAGAGCAGGGCAAGGAGCCTCAGAAGCTCGTGATTCGCCCCAAGCCAGTCGAGAGTGAGGACAAGAGTCATGAGGACAATAAGCAATGATGGAATCGCGAGGTTCTTCAGATACTCCGTCGCCGTTATCAGGCCTTTTGTTATGATGATAGGGTTGGTGCATTTAACTCGATACCTTGCCGCGATGAATGATTTGGTGAAATACGCATATGATAATTGGCATGAGTTATGTAAAGCTTAGGCTTAAGAGCTACAGATAGCTTGATATTAAAATGACACTGAGTTCACGATGTGCAAAATTGCGAGACTTTCGTGTGAGATACATTCGTGACATACACAAACCCAACAGGGTTGAGGGTTGAGGTTAAGACTTTTCGATATCTTACAGACAGATAGACTCCTTGTGATGTAGTGACTACCTTTGATGTCCTTAATTGAACACAATATTCATACATATAAAACAAGAACGAAGTTCTTTGTGTCGTAACACGTAAAATCACCATATACGTACTTATCAGCGAAACTTTTATCCGCAGAAATACCAGACGCATGATAATCCATTTTCCTACACTTTTCTTTTTTTGTCGGTCGTGAGAACGAGTTGCACGATAACCATATGATCAAAACGAGAACCATTGTAAAAAATCTTACAGAACCGAATTAAACCGAGAAAATAGAGCTGAAAGGCGTACTCGGCGCCTCGAGTTCATCGAGCACGTCCTGTGCCCGCCGCGTGCGTTCCTTCACGACGTTCTCCTCTGCCGCCCAACGCCCGATCGTCTCTTCCTCGCGCTTCTGCTTGCTGTCGCCCCAGAGCCCGAACCATGTGGATCCCGAAGAAGCGGATGGAGCGGCCTCTTTCTCGCGCTCCTCGCGGGCTAGACGCGCTGCCATCTTCGCCCAGTTCTCGAGCCCGCTGCTCAGACATTCCCTGCACGTCTTCTTCGCTCCGGAGGAATGCGGGGAGGGCCCGAGCTTGTGCAGTTGTTCCTCGGCGAGGTCCACGGCTTCGCGGGTCCAGGCTACGCCGTCCTCGCGGGCTCGGCTCGCGTAGATGATCTCGCCTATGTAGAGGTTTAGACCGGCTTCTTCGCAGCGCTCTTGCGCGTCGCGGATAGGGGGTGAGTCGCCGGAGGGTGGGGGGGGCGGGTAGGCTGGTGGTGCGACGAGGCGTTTGATGGTGCTGAGGATGTTGCTGGCTGTCCAGGGGGAGTTGGATGGTGGTTCTGGTTGGGTGTATGATGTGGAGGAGAATTTGGGCTGTGTTTCGGGGAGAGAGCGGCGGGCGCGGAGGATGGAGAGGAGGATGGGGAGAGCGCTGGATATATCCCCATTGCGAGCCTTGTGCGTTGCTAGTGCGGTGAGGGCGTCGAGGATATTCTTGGAGGGTGTGGGCGCATTGTCGCGGAGCACGTACGATCCCTTGTCGTATGGCATCTCCGTCGGCGGCGTGTTCTCGGACGCGAGAGATAGCGCCCAGTCGTACATCCTTATCGCTGCCTCGGGGACCTCTTTGAAGTCAAGCCACGAGGCATATGCCAATGCGGCGTCCATCTTCTGTTTCGATGAAAAGCCTCGTGTCGTTAAGATCCGCATATAGAACATCTCTGGCTCCTCGAATGCGCGTTCGCAATTCTCCTCGCGCGGCGCCGTCTCAGCACCTGCGGGTATAGGTTTCGGGTTTGGGTTCGAGGGCCCAATGACGGTGCTGGCGGGAAACACGATACGTCGCGTCGTGTCCAGCACATGGTCATCCAGCTGTTCGGCCGCTTTCGCAGCCAACATCAGCGCCTCGTAATATCCCCTCTGCCAGGGCTCGCTCTTCGCCGTGATATCGTAACCGGAATTCCCAATGCCGTCAATCCAGATGCCGCCCTCCATCAGGTCTTCCACTCCCGCTCCCTCGATTTTCCTGTCTTCCAGCCTCTCAATGACATTCTTGGCATACTCCCCAATCACGACCCAATCCGTCTCAACCCCAACCCAGTCGGTGCGATCCGGCCCCCATTTCGCGACGCGGAATCGCAGCCGCGTTAGAAATCCCCATTCGTGTGGCGTCGGATATTTCCTCTCGAGCCACTCTTGCTGCACACTCCAGTAGGCTATCACGGAGAACCCCACTATAGCCCAGAAATAGACAGTGTATTTGAAGGCGAGGTAGACTTCATATACGAGCCATCGTTTCCGCTCCGTGGTCAAGTAGCGGAACTGGTGATTCTTTGCTAACGGCGTGGAGAGAAAGGGAAGCTGTGGTCGCGATCGAGAGTTTAGCTGGGATTGTCTTATGAGGAGACGGGTTGGAGTCGGGTTTTTAGGTTTGAGGGCGGGGAGGAGGAAAAGTCGCCGGAGGAGAATGCGGTGCTGCATAGTCATTTGCGATGGAGGGCAATCTGAGGCCGGTTATCCTTAGAAGTGGCAGGGAAGATTCCGAGATGTTGTCTTCTTTCCATACATCTCGCACATGTTGCTTAAAATCCCTTGGTGTGAAGTCCACAATGTCTTCGGGGCAAAGACGTTGCTATAGTTGATGGCGGGTTGGGTAACTATTTGTCTGACAAGCGATTAACTAGTGGGGAAATGAATTTGAGAGTTGAATTTGAAGTTATATAGCTAAGTTAAGTGGTATGGCGTTATGCTCTATTGCAATCTAGCAAGGCTGTGGTAGTGTAGTGGTTATCATTCTAGCCTTCCAAGCTTGAGACCGGCGTTCGATTCGCCGTCACAGCACTTTTTTGTTTTGTTTTTCTCCAGAATCTAGCAGAATAATATCGCGAAGGCTCATGAATCATGACTCGTTCTGGTCATCTCGGCAGCGGTCTCTATTAGCGCATCATGACGGGTACTTTATTGGCTGTTGCCGTCGGCCGTGTGTAGATGGCATATTGATTCTAGCCACTTATTCAAGTCGCGCGGTCGACCTGTACATGTTGGTAGCATGGGAGACCGCAGCACAGCCATCACATCTACAGTCATCATTTTTTTTTTCTTCGTAAGTGAGGTTAGTAGATGTAATCTTTTGATCGCCTATAGCCTTGATCACATGAAACGCAACCTCATAAAGAGCGAAGCTATCTCTGCAGTCGATCTCACGCTGTATCTGCAGTTGGCCAGCTACTGCCACTCAGTGTCATCTGATGACATCTTTTAGTAATAGCCCCTTTCCGTGTATTAATGCCACTATCTACACCTTTAATATCTCTCTACCTTTAATACCTTTACCTCTGATACTGTTACCTCTCTGCATCTAGATGCCTCTTGAATATTTGAAGTTCCTGGATGAGTTCGAAAATATGCATCGTGATGAAGAAAGAGACTAGCCACTTCCTTTAGGACCTGGTAGGTAAGGACGTTCATCGCCCATTAGTGTCGGGCGGTATGAGAAGAGTACAGGATTTTTCAAAGATACAATTTTCTCTGATGTAAAGTTAGAGACTGGAACAAGGGGCGGTGTTTTATAAGTAATCCATCAAATTCAAAATAATATAATAATACATTACAGCTAGAGTTCGAATAGGTTCTATAGCTATCATCTAACGTGTATACATTCCCAATCTACTCCAAACTACTCTGTTGGCGACAGGTCCCCCAAAACCATATTTCATGACAACTATGACTCCTTTATGGTTGAGGGTTGAGGTTTGTCTTTATCAACCCTCTCTTTGCGAATGTTCTTAATATTCCTATGCTCCATAGCAAACGTCGTTAGTAAAGCTAGGCCAATAGCAACGACTGGGTAGAAGTAAGTTTTATGAAGGGCGCCCATGTAAACCTGGCGCAACAAGTTATAATCTTGGTCGGTTTCTGCAATGGCTCGAAGATTGGATGCGCCAGCAGCGACAAGGCCATCATAGGGGATGAACGGCGTCAATTCTTTCGCATATTCTTTAAGTTGGCCTAAAAAGATCGATTGACTGATAGAGAGACTGAGTGCGCTAAAGCCCATCGTTACTTAACTGTCCCAGAGATGTAGCGGGATTTACTTACGCTCCAAGTTGAAAAACGAATTGTAATGCCGCTATGATCTGATCAATTTTGAAAACTTAGCAAGCGGTGAGCAAACAACATACCATTTCCTGTAGGGACATCGTCATCACTATTCATGTTAGAGATGTTAACTTTTAATAGACATTGCTGTACTAACACGAGAGTTGCCTGAACAATTGTGTATGGTAGGGTAACGGCAGATCCTGTGCCAATGCCACAAATAACAAGCACGCTAGCCCACAGGGCAACAGGGGTCTCCAAGTTATACAACAAAATTAACCCAGACGCTATTAGGGCGATAGCGGTTCCTATCATTATAATGGGAACCTAAATGATCGAGCAATTAGTCCCTAGTAGTTAAGAGATGCTTCGATGAGACTTACATAGAAGCCGGAGAGAGTAACTAGCGCACCCGAGACTACAAGGAAGATAACCTGAGGCAACGCGAAGGCTAAAAACCGGGTGCCACTTTCTGTAGCTGTGAAGCCTTTTGCGGCTTGAAAGTATATGGAGATGTAGTACCCGTACTAGGCTAGTAAGTTCCTTTGCACCTGATTTCATATAGATTGAGTGGCACTTACCACATACGTGGGTACTGAGAAAAAAAAGCAGTACACCACCGCCGCCATTAATGACTGTTCATGAAGCAAAGCAAGTGGCAAGGTAGCGTTCTCGCCCAGCTTCCACTGAGTGAAGCAGAATAGCCCAAGTAGAACAGGAAAGGCAGTAAGTAACCCGATGACCGTCGCCGAGTGCCATGGCATGGATGTTCCACCCCACTGAAGGGCTAGGAGAATACTCACCACAGCTGAAATAATGAAGACTGATCCTAAAGGGTCCAAGCTCCATAGCTTTTGCGGTAGCGTCATAGAATTAAACGTAGATTCTTGGCTGCTTGTCGGGAGGTGGAGCAGAAAGAATATGAGGACCAAAACAACCCCGCCAATGGGAACATTACTGCCCGTCCATCAGCGCTTAGGGAGGCAGCATACTATCAAAAGAGGGTACATACATCCAGAAACACCAACGCCAGGTGACTTTATCCGAGAACACGCCGCCTATCACAGGCCCAATGGAAACACTAATGGCAAACGTACTCGTGATGATGCCAATGAACAGGGGGCGCTTCTGAAGTTCAACTGTTTTCGTGATGACTGCAAGTGCCCCCTGGAATAAGCCGGCAGCGCCAGTGCCAGCGATTGCCCGGCCGACAATGAATACTGTAGACGAAGGTGACGAAGCGCAAAGTATCGAGCCAACTTTGTTACATCATTAACCAAAGTGAACACAATGTTTCGTGGAAGTAACTGGTACGCACCTTCAAATATCAAAACACAGGTCATAAACACAAGTTTATTATCTACAAACCGATATAGTTTCCCAAACGTCGGTTGGAATGCGGTAATAGTAAGAAGATAGCCGCTGCCGTACCAAGCGATATCACTGAGTGATTTGAACTCTGTAGTAATCTTGGGCACGGCTGTGCTTATGATGGTTTCGTCAAGTGCCATAACAAACACTCCGCAGAATAAAGCTGCTATGACCAAGTAGAGCTGTAGACCTCTGATTGTCCTCGGATCTCCTGGGTCCTTGGCCGAAGGAGCGTCTACCTTAACCGGTTTGCCCTCAGACCCGGTTTCCCCTTCTGACACCTTGATTGATTCTGGGGGTTCCATCTTGCAGTCTTTAGCTGTACACCGACAACTAAACTTGAATGGATGAATGAATAGAAGAGAAAGAAGAGAAAGACGACAGACTTCGGTGGGAATCGCGAAGATCCAAGGCAGTGTGAAAGAGTTGGTTTGGCAGACAGGCAGGGCTCGATGCTCCTGGACAAACAATCAAACGAAAGGGAACTAGGAGGAATGAGAACAGCGGGATAGAACAGACAGCTACTCAACGGAGCTAGTGTACTACACATGTAAGGGGGGTTAAAACGTTGGCGGTTCCAACCGGAGGGGGATTTGCATACACAGATTTCAAGTGCGCTAGCACATACAGTTTTTGTAGAGTGGTAAATGTATTATTGGAGTGGTGGGAGGAGGATGTATTTTCATGTACTCAGTATGTATAGTAGGTGATGTTGCTCTAATGCTGTGTAACATTAGGAGTCCGGGCGGCAAAGCAGGGCGTCCTACCGGTATACGGAATCAAGAACCCCCTACGGATAACTGGATACAGAGCTATCCTGTTACGACCATAGATAGCTACAGAAGACAATGCGATGATGCCTACGGGTTCGAGGTGGCCCTCGCCTACCGCTTGGTAAACCATTGGGATTAGGCAGCCTGCTTACAAAAGTCGTAACAAGAAGTAAGTATAGCATTTCAAGGTCGTAATTTGGGGTCATGCGTATTCGCCCTCGCCGCTGTAATCGCTAGAACAGGCCGCAACGGCTCAATGGACAAAGAAAGGAGTGTAACACAACAGGGCAATTAAACTGAGCACATCACCACTGCAGGGAGGTAGAATTTCGAGCTGGGACACCGTTTGCCTCATATCACCTGTCTCAACAGAGCCTCATGTTTTGGCAAATTGGCAAATGACATCTAGTACGAAGCGCCCTGCCTGGCATGGCAATTTAATCTTAATCAGGCGCTCTACTAGTAATAATACCGGACAAACTCCCAGACTTAGTTATTATTGTATTAAAAATGGAGGGTATATAGCTGTCGTACATATTCTATCCGTTGGCTGAGTAGTGTGGATATCCCGCTCCCTCCTGCCGATCTTCCGTGCCTAGAACCCCCATGATAGGCTCTTGTCTCGTATACACTGTTACACCTATACGCAAAGTATATCTCGGTGAGGTCAACGGAAGTAGGGGTTATATAGAGTATAGGTGTTTACGTCCAAATGAACTCCTGTGTCGAATGAATTACTCATTAGTTTTTGTTTTCATTCTCGTAGCTTGACACCGTAACTATCAACACTTAATACTCACGACTGTATCTCAGCATATGATTCCTTCAGAACAGTTGCGGTTGGTCCCTGGAAAGGCATCTAAATCCCATTTATGTCGCATGTAGTGGCATGCTATTCTATATTAATAAATGTACTATTCATTTTGGTAAAACATTGGACATTGGAGAGTGAAATCATAAGGGAATATCATGAGTTGTGCCTTTAAGAAGCTGAATGGTCGAGCTGAGCTGCCAACTCCAAAACTGGGCGCTATGGAATATGTCTCAATCATTACGATACTTTAATTAACTTCCTTTTGATTTTAAATGGAACTTTCCTGTCTGGAGGGAGAGTTCCCGTTGGAAACCAGCGCATGTCTGGTCCTACCTCATTCCCCCCTCCTTCATTCAGCAGCTCGAGGTCGAAATGAGAAGTCAAGTAAGCAAATGTCCCTATTAATTGGCGTTTGGCAAGGTGCCGCCCAGGACACAAGTGCTGGCCTCCCCCATATGGCATCCAGCGACCTCCCAATCCGCGCAGCGAGAACTCATACTGAGAGCCTTGTGCTTCGTCAGCCATGACACCTGTCCCCTTTTCTTTTGGGACGAGAAACCGCTCTGGCCAAAATTCATCTAATGCCTTTACACCGAGATTCCCACGTTGAATCCAAGTGTTGTCATCTTTCAACGTAGGCCACGTGAATATGACAATGTGCTTGTCTTTTTCTATCCGGCGTCCCGAGAGATCGAATTCGCCGCTTTCACAAGTTCGAGGCAACGCAATTGCGACACGTAGGCGAAGCGTCTCCGCATAGGCCGACTGGAGTAGAGGTTGTTCTAATAGCTTGTCTAGATTCCGTTTTACGTCCAAATCGGAAGGCGATAAGCACGAAAAGACCTCAGCATCCATGCGTTGATGCAAGGTCTTGTCTTTCAGTGCTTCCATGATGTACCAGAACATTGCAGGGAGAAGATTCGAGTTCGCACTAACAATGTTAAAAGAGCCCGCTAATGACGAGATTAGGATAGTGGCGAGCTGAAAAGACGTACGCGAATAAGATACCCATCTTTTCCCAAGCTTTTGTGTTGGCGGGTAAAATCTTGATAAATTTTGCATAATCGTGCCGTGCACGTAGGAATGCGGAGCCCATGTAGGGTTCCCACTCGGGGTCATCAGTCGATGGACGAGAAACGTGATGGTTCGCAAACTCATCCAGCTTTATGAAGGCGTCAAAAATCCTGTCTCGAGCCCTGTACTGGGAGCGAATCAACCAGCGGGGGAAAAGGCGGATGAGACTTGGCACGGCTTGGTCAAATGACCAGAAGTCATCGACTATCTGCGGATGGATCTCAAATATCTTCTTACCCATCAGAGTTTCGGTGGCGGCGGGCGATACAATATTTCGGAGAAAGGTGTATAGATCGGGATAATGAACCCATTCAGATTGAATCTCCATAGCTTCAAAATTTTGTTCCAGATTTGATAGGAACAGCCGCGAGAGGAAGTGCAAATGCGAACCAGAGAGGTATTTTCGCGCATAGTGATTGAAGCCGTTGACGTGTTCATTCAATTGACCTTCATCTGCTTCGTTGGTGTCATGGGAACTGTTCGCCTCTCCGAGGTCTAGAGCTTCATCATTTTCGAACAATCGGGCCACTTCCCTTGAAGCACCGAAGATGTTCTGTAGAGCCACAACCGTCAACTGCTTGTTTGAAAACTGCTTACAAGCCCGGAAGACTCTCTTGATCTGGTCAGGATTAGAGACTACGGTGAAATCAATAAACCCAGCCTTGACCTCAACAGGGCCTTGCCATGCAAGATTTCTGTGTCTTTATGTCAGAGATATCCCCACACAAGAAATGCAACTAAATTACATTGCGTCCTTCACAAACTTTCTTGTATCCCAAGCCAAATGAAAGAATTGGCCCAGAAAGATGTCCCAGTATGGAAGAATCGGCGGGTTGGGACAAACGGAAGTCCCGGTATATCGATATCCCGTAGAACGTCTGAAACGGAAAGTCGATAAAGTTTTGGTGAGAATAGGCAAGGCCAAGAAAAACCCAAACAGTACAAAAATGTTTGAAATGGACATTGCAGAGAAGTCTAATAGCATAGGAGTAAATGAGCTTTCAGAGAATTGCACTTTGGATGAGCCGGGCTATTATAAAATCGCCTCAATATAATAAACTATTAAGCTAACTAACACGTTATTTATTAAGTTATTCCCTCGCGGACGTCCACTCTATTTGAGAGGGCACGATTGAAGTTTATGCAATCAAACATTCACATGATATTCATGAAGCTTATAGCTTGACATTTAAGATGAAGTAGGATTATTATCGTGCAACATACGCTAGCCGATAGCCTACATTAAGACTACGTTACTTCGACTGACGACGAATAACTTGCCTCTGTAGTTGACATAACAAGGGTTGTTGCATCAGGTAGCACAAGACTAGGCTGATGCATCGAAAAGAAACTGATGTATACTCTAATACCTTCGCTAAAGAAGTGCAGTTGTGATTGCTGTTTCCATACGGGCCGCGAGGAGTAATCAGCCACCCTACTCAGAGTCACATTATTCGCCCGACGATTCATCGCTCGCCCTGTATTCCTATCGGCTCCGTCTAGTGAGCGATGTCCACACATGACTTGAGCTGCATAGGCAGGCTGTAGATGCGGATTGACCCGGAATAATGGTGTGTTGGTCCCAGCTGCTCAAATCGAATGTATGATGGGTGGGAATAGGTATAACATTACAGGCATAAGCATCCCCCAAAAGGGCTCCAAACCAGTTTTCTTTCGAATGCAACTGCATGATGCCACACTTGTTGAAAACTACGCCGTTAGACGGTGAACAGCCTAACAGTTATTATATGCCCCATGCAACAGTGACACGTGAAGGCTAAGGCTGAAGGTTAGTCGGTAAGTGGTTGTTGAATGGGTGGGAATCAGTGGTCTTCGGTCCGACTCCATGCTACACACCTATGGTACTTAGTATAGGTATGTCCTATTTTAGAAACAATGTGTTGTATGCGAGTCCCGCGAAGCTTCATTCTGTTCTTCACTTTCGAGGCCACCGACAGGGTATTGAGGCGTAGCCTGCCGGGAGGACAAATAGGCAAATGCCATGGAGTGCATCCATAACCCACACAACTACTGCTGATAATACTTACGAGAGGCATGGAAAGGTTTGTGTCGGTTAGAACTGCAACCATCGGGGTTTGATATGACCTTTGTGTGACTATATGCAAGGAATCTCTTTGGTCCGGTGATGGGCGGTGGCTTCATGACAGTTTCCTGGCGCCCCTGCCTGGACTGTTAGGTCTAAGATCGAATGTATTCATTCTCAAGATAGTACTTCTATTGTAACAAAGGTTGCTATTGGTGGGCTTGGATCCGAGATAGTCGGCATAGCGACAACCTTCTTGGCGACCTTGACCCTCTGATGCTTATCTGTATGTTAAAAGATAACTTTACGCCTTGAATGTTACGTAGCTAGATATTAGTCCTCTAAAGGTGGTCAGCTAGCTGATTCCAAGTTCTCAGAGCTGCTTATCACGCACCATACTGACATACCTATTGCTGGCGGGAAGAGGGGGGAAAAAAACATCTAAAAATTATGCGGGTTAATGGTAGGGAGGCACGGGAAAAGGGGTAGGCTAGTGCCTGAAATGGTGTCATTCAATTGTACAGTAGTCGCGATTTTACGGGTATATTTTTTGTTCGGAATTACAGATTATTAATTTGATATACAACCAGATAGGAAGAGCAGTCTAATACATCCCATCCCGTGTATTCCTGGCACCGCAACCCCGTAGAGTATATTGTATTTAGTTCCTCTTGAAAGCATGTACTGACATTTTCACAGAGGGATCGTGGGGAACCTCTACAGTCAAGGCTCCCACCCAACCTAGGCTGACTGTATGTAAGTTGCTGCCAGCGTCTTCATGATGATCCAAAGGGTAGATACCTGTTTCCTCGTCCGAACTTATTGGAATATTGTTTGCCAGTTCCATTGGTTTTCCTGGTTCTGAAAGGACGACGCGCCACCGCTTGTTGTCCCGCGGAATGAGCTCGACCCGAACGTCTCGAGAGGGAAGGCGAAACGCAGCATTGGCTTCTCGGTATCCGACAGTATCCCATTGCCCATTGAGAGGCTTTATATCAAACCGCAAGAGTATGACACTGGCGAACGCCAAGATCTCCGTAGTAGCAAAGTGGCGGCCAGGACAGAGATTTACGCCGCCTCCAAATGCACGGAATGCGACGGCATTATATTTCTTGAACTCGGTGTCTCTAACGAATCGCTTATGATAGAACTCGCCGACATTGTCTCCCCAAGCAGGGGACAAACTGTGCTGGACATTACTTGGTATGAGGACCGTACTTCCCCTATTGCATATTAGGTTTACTTCAGATCCCGTCATTACAATGGGGTAGATGAAAGGAAACCATCAGAATGAGCTGAAAGATTGTATCGTCAACAACTTACTTCTTCAATAGGTATTTCCCATCCAGCATGTGATCTTCCACCACAGCGCGTGCCGATACACCTATGCTGTGACAGCGAAAAGCCTCTTGCATTGTTGAAACTAGGATGGGGCAAGAACTCTTGACATATGATAAATCCAAGCATTTCTCACCGTTATTCTCGTGTACGGCTTTTTCTACTTCTCGACGACAGTCCCCAAGCACGATTGGGTCTGAGAAGATATGGTAGATTGTCCAGAAAGTTGCTGGCATCGTGTTGCTGAGTAGACCGATGGCGCCTCCTGTCTCCATCCTTGCCACATCTTGCACATCCATTCCCTGCTTTAATGGATACTCATATCGGTTTCGTGCATATACAGATGAACCTTCCTCAAGACCCTTGGCTGCATAGTATCGTTTAAAGGCTTGCACGAGCGTATCACGAGCTGCTAAGCTCTTCCTGGCCAGGAGTCGGGGGAAAAAGCCGGCCATCATGATCATCAGCCCAGCTTCGTAATCACTATAAAAGTCAATATTTATTTGTCAGGATAGATGTGCTGCTTGGCTTTTCACGGACCTATAAGCCGCCTGGACATCAGGGTTCTTGAAGGGGTTGCGCGGGCCATAAACAGAATTCGTCGTAGCCAACATAATCTCCTTTGAGACCCATTCAAACATGTTCACAGTGGAAAGACGCGTATTGGCACACAGATTGTCGAGGGACTGGCTAAGGTTCAGAACGGCCTTAGCATTCAGGTCATCCAGGTTAGGTCCTGGACTCAAACCCTTGGTGGTCTCGAGGGTGATCTGATGTATGAAACCATGGTTCTCCAGAGGGTCGCGACCGGCAATATGGAGAGCCCCCTTACTCACGCCCATGAAGTGCGAGAAAAATCGGACCATTATTGGGGAGATAGACAACGCCCGTACATGTCGCTGGATGATGGGGATGAGCGCTGTATCGTTGACAACATAGAGCCGCGAGCCAGGCAGTCGGAGCGTATAGATAGGCAGTTTGTATTTGTTTCTGGGACCAAGTCGTTGTTAGTAACGACAATAGATTGCCAGATTATGCGCTGCATTAGATATCTTACCTCAGATGTCTGTGGAAGTTGGAACCTCTGGTCATCATTCCAATCACGGGACTGATAAACGGTAAGGCGTCCTCAACGGTGCGTGGTTCTCGCGCATCTTGGGTGACATGTTGCAGAGCCCAAAGGAAGAGATAGAAGCCTGCAGCGCTAGCCACTAGGGTTGTGAGGTTGAACATGATTCTTGATAAATAGAGAGCGTTGATGAGGAGCAAGGATAATTCGAAAACAAACCAAAAAAAAAAAAAAGCGAAGAGGGAGGGAGGATAACATTGAGACAGCTCACATTTAGCCAGCGAGGGGCTCGGTCTCACGGAGCCGCATAGAGCAAAGCTTAGCTATGTCTACCAACCACAAGCGCCGAAGCTGAAGACAATTTCGACCTGGCGATAGGGCCTTTCTTTGGGGCTTTACCGTAGCATTCAAATGCCTACGTGTACCAAGTAGATAGACATCCATCACAACGCCTACTCAGTAAGTAATTAATTCCTAGAAGTTACCTAAGGTACTGAGAGGTAGCTAATTACCCCGACGATAATTGTATGATTAAAGGTAGATATATCAGATTCCAGTGCATTGCGGCACTACCTAATCATCATCGGCTACCTACTAAATGCACAAATGAGATGGAAATAGACATACAAAGTACCTAGGTAGGTAGGTAGTAAGTGTGCGTGGCCAGCCTGCCTCAGGATATAGTCGGTGGCATACCTACCGGTATCTAGGTAGGCATTCCATGATGATGGGGCATCACATCAGACGGTAGGACAACCCCTCCTTTCATTTGGCCTGCCCCTGACGCTCTCAACGTTTGCCTGCCGGATCCAATTGGAATGCAAACATGTCGTGATTGGCGACGTAGAGCCTAATGCATCACATTTCAAGGGTCATTAAGCTCCTTCATACTTAGTACAGTAGTTGTGCTATGCGCGGCTCGGGACGCAGGGCTTTTGGTTGCTATTGCAACGTTCCTCTTCCGTTTCTAGTCCTTGGGGAGAGTGTAGAGCCTGTTACTACATATTGTGCCATTGTGTGAGACCCCAAAAAGTCGTAAAACAAGATTCGTGCACACTCTTCTCGATTGCACCACCACTCTAACTCTACAGCCTGCCTTAGCTTTTGGGGTCGTCCTTCGCACAAGCACAAAGTAAGTAGACTCTAGCTACAGGATACTGCAACCCGTGTAAAAATAGATAGGCAACTGAAAGCTAAGAAGAGATCAATATCAAAATGAATGGGAATAGGAACGGGAACGGGAAATAGGCGACGGGGGAATCATCATAGTACATTTGAACCCGTAACTAGACCGCTAGGCTTTTGCTATATACTCTAAGCACATTGTCAACAACACATTCTGCCTCTTAATACCTCACCTCTGTTTCATATAGTTCGTTGTTCCGTCCCACGAGAGCCTGTCCCGGATCACCTCATTACCTCCTCCCCAGTTTTGAAATCCGGCTCCCGCCCTAGAGACCGTCGCCTTGTTTCCAGCCACCATTAAGGGCTATACCCACGATGGACTTATCCCAGATACCCGCGGCTACACCGCCATCAGGGGTTGTACCTAACTTCGTTGACCCAGCGTCCTTGGCTCCAATTTGCTTGATCGTAATTGCGATCACTTTGCCTTTGATGGTCATATTCCTCGTCCTCAGAGTCTATGTTCGTTTCTGGGTATCTCACAAGACGGGCGCTGATGATGGTGAGTATTACCTTTGAGACGTCTATTGTTCTTTTCGATCACTGACATTTCGCAGTACTCTGTCTCATATCCGCAGTCAGTCATAAACTATCTTCTAAGCGGCATGGCCAACTGATCGTATCTCAGGCTCTGGTTATTACATTTTGCGGTATTACAGTATCGAGTGTGTACTCTACTTCCCATTTGTCTTGGTCGCGGCGTTCTAAAGCTGTGCGTAGTACTTGACAATCCCATTGGACCACACCAATGGGACGTCCCAGTTTCTCGAATAACGCCATTATTCCAAAGGGTAAACTCAACTCCCATCGTTTTTACATGAGATCTTGCTAAAAATCCAACTTCAGCTAACCGTTGCTTCGGTTGTCATCTATGCACTGGGTTGTTTGGCCGTCAAGTCAACCCTCTTAACCCTCTATCTTCGAGTTTTTGCTCCAGATCCTAAGGCAAGATCCATGATCATGTTTGGATTGATATTCATAGCGGTCTTTTACACCATTAGCGTGATTGTGAGCCTTGCTACCTGCCTTCCGCACCAGGGCGAAGGAAGCTGGAATTTAGCAGCAACACGCTGTGAGAGCCAAGACGAACAGTTCGCAGAAGCTCAAGGTGTAGTTGGAGCACTTACAGATCTATACGTGCTTTATATACCCCTGAGACTCCTTGCCGGACTCACTTTGTCTCGCAGGCGAAAGATTGCTCTCTATGCCGTCTTTCTTACAGGATTATTGTATGCCCACTTTCCCGGTCCCCATCAACCGTACTTACTGATCTTCCAGGGCTTGTGTTGTTTCAATTATCAATGCTACGTTTCGGTTCATAGTTTTCAACAATGGCGATGCTTTGTGGAACGAAGTTCCCATTTATGCTCTATGGTGAGGCACTAGGATCTTTCATTCTCCAGGCAAGAAACTAACCCGCGTATGACTAGTGCTGCAGAGCTAAACTTTGGCATAATGTGTGCCTGTATGCCGGTGGTCTTCATCATCTTCAAAGACTTTGCAGTAACCACGCTGAGCTGGGCCACTAAGATAAGATCCTGGACATCTCGCGGCAAATCAACCACTAGGATTCAATCAAACTCTAAGTTTGAAGATCCTCAACTACCGATAGCTCCCAAAGGGACACTCAATGGTCTCAAATCCTATATCCGACGCGCCTATCGATCAACGTTAGCGCGCTCAGGCGTCGTGCCATCTCAAGCTAGTGATGGGGAGCTTATATCATATGTGAGCTCCGATTATAATTACCATACACACATGGTGCGACCGGAAGCTGGGGCTACAGCAAGCCTTCCGCCAAAACAGTGATAGAAATGATAATACATCAAGGACAAGAATATTGAGGTCCAGCCTTTCACAGTGGTAAGGCGGGAGGAATAAGGAAAGCTTGATTTCTTCTCAACTTGCTTGTATAGGTAGTTATCTTGGAATGGCTAGGAAGGATTTGAATACAGTGACGCTTGACCAGAGCGTTGAAAGTTGAGGTAGACATAAGTCCTACATTTTACGATTACAACACGCAGTGAAGTTACAATACATGAAAACCACAACTCACTACCCTGGCGTCTCCCATGCCAACTAGTTGACATTAAAAGTCTGGTTGCTAGGTGTTTGCACTCATAGCTATCATATTAACCTACAGGTACCACCCCACACCACTATGCTCAGCTTGTTCTCAATGGCAACATGCCACACCGCGCACACATAACTTATAATCAACTATGTTAAACCTAGGAACCGGCGATGCCCTGCACTAAGACTATGGTACTGGCAAAGGGGATCTTTCCGTCCACTAATGTCTGAGATGGAGGTCCATATCTGCGTACTTCCAAAGCTTTGCATTCGACCCTAAATATGTTGAACGTCGATCATAGCGACCATCACGGACGAGAGCAGAATATGGATCGGCGGGAGGGCGAGATACAAGCGGTGGCAGGCTGTGTGTAGGCCGAAGGGGGGGTCTCTTTCTCGGCGGGGGACACGAGAGCGTCAACCGCGTGACTAAATCTCTTTCCGCTAGCAAATGATAAGTACCTACCGTAGCAACGAAAGAACAATACAGGGTTGTTTCCAAGTATTAACTTGAGAACATCTGCGAACACTCGGAATATTCCGTCCTCTACCTACGTGGTTATTAATAGAACCATAGGTTCTGCTGAGTAGTTTGCATGTGAGCGATCCCTCGAAAAACCATGGGATTCTAATACCTATAGCGAATGAGCTTGCCATCGCCACGTAGAACCTAACACTATCGCTAAGGTTGCTTTGCGGCACAGTCCTCGTTTGCATCTACAGTGCGGTGGTACTCACCGGGTACTTTTAAGTACAAGATGGATCAGGTAGAGTTCTTTCGACACCTACCGCGAAAGTCTAGGCATAGAACTCCTGATACCTAACTAGTAGCCGTCCGCCAATCGATGCTGGCTTGGGGCGTGGTTACACAGCAGACCCTGAACCGTCTCGGCATTCGGCATGCGAATATGAACAACTTCTGGGAACATAAACGCACACTGAGAAGCCTACCTAGCGTCGCGGTCATAAATATCACCCTGATGTTACAGCAGGAAAAATTGGTGTAACCGAGCGTGATAAAAACACTGAAGGTGACTGCGTGGCTCTGGCACGAGCGCGTTCAAGGGGAATCGCTTGGCGGGCTGTCGTACACGATAACTTTTTGCGAGTCCAATAACATACAGTCAATGTCGGGTAGGCAGGTCTCGCTCCGCAGAGTGAACATTATAAGATTTTGCGGAAAGTGAGATCATGCCTCGTATCGAGGCACAGTCGTCATGCCCTTCACCATCGCGCGAGATGCTTACTTATATGTCGGCTGGCTGGGCTGGGCTGGGCTGGGCGGTGAGTAGTACCGCATCATGCAGCCATCTCTGTCGACCTTCGCAGCTTAGAGAGTAACACAAAGGCTCAATCGCGGGGTAACTAGACCTGTCCTTAATTTGAAGATAATCCGGCGTTCATACTCCACGCTTAACCTCATAACTTTGTGTATACGTAGGTTGTGGTCGCAGATTTCCATCAGGCTTGGCACTATAAACCAATACTAACGGTGATGGATATTTTGGACCCCAACCTCCGTATTTACGATCCGCAACTCCGATCTTGAGTAGTTAATTTCCCAGTTTTGCTCCCCATATCTCTCGGTACCCTGTATCCGTCGATTCTCACAAAGCGTAAAACACACCGTCTAGCCACGTCCATCATAACCCCTATCCTGTCAGTACGGTTGCTCTCGTGCTAAGCCATAACCCCCTTTTGCATTTCAATGGCTTTAGCGACCACTCGAGAGGCAACTGAACCCCGTCTCAGTAACAGAGACACTTACGACAGTAGTTGCCGCGCAAAAACAGAAAGAGAAGACCAGGTAGAAAAGCAATAGATGATCCCGACAAGGGTCATCGAAGCGCCCGTAACGCTCGCAACACACGGCTTCAAGACTAACTAACACAAAAACAATGAAGGCCGCGGCAGAAGACCTTCAATCAACACGCCGTACAATCCCACAGTCTAGCGGTATAAATGGCGGCAACCTCGCAGAAACTGAACAGCAGCAGCAAACAGATTTATCAACGCCGCCATAGAGGCCGGATTGCACGCATTTTCGCAGCACACGAGGAGAAGGTGGTAGATTCGAACCAGCTATGGCGGTTAGTAACCACAATCCTGAGCAAGGAGGCGAGCAGCCGGAACAGGTCCGGATGCGGCGCTATCTTGCGCGGAAGGACAGGGATTTATTCAAACTCGTCCTCAAGGCGCCGTGTTAATGCCACTGGAGACGGTAACTACTCCGACTAAGAACTGTAGTCGCTGCTGTCGTGATTCCGACGCCGGGAGATGGGAAGCGGAAACTGTTACGGAGATTTGTCAGCGATGAGGCTCGTGGCGGAGATGAAGATACATGCCTATGCTAAGAGCGGTAGAAGTAATGAGGGATGCACCAATGCCGGTAGCGATGAAGGTTGCTCAAGTTAGTATAGTAAGTGTTCTCTATTTCTTATTCTTGTCACGTCGTGGCTCAAGCAATTGTACTTTTATTGATTTTCCAAGTCCCTTTCTTTAGGAGTATACGGAGGTTTCCTTCTGGGCTCGTTAGTTTTACTGTAGGTCCCGAGGAAATGATCGTCATAAAAAAGACCGCATTCTTTTGAAGTGTCTTATGACTTGAATGTTGAACTCACATCCCTCCACATCGGAGCTTTGATAGAGAATGAACTAGCATATATGACAAACTGCCAGAACGTAGAACGATTTTAACTTGCAAGAAGCGAGTGTGGATTAATTCCCTAAGCTATGAAATCTAAAAGCACAATAGGAGATACAAAGGAGTGTACACTCAATTCCAAGATGATAGTCCATCGTCAATAACGCCTGCCTGAACTAACCTTCCAACTGAACCTTGTACTGAAGGTCAATCTCGACTGCATAGTGTTACATGTGAGAAGCCAGCGCAAAAATATGAGGCATAGCGCATGGTTTATTCTTGCCATTGTATTTGAGGCCCTTAGGCTTCGTTCTCAGCCTTCTTATCCTCAACAACGTCATTGGTATCCACGTAAGCGGGAGGAGCTTCAACATTTGCCTCCTCGTTCAACAAGCCAGACTTCTCTTCAGCGGCAGCAGGCTCATGTCGAGATGCCTTGTGAGCGTATCGGCATCTGTGAGAGCTGCGAGCAGACGAGCGGCGGAAGAATAGGCGCCAGAGGAAGACGATGAAGGTACCAACCATCATGCCGATACTGCTTGATATTAGAACCTAACACCACGTGGATTTGGGGAAAGGAGGCAAGGAATGAACTTACAGGCTAGCTGAAATACCAGCGACAATACCAATCAGGATGGGGAGCAGAATAGCTGTCACGAAGAATCTGAGGCCACGGCCCCAAGAGTGCTTGTGACCCATGTGGTGAGGGTGGGGTTGGTGGTCTTGAGCATGAGACGGTGCTGAAACTCGGTAGCCACTGCAGCCTTTCGAGTAGAATAGTCCACGAAGCTTGTCGAAGAATGCAGCCTTCCATCTGCATACCATGGAAGAGCATTGTTTTTTGCCGGCCGCGGAGTCGGTTCCTTGGGACTCGATGGTCTCGATATTGCCGATGGCAAGCTTGCCGGAAGGAGTCTTGACCAGCTTTACTTGGATGTTGGGGATGCTCTCGATGAAGGCATCGCCTACTTCAATGATCTGGACGTCGACCTTGATGAGTTGCAGATCCTCGTCGTCGTCGGTGGCCACTGCCTCAGTTTCCATAGCGAAGCCGAGGCGCTGGTTCTTCTGCGGTCGGTTTAGTCCACCTCGAGTACGAGGTTTATCGCCGACGTGTCGGGAAGCCATGTCGGGGATAACAGGTGCCGAGAGGACATTGTGCAGGAGGTCTGGGTTTGGGTACAGCTCATAACCATTGAGAGTCAGACGGTCGGCGCCATCATTTGACTCGATACTGAAGTCCAGCTTCAGGTGACTTGGGATCTCCTTGGCGTGCCTGTGGCTAATCATGCATCCAGGGCATTCTAGGTTCAGAGTCTGGGTAACGGGCATCTTCGAAACGGCGACGTCAACATCGTTTTCGATGGGCACAGGGAGGGTGGTAACTGTGTCATCAGCGATGGGGAAGTCGAGCGGGAGGAGTAGGGCGTTGGTGGTGGTGGCCACCAAGCCAACGCCGGCGATGAAAGAGCGTAGATACATTCTGGCGTACGTCTGTATTCGCGGATGGATATATGGTGGTTTTAAGTGTTCATGAGTCCGTGATCTATGTGTAGGAAGAAGTTGGATAACCTTCCTGTCGACTGTTGAGATGGAAGAATGAAGGGAGGGATTGGCTTCGGGGCTGATGACGACGCCTTGGTGCTTTGTGGGGGTGCTGCGACCCGGCTCTAATAGTAGATCACGCAACTACCTACCTACTCTAAGACGTGGTGGCGTGTGTTAGGTACGTATCCACTTCCAATACATAAGGCTGTTTCAGCCAGTAGGCTCCAGTGGGCTGCAGTGGGCATGGGGCGCCTGTGGGCTGGAATTAGACCCCTAATTCTGTCTTTATCTTCTCTTTATCTAAGTACACTATTAAGACTAGTTACCTAGCTATTCAGTGCTTATACAGAGATTAGACAGTAATTAGGCCTTGATTACCAGGTAGGTAGGTACTCTGTATAGCACTGATTATAGCACTCTTAATGAATCCTTGTTTTTGGATTGGGCTAACATTGAAGACCCTGGAATACCTCCAGTAAGTACCGGTAGGTAGGTGTACTTAGGTACGCACGCTGACCCACCCCACTGGCAGTAGCAGCTCGTACCGACCAGAACCAACCCTTGTAAGTGTTAAGATCCAGTACCATGGGCGAGGTGACTGAACGGCGAACGGCTGGATAAGGCAGGTCGCGGTATAATAACAGACAGTCAGCCTTACATGGGCTAGGTACTACTAGGTAGGAAGCATTGAGGCTCAAAGCAACAATGACCCCGTTTCCATCGACCGAAGTTCTTCGACATACGTGAACGAACAGTCCAGGGCCTCATCGCTAGACCAACGGGATGAGGGTTAGGTGAATGTCCGTAGATGGTAAGCTCTCTTTCAGCTCCAATCCTGTCTTGGCGGATTAACTTAGCCCATCAGCTACTGATCTTCACCACGTGGGTGGTTTCGTATTTCAGTTCGTACTTTTAATGAGGGTATTCCGTCGAAGTTCAATATCGGAAGCACGTTACATCCTCTACTGTACGATGCGATCTACTGATAGAATACGCTACCACTTCTGCCGGATTTCGTAGCCATGTCGTCAAAGGAATTTCTTGGAGATGCAATCAAGACTCTAACTAGAAGAGTTAGCTCTCTTTCCTTGGCATCAAAGAAGGGTCGGCATGATCCTCACGAGAATAACGATGCATTTCAACAACCCTCAACGCAAGCCCAAGACTCGGGAAATCCATCAGTAAGTCGGGTTTCTTCAGCCACAGCTGTTGCCAGTGATAACGGCGACCCAACGGCCTTGCCAAGGAAACCGACATCAACGTCCGCCGACTGGGTTGATGTCGTTGAGATAGCTCCAGCAACGTCTACAACATTTCCTGACCCGGCGGAGCCAGTACTCCCGGTCACTGATACCCAAATCCTCGATGCTGCGACTGCATGCTTTCCTCCTGTCCCAGAAAATGCAGATCTTCCCCCTCTCCCCAAGCCGGTTCTAATCCCCCGCTTAGAACCAGGGAGCTCGGTCCCGTTCGCGCGTGCTTGGCCAGTGAGGCTCGCTGACCATGCCATCACGCAAGAGGACTTTGTGGCGTTCATTGACAACTTCAATATCGTCATCGCCCCAAATGTCGCAATTCAAGTGTTGGGTTTCACGGGGGCTGTTGTCGGCCTAGTTCCCTACGATGTAGCCGAGGGTGTTGGCGGTGCCCTCGAAGCTATCGCCATCTTAAGCGCAATTGCTTTGAACTACAAGCGTATCAGGGACTATCTATCCCGCATGAATGAAACGTACTTTCATCCGCGCAAGCTACATGTCAAAGTTATCAACACGAAACGGCTCAAGACAATACTTAAGCTTGAAAAAAAGGATCCGCTCCTTGCGCCGCTCACTGAGGACACTTTGGAGCTTTCATCCCAAGAAAGATGTCTCAAGTATCTATCCCAGCACAGCTGCGAGCTATCCTTCGATGTGCCAGCTCCAAGTCCCGCAACGACCACGCTTGCCAAGATTACAGCATGGCAAATCAGGCAGAAGGCCCGGAAGGCAGACAAAACAGCCAAAGCAGCTCGCAAGCGGACTTGGAAGAGACATCAAAAAGGGAAGAAGCTCCAGGGCCGCTGGGAAAGCTACGGAGAAAAGTCTAGGGTCAAATCCCTGGACTGGCTACTGGTGCAAAATCTCGAGGAATGGGAGGCGCGGAAAGCTGAAAAGGAGGCAAAGAAAAAGGAAAGGAAGAAGGAGGAAAAGGGAGGAGTTGCAGAGCAATCACCAGCGCCGGCAGCAATCTAATTTTACACAACACTCAGGTCGTTTCTGTATAACGTTTCCATCTTGTTGTCGGTTGGCTGTCCGACGTTCAGTTCACGGCATCCCACCAGGCTTGGACCTTGTCACGCTCGATCAGATAAACAATGTTCGATACTCCCTTTTATCACGAACTACAGCGATTGGGACTGTTCGTCTTCAGATTTGAAGTTTGTGTAGATGTCTCGGGTGCAAGGTTCTCAGTTTTCGAGATCCTCAGCCCGCAAATTTCATCAGCAAACGAAAATGCAAGGGGTATCTACGGGATCGGTTCACGACTTCGGTGTTATTCGAGGATGAGTACGGCCGGTTTCTCATGATGGTGTTATTTCTCTAATATATAAGTTCACATGTGCACCTTGGGAATCTGCTCCTTTGCCAATGCTGTTGAGCCTCGAGTAGCACGGACGTAACCTGCGTACGAACCCAGCAGTCCATCCCTCGATATCGTCTTCTCAATACAGCCTCTCCCTTTCAGCAACTTCTTCTGCAAGATCTCACTTCCCTATCACCAGCCGCTTCGCAGCCATTCCTCCTTACCAGCTCTTCCGTGACAAGTCCAATACAAGCAGCCTAGAAGATGGCCGGCGATAGCAAGAGCACCAAGAGTAGCGGGAGCAAGCATAGTAAGAGTAGCAAGGACAGCAAGAGCCACAGCAGCAAAAGCGGTCGTAGTAGCCATCACAGTAGCCACCGGGCCGAAGGGAGCGGCAGCAGGCCCGAAGGCAGCCACAAGTCATCCTCTCACCACGGCTCTGCATCAGGAAGTCACAGATCCGGCGGAAGCAGCCACCACTCCAGTCATCACTCCAGCCATCACTCTAGCCATCACTCCAGCAGTCATACCCCCAGCCACGCCTCCAGTCGCAGCAGCCGAAGAAGCAGCGCCGGCACCGCGTTAGCAAGCTCCTTGTCCGGCGGGTCATCTGAAGAGCCGCACTACAACCTCTTCGCGCGGATGATGCGCCACTCGATCATCCCGCGAGACGTCCACTCCAACCGCGTCGCGATCAGCGGATACGACGATAACCCGGCGCTATACGACACCATGAGCGCGGTGTACGGGCTGAACATCTGCCAGAGGCAAGACGTGCCGCAGTACGGGGAGTACGTGGCTGCTCCTGTTCCTGATGCGGACGATTACGATTACGCGTATTATGATAGTGTCCGGGTGGAGGAGCCTAATGAGAATGGGGAAGAGGAGGAGGAGGAGGAGGAGGAGGAGGAGCAAGCTGCGTCGCGCCACGGTAGTGCGAGCGCGAGTCGTCACAGCGGTCGGAGTGGCCGTAGTGGCCGTAGTGGCCGTAGTGGCCGTAGTGGTCGTTAGGGGAATCATTCGTGTTGTGTCATTCTGGGTACTTTTGCTGAATTCGCTTACGACATGTACGATAATAGGGGAACAGCGAGGGGTGTCATCTTGGATAGGCAAACATGGGGAAGTCCTCTGTCGAGGATAGTCTTGTGAAGTGTTGTTTACACTTCCTTTAGTTTGGAGAGCTTATTTAGTCCTTCAGCTTCGTAGACTGAATAATAGTTCTCTCTTTGAAATTCTTGGTTCTGTTTAAGTTCTAGTGAAGTTAGAGTGACTACAGGGTAGTAGTTGAGCCCCCTTTCACACCCTCTACCTGTTCTCTAAAATGCGGTTTGGAGTAAATCACTTAGTTACAGTATAATAAATACTGGAAATTGGGGGATAGCAATGCAATTAATGAAATATCTCATGTTAGATAAACATTTTAGGTTGGATCAGTTGTGCACTTATGCTGTGTCAATATTTCGTCGAGATTTTCCCCTTAATCCGATCTTATCACCAGTACGGGATGACCAGGCAAATGATTCAGTTCGAATCGCCAGCTATAATTAACTGCTTAATCCTCAATGCTATGAATAGATGAATCAGGCTTGCAAATTTTTCAAAGTTGCCATGCTTGCGATGTCAGTATCGTACCTAGCCCTGTGGCGCTCAACAAAGAACGTAGTCACCGGACTACCCTTCCCACTAGACATAGTTGGTCTGAGAAATTTTCTTCAAACACCGTGTTCGCTGATGAAGAAGTTTCGCGTCGACACAAACAGGCAAATAGAATTCCATCCCTGAGTTTTCGATGGCGAACGCCTCCCGTGTGCCACCCTGGCATCTACATCGCTCCCTTCGTTGTATCGTTTGCGCTTGCGCTTGTTTCATTTTTTTTTTTTTTTTTTTTTTTTTTTTTGGTAAAGATCTGACACTATATGAACCCTGGTTGAGGAGAATATGGTTCATCTAGGTTATGGCAGATATCGGGAGCTGCCAAGCGATCCCTACCTATCGAGTTTCTAGATTGTCTAGCCAAGCAGCCGCAGTACACTGCCCTGAGTTCTCTCAGCCTGTTATTCTGCCGTGATGTCTGATTGTGTCATCGTTTGGGCGTTGAATACGAGATGGGAGAGGGTTATAGTCAAACTCGCGGAGACGAAAGTTACGAATCAGTCAACTATCTCCTACGTTGCGTCCGACAAGCGACCATTTCAAGGGCGAAGGTTTTTGAGCCTAATCTAGATCCTCTACTCCACAAGCGCGTAGCAACATCCCAGGGAACGTTCATTGAATTATTGTAATTTATTATCTCGAGAGGATCTCTATCCTCGCCTATATGATCACGTGATTCTTGGATCGTGAATACCATCTAATTCCCAATGCATGGTTGACCTAGATGTGCTAAGGGAACTGGTACTTCGTATATGAGAAAATCCCGGGGGCCAATTCCCCTGCTCGCCAACCCTTACTTCCCGGTGGCCGTGGATGCAATATCCGGCTCGTTCAATAATAACGACTTGTCGTATGAGTCCAATCCTATCGCTTGAGGTGTTGCTCGCGCTCGTCGATTTGTTTTCAATGTTGACTCCGTTTTGAGGGGTTACTTGACACTAGACGCATCTTTAATGCCCTGGCCACCTTAGCGGTGGTCAATCAAGTCAGAATCACAGTAGCAACCTCCCCCCCCCAACCTGAGCAAGCTATCCCCTTTCATTACGGACGGTCAATGTCGGGCGTCTTCTTAATGCCGCCTGATAATAGCATCAAATGACTTAATTCAACATGAAGTGGCGGTGTCGGTATTCATAGATGTTATCCGGTGTATCCGATCAGATGCTATACGGCTGTGCTTCGGAAGGTTGTATCTGCGATTGTGCTTCAGCCGTTTCCATATCCTCCCTCCTTCATGCAGAGATGGGGTTGAACATCTAGTGCTCGTATCGTCTATGGGTAGCGCCGGGGGTAGTGATAATAACACTATATATTTGCCAGTCAAGATTAATATAGGATCCGAAGAAAAGAAGCGAGCGTGGGCGAGTGAGTCGATAGTCAGAATAGCGATGCCCTATCGTCATGATATATCGTGAACTAGACGTCGACCATCGAGGTGGACTTGAAACGAAGATGCGGAGCGCTCTAGAGCACAAGCCGAAAAAGGAGTCGAGCTCTCACAAATATTCTATGTGTTTCGTCGACGATCATCATTAACTTGGGTCGAGGGTAGTTGTTGAAAAAAGATATGGGTATTACTAAGTCGCATACAGTTGTCTACGTATGTCGCCTTGGAATTTTTGGTTGTCTGGCAATTCTCGGTAGTACTCGGGCGTAGGGTATGGTTCGTGAGAGGGTCGCGGCATCTGTTGGTATCCGTGGGTAGGGATGCCCTGTTGTTCCAAATACATCGCATTATTTACTAGACCAGCTGTCGTCGGATCGTTCGCGTTCTGCTGGCGTAGCGCTTGTACTATCATCTGGACTTGGACAGCGGTATGGTATATATGTGTGTCTACACAAGCCATCACGAAGAGGATGAAGCGATCGATACTATTATTTTTTTGTTAGTATCGCGACTCAACAATAGTTTTTGGACCGACTAACGCCAAGATACTCTCAAAGGCGATTAAAGCGGCTTTGATGGAGCGAATAGTGGAATATATGCGATTGCCGTTAAACCACCCATAATCTGGGGGAAATCGCTGTGATAGCAAATAGAGGGCTACTACATTCCCTCCCAGTAAGACAAGCTCTGCACCGATGTGCCAGCCAGGCCGAATGCCAGGGTTTCGCTTCCAGAGGAAGCCGAGACCTAACTCCACGGCGTCTGTGGCGAAGGTAACAAATACCTAGGTTATGAAAGTAAGTTCTCATGGTCCGATTCAATGCTTTTCGCTGGGCTGGATGACGCATGACGTACAACTGGGAAGGTATATGCCCAATCAAGAAGATAGTCGTCTCCGACGGTTAAGATATGAACACCGTCGCCTGCAGACAGGCCGATGATAATGATACCTATAAAAAAGCTGATAGAGCGCAAAACCAGCTTTGTCACATTCCACCTTCCTTGGTGATTGGACAAGAAACTACCCTCTGTATATGCCATTGGGGAGCACGAGATGAAGCAGGTTGGTCAAAGGAGAAGCGCTACAAGTCGCGGGCCAAGCCGGTCAAGGCATATCATGGGTACCTAGTGAGAGGCCCGCGCAGAAGGACATTGATTAATTGACGCTAGAAGGCGAGATTGGAACGAATTGCGAGCTGAAGTGAAAAACACAGATTATGCAAAGAGAGTCTCCTGTACACAAAGTGGAAAGAGTAAGGAAATGCAGAGCTGCCAGTGTACAGGCACATTTCCGTCACTCCGGCTCTGTCCAGGGGCTAGGAAGCACTCCAATCAGGAATAATCTTACTACTATGGGCATCTATTTCTGGTCCAACTGTAACGGCGACCAGAGCGGGACAAGGGTGATTTGCAGCGACCGAAATGCCCAATTGGGTATAAAACCCCAAGTTGACGCGAACCAAGCGCGTCGGGATCCTCAGGTCTACGCTCTACTATGGATGTGATGTACCTGGACATGCGATTCCAAAGCTCATATCTACAAAAGGGAACCCGCCGTTTCAGCCAGAGTATCCAGTCAGACGTACCATGTCGTAATAATATCTTCATGGGGCTTAGTGTAGTAACGACGGGCGATGCGTTATGCCCTGCGCGGAAGAGATTCTCAGTTGAAGGATTGAATAATGTGCACTACGGCGCGTAAGACTATGGGAAGAGTCCCGCAATCCTTACCACTGCACTTACATTAACTCGGCGTAGTGCTGACCGCGCGATACCGAAGCTTGGCAGTCTAGGCCGACATTGCCGATGCAAGGCTGGAATTAGCTTCAGCTGCCATGAGAACGAAAAACGGCTCCTCAAGCGAAGATTGGTATTGTAAGTATATATATATATATAGCCGGGGCCATATGCCTCTTAGAGAACATTCATGTGTTTCATACGAAGGGATCTGAATCGAGGAGGATATATTATATGATGTGAGCCACGTCAGCATATATAAAATCGGCCTCGGGGTTAATTCGCTCAATCAGTCACATAGAGATGACGGTTGTTGGTTGAGGTAAAAGTGGCTAAAAAAAAGGACACATACCTTGCGTAAGGGTTGTCTCCAAGTTCTGCGGAAACTTTTATCATGATATTGTATACATTCCAAGCGATGATCATGAAAGTAGACTTGCAATCGTCGAGTGAATACGATCATATAACTAGTAGACTCGACGGAAAGTTAGCTACTTAGCGGAATAGCAAATTGGCTGAGTGTTGCGTGTTTTCCTTCTCTACACTCTACATCAGATAATTACATCGTTGTTAGAACAACATATTCCCACATACTCAGCCCAGAGGATTCACAGTGTATGAGCCGAGCAAGTCTATCAGGCTCTCTGCGCTTTCATATAGCGAGACGAGTACTGGCAGATAGAGTCACAATGATTAGGATTAGGTAATATTGTGACTGTATCAAACTCGTCCTTGATCTTAACGAAAAACTAGACAAGAAACCTTTCCCCCGCTTGGGGACTGCTTACTATATATATAAGCTAACACGAACTTGAAGAAAACGCACAGGAAGCCCCAAGACCCTAGAACAACTGCTGACTCATTTGTCCATGCCACCGGTTCAATGTGAAATGCTATATTCATATAGAATATGAATATCAGAGTGTCTCGATACCAAATCCGAAAATAGCTACCAAGAAGGCAAGTGAGTGCTTTAACTCGATAACCTACGATATAAGGTTTACCCACCTCCTAAGTTCATTCCAAGGACTTGATAGATTATAATTGTACGTGTATTGCACACTACTTAAATGACTTGAAGCGGACACTATCCCCACGAAGAGCAACCACTATCATAACATGCACCCCTGGCTAAGCACATAAACCTAAAAGAATAGCCTTAGCATACATGATCCTAGTACACAATCATTCGCACAAAAGAAATTGACTTCATGAAACCAACCGAAGAAAACGGAACAAGACACTCCAGTGTGACTGGAAACAAAAACTTGCAGAAGGGAAATTGTTGATATAGGAGGAATTGAACCTCCGACGTTGGACTCGCGGGGAATCGAACCCCGGACCACTCCCATGCTAAGGGAGTATTATACCACTAAACCACAAGCCCGTGGTGATTGATAGCGCTATAGTTCACAAGTTAGGTTTATATAGCAACTGTGTAGCACGGAATGACAGTGAATCGAGTTCTCATGTAGGTAGGTAGATTATCCAATATCGAAGAATGCAGTTCAGCCAGTTATTCATCGTTTATTGCGCTGGTTCAACGTCCCTTGTGTCTGCTGTCTTCATATTGCCGGTGAAAACGCGATATTGCCCTAGCAGAGGTCAGCGACCTATTCGTGCGTGCACATGTGTAAGGGCCCTTGACTCTACGGACTGATTGATATGCCGGGCTTGCGCGGCTACAAGTTTCTCATCAAATACTCTCCGGGTAATATACTCTTAGTTAATTTCGGAGGTAACGCAGTTACCGCACGAAGCCAGTTCGCCATAAGGTTGACCATCTATACTGCGCTGTTTCCATTTAGATAGGGACATGATCGGGTTTATCAAAGGTTAAGGAAGACTATCTATCCGCCTTATACCTTTGTTAAATCCAGAATCATTGCGCTTGAACTCATCACGAAAGTTGGCAGCTGCGTAGCACGTGCCTATCTATCGTGGCGTGAAGTTCATGCCCCGATGTCAATGTCCACATCAAGCTCGTCAAGATTGGAATGGAGACGGCTAGAACAGCTACCTCGACCTCAGTGTCGCGAGACTTGTGCACCCCCAAGGGTTTTAATATGGCGGCGCCTACATCACAGCCCGCGACTTATAGGACCGTATAAGTGATAACTGACCGAGTTCAGCGAAAGATATCTGTCATCACGATTGGTGATATCCAAGGGATTATATCGGTTGAACATCTATAATACAGCATTGAGCTCATGAATTGAAGCTCTATGTATGCTATTCAGCCTCAGGTGGTCTACCACGCCCACCGCATTTCAACCCAGCGGAACGCTCCTAGCCACACCCGTACAATGTTGAGATCAAATGTCATCATAAAGAGCTTGCCCCGGCTCGTTGTAGCAATTCGCAAGTCGCCTACATCAAACGCCTCAAAGCATTGTCTGTAGCGAATCATTAAAACAGGCGTAAAATCGTCTCGTCATGGGATTTTGTGATGTTTTTTCTTTCTTTTTTCTTCTTCTCATTTTCAAAAACTATTAAATAGATGGTCGAACTGTTCAATCATGGACTCAGTATATGGTTCCCTCTTTCCGTCATCTTCAGGATATACGTCAAAGCACTGTGCGTCCCCAGGATATCGCACGTTCGGCTGTATGGGCGGGCGGATCTGGCGATGGTATAGAGCTTCCCAGTCGATGCCGTGGAAGAATGGATGAGATTTGACCTGTTGGGAGCCGCCGCTGATATTCCCTAAGCGCCTTGAGCGGTCTACCGTGCAAAAGGAACGAATGATATGCTGCGCATTCGGAGAAATGGGCGGCTCTTGAGGGAAGAGAACTGGCTTTTCAATGATCCTAAAAGACCATTGGTAAGAGATTTAAAAGGTAAGGTAAATGGGAGAGAGCTTACTGCTTGTAAATTTCAATGGGATTTTGATGCCAAAAAGGAGGATACCCCGTAAGAAATTCGTATATCAGTATTCCCAAGGCCCACCAATCGACAGCTGTGGTGTGCCCTTTATTTTGGATTACCTCGGGCGCGAGATATTCAGGGGTTCCGCAAAGGGTGTATGTCTCGACTGGCCTATCATCTTTACTCCCCAGCCTCTTCGCAAAACCAAAATCTACTAATTTGACGTGGCCCTGGCCATCCAGAAGTAGATTCTCAGGCTTGAGATCTCTGTATGCTACGCCGCCTTGATGCTCATGTAAAAACTCGAGCACCAAGACAATTTCGGCAGAATAGAATTGCGCCCATTCTTCTGGGAATCGGCGATGCCTCCGCAAGTAGCTGAATAGTTCTCCGCCAGGTATATAGTCCAGCAACATGTAGAGAGAGTCGTGGTCGGAGAAGGTTGTGATTAGCCTCGTGATAAAGGGGTGGCCGGCGACATCGCTTAGGATTCGGCGCTCGTCCCGAACGTGGTCGATTTGTTTGAGTTTGATGACTTCGGTCTTTCGCAAGATCTTCAAGGCGAAAACCTGCTCTTTATCTTGGTCGTTCCCAACAGCCGGGCGCACAAGACAGACTCGTGCAAAGGTGCCTAATAGGCGCCACGCCACCTTCGTGTCAGTACCGCCAATTCCCCATCTTAGCAAATTGACAATGCCATCGTCGACATAGCAGCACTAGCACTAGCGCATGCGACCGCACCTCTGCCGGAATGACGCGCGCGATTCGCGCAGTGAGAGGGGGGAATTGACAGGGGCGGAACGACAGGGCGCGAGATTGGGAAACCGAATGAATGAATAATGAATGAAGACATACCGGTACCGAGGGTTCGGACAAGAGCAAAGTCGCTCAATTTCACTCGCTGATGCTGCGGTGGTACTTTGGGCCCCGCATCCTCGCTCTCAGGGCGGTGGTCTGGCTGCGCAGCCCCGCCAGCAGCGTCTGTGGCAGCTATGACGGAGAGGGGATTGGGGTCTTGTGCGACTCCCGGCACTGGACCTGGTGGACCGGGCTTTTGGGCAACGGTTGCGGCCATGATATGATGATGCCTTCACGGGTGTGTTTCGTCGGGTCGACCCTGTGCTGTTGGAGAGTCAGCATTGGGAGGCCGGGGACAAGCGCAATGGCAATGCATCGATGATTAGTCGCCGTAGGGAGGAAGGAGGGCTTGGTAGTAGCAAGGAGCAGGCAGGCAGGCAGGTGCTGTAGGAACACAGCTAAACCTAAGCTGCTAATAAGAAGAAGAGGAGGCTGATCGGAGGTGTCAAGGGTGTCAGATCCACAAGGAAGCGATGGAGCCCGCCGACGATGCGATTGGCAGTCCAGTCCGCCTTAGTGTTGTGCATCGAAGCAGCACACGGTACTGGTACAACACACGACAAACCCGAGACGGGGGGAGGGGGTTTCTGAGGGGTTGAGCGTGGGCAAGTTGGGGTTTTTTGGTGCACACACTCACTCACACACACATAGACACAAGTCGAGATTGTAGGGTGGGATCTTAGAATGGGGGTGCCTATTGTACAGTAACCTCGAGAACCTACATACAAATAGGTATGCACAGGACACTCTAGATCACGGATCTGGGATTAGAATAACGACGATCTGCAGAATGACGCCAGGTTATCAGATGGCCGGTAAGCGACCATAGACTACCGATCTCAGTTTAGTAAAGTATCATTCGTTGCCGAAGGGGAGGAGGGTGTTGTATGGGTTAACCTACCAATGGTATGTATAAGACGAGATGATGGATTTATGATGGATTTATGTCTAGATATTTATACGCGTGTAATACGACGTGAACAGTAGCAGCTCCAGATGATGGTGAATATCGTGAATGTTTATAGCTACCTACCTACAGACTTCTTACCTTGATGATGTTACAAGAAAATTCACTACAGAAATATGAGTGGTGTTGAGACAGCGTTGGGACCGTTCCAATACCAATGACGTAAACGGGGGGATGTGCCGGATATCTAGCGCTGAAGATATTTACTACCTCATTATAGTAGTAAAGTGCCTTCGCTCTGCGCCTTGATGAGGGCTTAGCGTAAAGTAGATACGAGAGTTGCTGACTGCAACGTGAACAATCTTGGAAGTCTGGAGAAAGGTGGGGGAGTGGGGTTTACATACAGTAAGTACTGTACATATATTTAGTATGGCAAGACTTGGTCTGGACAGAATCTGGACTTGGTATCCAAGGGGTCTCGTGAGGCTTCACCTACCGAAGTCAAACGCCTCGATGCTACCATATGAGGCCAAGAGGCTTCGTCGGAGGCATTTACATACCTACATATATCCATATTGCAATCTTGCATCAGGGAAGCTTCTTATGCGAGAAACGCGGAAACACGAGTTTGTAACTGGAATGCTTAATCCTCCTCCCTTAAAATAAGTAATGTCTAGGCATATTGAGTCGAGATCGGACGTTACCTACTTAAGTAATCAAGCTGGTTGGAAACTGAGATTGGTTGCAACCTTCCTTTCCTCAGCCAATCGACAACTTCGGCCAATGGTTTTTCACCAACTTCCATATATAAATATCAGCTAAGTCGTCTGTTCGTTCAAACTGGGTGGGTAGGTGTTCGTGCCCGTCTCATCGGGGAAAGGACTATGTGCCCCTCGAGGCGTCTCACACGGGCCGTTCGTACTATATCGGCAGACTACGGATACAAGATGGTTGAATAATGACTGTCACACGGCCTACAGAACAAAGTCATAACAATGGACTGTACCTTATCAATCTTTTCGAAGTGGAAAGCTCAGACTACTAGTGAACAGGGACAGATGGTATGACGCCGTCACACCGCCGGTAGCCTACCAAACCTAGTTGGTACAGATATCTGGCGCTATGCTATTTATTGTGTGTAGGAGGCCATGTCCGAAAGTCCTATCTACTAGTACACGACAGAATCAGAGCCAGATTCGAGATCTGTACCTAGACTGTACCTGACTGACTGTGTTATGCATCCGTGGCAGAAACATATCGATTACCTAATCACTCTGTTCGGTGCCTACTATGTACCTACCGGTACCTACCTATTAACCTACTAAGGTAAGTACATACTTAGGTAGCCATGGTACCTAAGTGCCTTTAGGCACAGCAGGCGTACAGCTACGAACCTGAAGTAAGCAGAAGCTAAGCAGCAGTGGGCTGTCGAGGCTGTGTGCCTTTATGTCCCAGCCACGGTCAGTAGTAGGTACCTAGGTACCTAGGTATCAGACGTGCCGCTATCCATTATGTAGGTAGGTAGGTACCTGACAGTGGTCACATCCCTGTCCGTCCTTCCCATCAGTCGTTGCTGCTGTTGCTGCTGTTGCTGCCGTTACTGCTACCTTTGACCGCATCCGACGTGATGCGCCCTCCCTGTCTCCGTCTGCCTGTACCCCAATCAGTGACTAGAATAGACACAACTACGACACAATACCCTTTAACGGGCCAGAAATCGCACTTGACACCATCTCCTGGCCGTCGACGACAGAAGAGAGGCTACAGACCGTAAACCCTAGACCTCGAACCCCTCTAAGCCACGCATGACAGTCACGCACTCTAGGCATCCTGGGGCATATGATATAGGCACATGTACTACTCTCTTGTCTCGTTCCTCGTTCTCATCGCCTGCGAAAGAGCTTGCTGCCTTGTGAACACTCCTAGTCTGTTTCCGCTATGAATTAAAACCCCCTCGAATTTCGTCGACGACGGCTACAAGCGCACCGAGCTTCGGCAACCATGTTCAACATCTCCAGCTTCGTCCAGAAGGCTCAATCGGCCGCTCAGCAGCTGATTGATCCCATGCAGGGCTTGAACCTGACCAACTCCGACAGAAACCCCTCCAAGGCCTCCCTTTTCCAGGGCCAGTTCCGTCTCCCGAGCTCTCAGACGCCTCTGTTCGAGATCCCCGCCGAGCTTACCATCCCTCCTTCGAACGTCACCCATGGCGGCAAAGACCACGACCGAGGCTGGCATTACGCCGGGAGACTGCATCTCTCCGAATCTTACCTTTGCTTCTCCACCACTCCCTCGAGCTTTGCTCAGACAGCGAGCACTTCTACATCATCCGCCTTCACTGGCCAGACCCATGGTGCTGGGCCGAGCGGCAATGGCTTCACGTTTCCTCTCTGTGCTATACGACGTGTTGAGCGCTTGAATAGCCAGAATTTCCAGGTAGGAAACATGACATTACTGCGGGAGTCTCTAGGTACCTAACATATTCCATGTCTAGTTCTCCCTCGCTATCACCACTTGGAATGGGATCGGCCAGGAGCAGGCCAAGGCCACCCCCAAAGACCGGAAGGACTTCCGAGAACAAAGAATCACCATACAACTTGCTGGAAGCCGCCAGGCTTGCGAGAGATTTTGCGACGGCCTGAAGAAGGGTCTGCGGGGCGCGGTCGGAAATGTCGGCAAGTTTAAAAAGGTTGTAGCAGAATGCTACTCAGAGTACCTACTACGACCCGAAGAAAAGAAGAACGCAGCGTCTCCTGATGCTGGTCTCGGCGTAGTTTTCAAATACCCGGGCGACCCAAAGAAGCTAAGGGACCGTGCAAAGATGAGGCTGTGGGCAGAGTATCTACGTGATAATGGACGCAATGCTACGTTGATACGCCAGCCTACCTTCCACAAACTGATAAGAGTTGGTCTCCCAAACCGCTTGAGGGGGGAGATGTGGGAGTTAACCGCTGGCTCATTGTATCTTCGGCTTGAAAACCCTACGCTTTATACCGACACTCTCGACAAGTTTTCTGGTCAAGAATCTCTAGCTATCGACGAGATAGAAAAGGATTTGAACCGTAGCCTTCCTGAGTATCCTGGATTCCAGAGTGAAGAAGGTATCACCCGGCTCCGCCGGGTTCTAACTGCCTATAGTTGGATTAACACTGATGTTGGCTATTGTCAGGCCATGAACATTGTGGTAGCCGCTCTCCTTATTTACATGTCGGAGGCGCAGGCTTTTTTCCTCCTTTCGGCACTGTGCGATAGACTAGTACCTGGTTATTATTCGTCTACCATGTACGGCACACTTCTAGACCAAAAAGTGTTCGAGTCGCTTGTTGAAAAGACAATGCCCATTTTATGGGAACATCTAGTCAAAAGCGACGTTCAACTCTCGGTCGTATCTCTTCCTTGGTTTCTGTCTCTTTATATAAATTCCATGCCATTAGTATTTGCCTTTAGAGTTTTGGACGTATTTTTTGTGGAAGGACCAAAAGTCCTTTTCCAAGTTGGTTTAGCTATCTTACGAATCAACGGTGAAGAGCTGCTCGATGCAGCAGATGACGGCGCCTTCATTTCAGTGTTGAAGTCTTACTTCTCACGACTAGACGAGTCTGCTCATCCCAAATCCGAGAACCCCAAGCTCCGCGCCATCAATCGGTTTCAGGAACTCATGGTCGTCGCTTTCAAAGAGTTCTCCGCTATTACTCACAGTACCATACAAGACCTGCGGCTGAAGAACAAAGATGCAGTACTCAATAACATTGAGAACTTCGCTAAACGAACAGCCATCCGAAATCTTGGCCCTGACAGTAAGCTTTTGAGTCAAGAAGAGCTCGGGGCTCTTTACGATCGATTTTATGGAGTGCTATACGAACGGCAGCAGCGTGATCATATAATCCAAGAAGAACAACGCCGTCGCGCAAAGGCGAACAAATCAAGAGCCAGTGAAGCATTCCAAGAACACCATGATCATGGCGTCGAGAAGGGCCGGGTTGGTCTCGGCCCTAGCACTAGTTTGATGGATTACGATGCATTCCGAGAGTTTTTAGCTAGCATTTCGAAATGGGCCATTTCAGATGCACCTCCACCTTCTCCTCGCCGTGATGTGGCCTCTGATCGCAATCCGTATTTTGGAAGCTTTAGGCGCTCGGACCCCAATCCATTCTCGCCCTGGGGCAATGGCCCCGAACCTGCTGATCATGAATTCATGCAACGGCTATTTCGGAAATGGGACGTGACCAGTAGTTCGAGCCTTACGTTACAGAACGTTGTTACTGGCTTAGCCCAAATTAAGGGAAGGAGGGACATCATGGGTTCTATCACATACTTCTTTGAACTCTACGATGATGACGGTGATGGCAAGGTGGATCGGGAGGGCATTTTGCGGGTATCAGAAGCACTCTTATTCCTTTCGAGGCGTGGGCTAGAAGGGACCCTTAGCAATTCTACCTCGACTACGGCGCTTAACGGCATAAGCGAAGCAGACAACACATCCATTAGTCCTCCAATTGGTGGAACTGTAAACGAACGTTTTCTCGGCAGCGTCAGCGCGTTCATTAGACGTTGCTTCGAGTATGCCGATCCAGACCATCTTAATAATTCGGACGAGACATTGCGAGAAGCAGATCTTGGTACACCGGTCGAACCTCAAGACGATGCACTTGTTGATCCTGATACATTTGCTATTGGCGATGATGAGGATGAAGATGAGGAGGACATGTTAGCTTTTGAGGACCCCTCTCCTCCACCAAGCACCGGGGGCAAGAAGAAGGCCGATTTAGACCCGGCTCCTGCAGCAATGGGTAATCCAGTTGAGAATGTGGCGAGAAGAGCTGTGTCAAAGGCCCAATCTGAAAAGGCAAATGTGGCACTAGACCCATCCAACCCTCTACATATTACGCTGCCGACATTTCGAATGGTTGTACTAGCAGACGAACTACTTGAGCAATTCTTCGAGTCATCTTTCCCCACTTCATTACACATCATTGATGGCTTGCCTAATACAACCAGTCATTCCTCTTCCCTTACAACTTTCTCTAGCTTGAATTTCAACCGGCCAGCTACTCTCTCCCCATCAGGAACTCAGCCTGGCTTGGCCGGTGCTGGCCGCGGATTACGAGGAGTACTTGACAATATAGTTACAGATGCCTCACGTGTTGCGGCTGAAGTTCGACGACGGATGGAAGAAGCTCAGCGCGAGCTGGAAAGGAACGCCTTGCCAGGGCAGAGAGATGAGGATGAGGACGATGATGAAGATCTTCAGGGCCCTGTTAAATCTGCAGGAGCTTATGGTGGGGATGCTGAGCGGAGAAGCGTGAGATCGTCTGATAGAGACCTATTGGATGGCGCTGACGCAGGTGCTGGGGCTACCAAAGAGGCCGAAGGTTTGAGTCAGTCGCTCCTTGACATCAATAGTGAGCGAGAAGGAGGGATGAACACAACCAATAATGCGACGCAAAGGATTGTGGAGTTTGAGAGTTGAAATGCGCATACAGCATAAGTTAGTTATTAGTCCGGAACATGATTGCTTTTGCTTAGAGAGGGTACAACACTCAATCACGCTATTGCAGCAAGGACCTGAGAACCACCGAATCAAAAAAATGATGGTACTGAAACATGGCCTCACTATCAAGAATTTAGTGAGATGACAACATATATAAGCATTCTAGGAGGCTACGCTCCCCTGATTCGGTACATCCCTTTCTTTCAACGAAGAATTGAATAGACATTTAGGGACAATCACCCTCCCTGACTAGGAGCTCATGATATCCCGGCCACACGTACCATGCGCGCTCGAACATACAGAATACAGAGAGGGCATATGATCTTCGTTGTCATTCCAAGGGCGGGAGAGATGAATCAATTTTGGATCAAAACAATAACTTGTGATTGCTGGATTCATGATGGATCTGAAGGAGGCGAAGGGAACACAATCACTATACGAAAATCTCTACTGTTAGCCACCTTCAAAAGCATTCCACTCCAAGACAGTCCCCCTAGATTATTGGGAGCTTGCATCGATTGGAATATCCCTTCAAGTAGGCTTCGTGTGTTTAAAATATGACGCCTTTCGCAATTCTGTGCATTTGATTTCTCCCACTCTTCTCTATCATCGTCGGCAACAGCGCGCTCAGTATTCATTTCCTTGTTCCCTTCCTGCCTTCTGGCAGAAATTCTCTTTTTACTACAAGCATTGATCCCTCAAGCCATTTCATCACGTTGTTCTCTAGGGGAAGATTTGTCGACATGGGGTTGTCCTCGCGGGTTGGAGCCACGGCTCTCGCCTCACTTGCTGCTTTCAGCTTCGTGGTTAATGGCCAGGGTTACTTGTACAACAAGGACATCGAATCATGCAAAATCAAGTACCAGAACTTAGGGTGTGTTGGTGTAAAATCCGAGCCGCTCCCCTTCGCACCAACAAATTGGGACCCAGCGCTTAACGCGGACAACTCGGCGAGTTGGATCGCCTATGACACCGGCTACAACGACCCGGTCAACATTACGATTAACCAGTATTACTGCGCTCGACAGTGTACAGCACATGGTTTCAAATATTCTGCGACCTGGAATGAAGATTCTTGCAGCTGTGGAAGTTCCCTGTACACAAAGACAAAGGAACCAAACAGCGTTGTGGTGGACCTCAGCCAACAACTCTCGACGACTGATGATTCCAAGTGTACTATCAAGCAGGATGATACCCCGGCCGATCCATGTGGTGGTGACCGAAATCAGAATTGCGGATCCAACCGAGGCGCGGTGATTCTTGCGGACCCTACTTTCCCGGATGTACGGCAAGCATCAATAGCCGACCTGAAGAAGGGTTATAAGCTTCTCGGATGCTTCAAAAACGCCAAATTCATTAGTTCGAGGACGGAATTCACGAATGTGGCTTTACTCTCATCTGGAGATTGCCTCAGTTACTGTGCTAAGTTGGGCTCGCCACTTGTTAGCATGGCTAAAATACCTGCGTACGTTACTTCATTGGACCGTCCTCAAAAAAGATAGCCAACTAATTCAGTTTGACAGTGGTGTCCAATGCCAGTGCGGTGCGGATTTCGCCCGATACGTGGCAGAAGCAGATGATGATGGCACTACCTGCAATACCAAGTGCACAAGTGTTGTCGGGCTCACGTGAGATAATTCAGGCATTTCCTAACTCTTGAACGATTATACTGATGAGCGCTTTAGGGAATGCACTGAGGATGATCAAGATTGCTGTGCCGAGTCGGCTGCTGCAAAGAAAACCCCAATCTATTATAACCCTAATTTCATGGGATGCTTTGTCCCAAGGATCCCTGGTCAGACGCTTGTTGATGGAGTTGATACTCCAGCGCCCAACCAGTACAAGTGTTTCCAGACACCCAAATCCATCCTGAATCGGCCCACTGCAGTTATTGCGCAGTACAATGACAAGACGGTGACAGCCGCGGCGACGTTTGTGGCCACCGCCAGACCAGACCAAGTCTCGCAGCCCTTCGTGAACTATGGATGCAATGGCGGTAATGGGATTGATGATATCTCAAAGGTTTTCACTACTGTCAAGCAATCCGGCCTACTTGCCAAGGAGATTACCGTTGAAAGCTGTGTTTCGTACTGTGACTTACAGAATTTACAATTTGCGGCACTTTACGGTACGGGCAGCCAGCAAAAGTGCGCTTGTGGAGATACAGTAAAGACCGGTCTGGCTTTACAAAGCATGGAAGATTGCAACCAGCCTTGCGGAGGAACGAAGTCGCAGATGTGTGGCGGTCCCTCAACGGGTCCCAAACGTTTTCTCATCTACGCTAGGCAGGATATTACGCCTAATAGCTGGTCCATCACATGGTCTTCTTCCCGATCAGTTACGCCCACTTATAGATGCTCAGGAAGTAAGTATCAAACTTTTGCTTCCACGCCTGCTGTCAAGGGCACTACTAATATTGTATACAGCCGAACCTACTCGCGATCCGGACCCGACTGGGAGCGACAGTTCCAGCAACTCTCCTACTGGTTCCCCAACTGGCTCCGGCTCCGGGTCAGACACTCCTACTGGAACACCCACCGGCACTGGCACTGGCACAGGTACAGGTACAGGTACGGGGACGGGTACAGGTACGGGCACCGGTACCGAAACTGGCACTGGAACGGGCGCCACACCTACAGGAACTGCACCAGGCGTACCTGGTACTACTAACCTTCCCGCCAACGAGTTCGTCATCCTCCAAGTCGCCCCATACAATCCCTCAAAGAAGCGTGCTGTCTGGAACCAGCGTCGCCAATCTGTTGGAGGATTCGTTGGTGGTGCCGGCCCCAGCAACCCAAACACCTGCGATGAAGCAACCTTATTCGGCATCCGGAGCGGCCAGCTATTATCAGGCGGTCAAATCGTTGCCACTGGTCCTAGTCTTGTTCCCATTCCATTCAAAGTTAATCCCGCCGGGTCTATCAGCCGCACTTTCACCATTATTAACGGTGTTTTGCACTGGTACAATGACCTATTTGCCGATGGTGAAGCCCATTTCTGTCAAGTTAATAACGGCGACGTGTTTATCACGTTCACGGGCGATGCTTCCGGCCCCGCCGACTGCACACGCGTTGATATTGTTGTTTACTATGGTACGTGACTTAACCCCTCCCGTTGGAAAACACGTTCACTGACTCATGAAAACTTTGTAGCTTCCCAATGCGTTGACGGCGATATTATTGGCAAACCTGGTGGCAATGGCGGCTCTTCTAGCACCTCCACCGGAACATCGCCCACTGGCACCGGCGGCAACGACGATGAGATCCCCGAGAGGGACTGGTACTTCCGAGAGGGCCATGCCCCAGACAACTACCCTTGCTCCGAGACCACCGAGTCTTGGATCCCTGGCGAGACTACCTTCTTGCCCCATAGGGAGTTGTAGGCTGTGACCGATACAGCTTCGACTACACATGTATTTTGGCTGGGTTGGGCGATCATCCAGACATTTCCCCTACCTACCGACTGGCACCAGCATGAACATGACTTACGATGTGAAATGCACTTCCGCTCGGTTCATATGCCCCCTTGTTTTCAGATCTTGATTTTTCTCGCAAACGCTTTTGATGTTTCCTTGGAATCGCTGTATGGCTCGGTATAGAGATTGTACGACCTCCCCGCGGTGTTGGGTGAAAGGGTTGGCTGGGTTGTATTAGGATGTTTCTGAGTTGGTATAGGTTGGCAATGGGATGGGTATGGTGGGGAACATAACAACACAACGGCTTCTTAACGAAAATCCATATGTCACACGGGAAATTCATGTCTTTCATGCATTCATATGCCCCTTGTATGAGTGGACGATGACGAAGAGATAGTTAGCTTAGTTGGGATAATTATGTAGTTGTTCGAATACGCTTTGTCTTTTTTGCCTCTAGAAATCGCTCTTCGTGGTGTTGTCGCGGGATCACTTGGGCTTCATAGAAAAATGGCACGGATTTGAGGTTGCAATACACCGCGTATGCTTACGAAATTCGAAGGACGCCCTGGTGAAAAGATCAATATTGCGTCTTCTTCATCGAAAATTGTCACGGAACTAATGAGGCCTAATTTCCGATATACACGACGGACCCGACCCAAGGAACATTGTATATAAAGCTAAATAAGGAAATAAGGGGCGGAAACTAGAACTTCCCTCCTCGTGCAATAACAGAACCTGTCTTTGTAATCACAGCAGGGCAGTTCTGTGACAAAATTACTTCCGCTCGAGGCGGTCTGATAAAAAACAGTCACACTTCATGAAGCTTTCTACGGAAGTCAGAAGGTTAGTGACGAAAATGGAGTCCCAACGGGTACCTATGAAGTGTGACAGTTTTTTATCAGACCGCCTCGCCGCTGTTCTCAACCATAGTATCGGACAAAGTACCGATTTCCTCAGTGCATTCTGCTGAAATCTTTCCCTGAACAGGAAACGCCACGTCGATCTTTTCAGCAGCGTGTCGTTAGAGTTTTCTAGGTGTATGATTCTGTCATATCTCTGACCAAGGCTCGCATTAGTTAGTCACTACCTTATTGCCTGCCATGCTGTCGTGCGGTACTGTATAAAACCAATTAGTCCATAGGTTTGAGAGTAGACCCCGAACTTTCCCTTCTTCGTGCAATACTAATCAGTCAGCTGCGAAGTATGCCTTGGTGGCGCTGGGACAGACATCTTGGAGGTTTGGATGGCCGGGCTTGTCATGCGGGATCTTGGGTTACGCCCCAGATTCCCTACACATTTGCCTCACCGAGGTAGGACGTCCTGTCGTTTGATTTGTCATGAGACATTTCGCGTTGGTTACATCGTGCCTATCTGCTCATCACGCTGCGTGTCCCCTTTTGTTTGTTTGTTTTCCCGGTTCCGTGGGGTCATAGGGCCAAGACTGCGTGCCCCTTGTCGCACCTAGATATGTGTCGAACCGTGCGTAGTCATTCGTCGCAATAGCTGAGATTACCCCTTTTGTTTCGTCGTCAGTCTTGCGTCATTATTCGTCGTTTTCGTCCCAAAGAGGGTTTTTAAGGGCTGTGTATATCCTCTTCCTGGCGTGATGGGTTCGAGGGACTGAAAATGTCACTCTGAGCTTGATCCTCTTTCCTATTATCGACAATCGTCTCTTGAGCTCGAATGACTATGGTGTGATGTCTTCTGTGAAACATTTCATCGGCCTCTGCTTCAACCCCCTATTGTATCGTGTTATCCTTTTTGAAACAGAGATGGCTTCCTTCCTTTTCTAAGCTCACTAACAAATCTTCTTGGTATTCCCTGGGGTGAGATCATCGGCTCAGCCACGAGGTAAACAAGAAAAGTCCTTGGGACCTCATCTGAGTAGTACTTATCTCAAGTTATCTGCAGAGTTGTCACGGTGTATGTATGTGCTAAGTATGGCGTAAACCAATGGACGTTTTGCGATGTCTAATGCTAGTCGGATCGGCCCGTTATCCCACCAGGTAGTAGGTCAGGTGAACTCTGTTCTCGGAAAACCGACATTGGAAACGCGGCCCGGGCTGCATATTCATGAAGGTATGTATGTACGATTTAGTCTAGGTACAGTAGCCTGAACTGGCGAGGTCGTGTCATTTCTTGACCATCTACATCAGCTGATGGCACCTTTTTCTGCACGACGTCGCTTGGGTAGCAGTTTGCGAGGATTGTTTCCTGGTTTTTGTTGGTCCCACGGTTACCGGTGAGCCAAGATTGCATATTGTATACCGGTCATCTGAACTCTTTGATTATTCACATCCTTGCACAGCATCTAGGTAACTTCTCAAGCTCGGAGATCCAGATATTTGGATAGATAAGCCGGTCGTAGTAGGAAAATGGCACGAGATCTTTCCCGAGAGCCTGGAATCGATATTGTAGGCCGATATAGGAACGGAGAACCTTCCCATTTCGTTATTCCAACCTTGCCACTCGGAGAAGACTAACAAATTTGGTACAAGGAGCGAGTCTGTTCAAACTGTCGAATTAGCTATTTTGTATCAGGTCAGGCTTGCTGTGGAGGAAAAGCCCATCAAACTCCAGGGGCTTTTGTGAATAGTAAGGAAGAAGACTTCTCAGGGAGGATAGAGGTAGGATAAAATAGCCACGTGAGCTTATTATATGCCTCAACTATTGGGCCGAAAACATATTTATACGCTAAATCAATCAACGCAATGCTCTCGGGTTAACATTTCTAATGTCCCGGGCTTGGTGTTGAGGGGTATGAGAGGGCATTAGTTTGGTATCCTACCTCGCCTACGTAGATAGGACCTTTTGCTCCGCCGGAGGAGGCCTGTCAGTGTACGTTATGATACTACCCAATGACATATTGCAGTGTATCAGTAGATGAGATCAATGCCACTCGAGGGGGTTACGGCGGCTGTTAATCGGGCCTACCTGACTGATCCTAGCTGGAAGTGGGTACGGTATCAATTTCAACGGCGTGTTCCAAGATCGATCGATGTTGGGGTAGATCGTTCACCGTCGAGGTGCTCAGGGACTAAGTAAACAGAAGCGCAGACTTAGCCTTGCGAGTAATCTTTCTCGTTTTCTTCGACAAATATCCGCAATAATTAATTGCGAATACTGTCATTGATATATTGATTCACATAGGACTACAAAGCCGAGTTTGTCATGGGATTCTATCCAGCACAGCCTTACCATGGACGTTATTAGTCTGAGAATTAAATTATGAACAACATTATACTCTAGCACTGGGCTCCAGCTTCAACTTCGTGGGACAAAACTAATAATACGCGTCTTGTATCACAAATAGTCTTGAACATTTCCATACAGTAATGGAATTCGGATTAAGGAGTATATGATCTTATTAGGAGCTTCATAAGTAAAGTTGAAATTGATAGCCTAATAAAAATATCTCTACTTCTACCGCCAGCTTACAGAATCAATGAATAAGCGTGCCTTAGGCTGAACAGCTTCGGTTGACCTGTGCTTTGTATTCACCTAAGCCGTAATTCGAACGTCGTATTATCGTGGGGGCTTCTAAGGCCCTACTGAAGTTGCCAACACCAGATCCCAGTAACTGATATAGTGGGAGAAATTTGAAAATTGAAAGCTGAATCTCCTCTCATTTCAAAGACGATCAAAATCCAAATAGGCAAGGGTTCGAAGAAGGAAATGCTTGGCCTGAAAGGCGCCAGAAAGACACGAAATATATATCACGATGTAGCGCGGAACCAGTGGTCCATATCTGTTTCTTTGGGGGTCAGCTATTATCATTGACGAATGGAGACCTGAGCTCACACAGTTGCTTATGGGATGTATGTAGCACAGACGGGGCAGCTTCGTCCAGCGAAGACCCAAGTCTCCACCCCTTCGTCACGGCAGGTTGGGCATCGTTTACCAGGGAGCTTCCATAATATCAGCAACAATATCTCTCCGAACGTGAACTTGTAAACGTACAGTACCAGACATGTCCACCAGTGGGGATGTGTGGTGAGAGCCAGACTTGCATGATGCTGCCATTGTAACGTTGAAGACAAAGTGTGAAATGAATATCGTTCAAGCCAGGTGTTATAGTAGCAGTCGGAAGGATAGTTTGTGGAGTGAGTGATGGCGCGTGAGAGCAAGTGAGTGGAGATTCCGTGGGTCTCTGGGAGAAATATATAAATTTCTACCGCGAGCTAAGCACACCGTTTATGCGGTATCCGACCATGTACACCTTTACTTATTCGACGAGCCCAAAGAGCAGCGGGTTGGTGGGACAATAGCCTGTAATTCACGTTGTCCAAGCCTGTGGGTATCCAAACAAGGGTCACAGACGAGAAGATAGTCCTCCGGCACAAGAGGAGGCGGTCAGAGAAGCACCTACCAAATCTGTCAAGGCTCAAACGGGGATTCCGGATCGAAGAAGAGACACCGCCACAAGAGTGCATAAGAGAACATAATTTCCCAAGAGAAGATTCTATTGCACCGTCAGGGACATCGATATCTCAGGACGGAGATGATCTCGGGAACCCTTAGCCTCCCAACGCTAGCGAGTTGCCGGCAGCAACCGGTGAGACACAGGAGCCCTCTAAATGGAGCCTGAGGTGGGACTTGCATGGTAGACACAACGTGGCCGTCCCCATCTTGACTTCTCAGAGCCGGTTCATCTACTTGGTAGGTCTCCCATAGAATGCAAGGGTATGTCTTATCGACCAGTTGCCCCAGAAAATGGGAGCCAGCCCTGATATGGGGCAATGAGACGCTGAGAAGAGGGGGGCAAGATGCGCAACTACGGAAGGTTGAAGACGAAAGATCGACATCAAGGTATAATAGGAGCGGGGGGAGTTGAGGAGCCTAGGACCAGCAGTGAATCGAAGCTCGATGTGGTAGCAGGGTGGCAATAACGATGATAACAAAATAATAATGATAATAACTCTACGCAACGATACTTGATCTGCACATGTGAAGACTCATCTGACCAT